GCCTATAGAGAAGGGGATATGTTTAAATGACCGTGTTAGAAATAGGAGCCATTAGAGAGAGAGCATATTAAAACATTGTGCGAGAAAAGTTGCCTATTAGAGAGGAAATATACTTGAATTGCTGTGCTAGATAGGGGACTCATTAGAGAGACGGCATGTTGAAACGTTTTGCTACAGAAGGGGCCTATAGAGGAGGGGATATGTTTAAATGACCGTTTTAGAAATAGGAGCCATTAGAGAGAGAGCATATTAAAACATTGTGCGAGAAAAGTTGCCTATTAGAGAGAAAATATACTTTAATTGCTGTGCTAGATAGGGTACTCATTAGAGAGACGGCATGTTGAAACGTTTTGCTACAGAAGGGGCCTATAGAGGAGGGGATATGTTTAAATACCGTTTTAGAAATAGGAGCCATTAGAGAGAGAGCATATTAAAACATTGTGCGAGAAAAGTTGCCTATTAGAGAGAAAATATACTTGAATTGCTGTGCTAGATAGGGTACTCATTAGAGAGACGGCATGTTGAAACGTTTTGCTACAGAAGGGGCCTATAGAGGAGGGGATATGTTTAAATGACCGTTTTAGAAATAGGAGCCATTAGAGAGAGAGCATATTAAAACATTGTGCGAGAAAAGTTGCCTATTAGAGAGAAAATATACTTGAATTGCTGTGCTAGATAGGGTACTCATTAGAGAGACGGCATGTTGAAACGTTTTGCTACAGAAGGGGCCTATAGAGGAGGGGATATGTTTAAATGACCGTTTTATAAATAGGAGCCATTAGAGAGAGAGCATATTAAAACATTGTGCGAGAAAAGTTGCCTATTAGAGAGAAAATATACTTGAATTGCTGTGCTAGATAGGGTACTCATTAGAGAGACGGCATGTTGAAACGTTTTGCTACAGAAGGGGCCTATAGAGGAGGGGATATGTTTAAATGACCGTTTTAGAAATAGGAGCCATTAGAGAGAGAGCATTTTAAAACATTGTGCGAGAAAAGTTGCCTATTAGAGAGAAAATATACTTGAAATGCTGTGCTAGAAAGGGGACTCATTAGAGAGACGGCATGTTGAAACGTTTTGCTACAGAAGGGGCCTATAGAGGAGGGGATATGTTTAAATGACCGTTTTATAAATAGGAGCCATTAGAGAGGGAGCATATTAAAACATTGTGCGAGAAAAGTTGCCTATTAGAGAGAAAATATACTTGAAATGCTGTGCTAGAAAGGGGACTCATTAGAGAGACGGCATGTTGAAACGTTTTGCCACAGATATTGCCTATTAAAGAGGGGGCATATGAAAACCTTTTGCTACAGAAGGGGCCTATTAGAGAGAAGATATATTTAAACTGCGGTGCAAGGAAGGGGACGCATATTAAATATTTTTTGCCATAGTTTTAATACCATTAGAGAGGGGACTTGTTCAAATCACTGTGCTAAAGAGGACTGATTAGAGAGATGGCATATTTGAACTCGATTCAAGAAAAGGGGCTCATTAGAGTGGCAACTTTTTGGAGAGAGGACATAGTTCAAACTAGATTCAAAAAAGGGGCTCGTGATAGAGAGCACATATTTGAAACTTGATGCAAGAAAGGTTTTCAGAATATTGTAAAACATTCACTCAAATGAAAGACAATGAACGGTAAATGCTTCTAAACTATACAGAAATAAAACGTTTTTCAAATGATTGTGTTTTCAAAAGAATCAATTCCCTAAGACGGCAGTTATGCAATGAAATGGAAGGCAGAATCAATTTAGTTTGAAAAACATTTTCTTACTTTTGATACAAAATAACCAGTCATACTACTACAAACAAACATCTAAATATTGTTTCCTGCATCACGCGAAAGTGGCAAATAAAATTGGTTATTGAAATGGACTTTGTATGAAACATGTTCGTTTCAAATCTGAATATAGTAAGGTTCTGACATGTGTGAAGGTGTTATTGTCAACAGCTGCTACCAGGTTTGTGTAGTTTGATCATTGATCCAAGATTGTCACCTCTCAAGCAATGCCACGGATAAACCTTTCCTTTTTTCGGCAATCAAATAATTCATTAGCATTTAAACTTTGTCAAACAAATATTTAGAAAGATAACTTACAAACTTGATTCTTCTTCATGCCTGTTCTTTGCCTTTTCTTTTCTTTCCTTTTCATTCTAGAAGTTAAATCGGAACGAACATTAAAATATGAAAAAAGTTAAAAAGGGAACTTTTCTGTAAAGCAAATTCTCGTTATCTAAATTTCCAAGATTGCAGCATTTTTATGAATTTTTTACAATTCTAATTTAAATTGGTTAAGGAGGAAGACAAAAATGAGGGGTATCAGGGGGGTGTTTAGAACCCTCTGTATTAAATGCCTCGTACTAAAATTATTTTCCAATAAAACTAATTTGAAGGCCTTAACCTTACCCTAAAGAAAAGAGAATCGAAATTTTAATCAATACAAAAGTTTCGCTATCACAAACATCTGTGCATCCTTTCAAGACCTTTTAGCTCCTTTGCTGCCAATTTTTGGATAACTTGCAGTACACAGACCATTTCAGGTTTGCTTTGATGAAGCTGATGAAGCTAGTCATTAATTTACTTGTGTTTATTGTTGATTTTTCGTGGCGCGTTGCGAGGTTTCTTATTTCCTCCATTGCTATAAAATGTTAGCCTGAATTAAAAATTAAAATAGCCCTGAGGATTCTATACTTGGGGAATCGATTGCACAAATGCAAGTGATGTGTTCCGGACGAAATTAATCTGCTGTTGTGATTCAAGAACACAGCTTTTGTTAACATATTTCATTGTTTATACATGTTCGTAACATCTTTAAAAGAAATGGACAATGAACAGACAACCCTGCACAATATTAACGAATGTTTCCTATTAACGAATATTAACGAATTTCCCTAACATGATGTCACTTAAAACCCAAGCAATATTCATCACATCAGAAATTGTAATTTTTTCCGATTCTCAAGTTGCAAGTTTCTTTTTAGCCTTCAAAAATTTCTTTCAACTTCCATAATTTTTTTTCGTGCCCTTTGTTTCTTGGGACGTTGAAAAAGGATCCCTTTTCGATAGGCCTAATCTTACGGCGAAAAACACCTAAAGTACAAAAAATTAGGAAGATGTGAATATCAATTTTTCCATTGTCAAATTCATCACTATTAAGTTATTTTATTACACAAATTATACTTTGTCGTTCGGAAAACTTTCGTTTAGAGGCCCAAACGTGACATGGGGAAATATGAAAAGAAAACCAAATGGAATTGAATAAAAAGCCCTTAATTTGTAAGAAAAAACTATTTGCATACCTCCTATTACAAATTCTTTTCTTTCACTTGCAGAACTTCTTGGTTCTTTGAAAAGGCATTTCTTCTCAGCGGGGAGCTTCGACTTTTCCTCCATCTTGACACTTGAATGTTCTTCTTGGCGAACTGCATCGTGGGTGAGTTTTTACCTCTTGGGAAATCGCAGCGACGGGAGTTGCTGCAAGGGGCAACAAATGCGAAAGAGGGGCGGGTCAAAGGGAAGAAGTCTTTATGGGTGTTCAGGGTTAAAAGCGAATTAAAGCATCTATAAAAAATTTGGTAATAATATCTGTGTGACATCTTCTTTTTCAAGTGGAAGAGAAGTTGGTAAGTAACGTCAAAATATATTGTTCATGTCAAATGAGTGCGATAACACACACAAAAGCCAGAGAATTCACGATAACCCCTTTTTCAATTTGCGAAAAATATTAAGTGTCTCAATTCTATATTCCTGTTCTCTTTTTTCAACCTTTTATTATGCATTGAAAACCAATCTTTATTCTCTGCATGTTGCACTATTTTGTACAACTAAACTATGTAAGTCAATTTATTACTTAAAATGCAACTTTAAAGATATTTCATGTTTGGAAACTGCCAGTTTCTAACTAAACAAATTTATCTAACACATTCAGATTTCAACTATCATTAACCAATTTCTTGACGTTCTGAAGCAGTTGATTTCCCATCCTTTAAAGATGCAAGGAAATTATTCCGTCTGCTTTCTTTTCAAAACATGAATATCTTTTTGAAACCTATCTATCTTTGAACAAGCGCTATCAACCGAAACTAACAAACATCTCTTAAAGCTTCCCTTTCCTAACAAACATCTCTTGGAATTTCCCTTTGCTCACAAATATCTCTTGGAGCTTCCCTTTCCTAACAAACATCTCTTGGAGCTTCAGCAATGTTTGAAACCATCAACGGTTCTATTGAAGCTCTCTGCATTTACTACTGCTACAATTAAATTTTGAAGTAAAACAGGAAAAAAACAGTAAAACAGGATCAAATTCAAATAAAGCCATTCAACTTTTTGGGTTAAAACCTTAATTATCAAAAACATTATATAAAACCTTAGGTTCGAAACTGCTCACTTCAGGATTAAAACATATTATAATTGCCCTACCGAAGGATCGTGGGTTTAAAGATAGGCCTCATTTTCATGCAGAGATTCTTATTTATACAACTAGATTTATGAATCCATCTTTATCAATCCCCTCCCCCCTTTCCCTACCCCTAATGGGCAAAGCGCAAACTAACTTATTCTTACATATATTGTTACACCCCTACCCTTTTCTAGAGAAATCTTCTCTCTATTCTCGTTTTCTTTAAAGATAGTGACACACGACACAGTGCTTAAGAAACAGTTAATTAAAATAAAAAATCGCAAATCCGCCATGATTTTCCTTGAACCGATTTTACTAAATCTCCCAGCCAATGGCGTTCTTTGTAGAAAGAAAAGGGGGAGATGTGGCTCGCTAGCAGGGATGTGCCTTCAAGCAGAATTCTTAGGTAACAAAAATCGTTAGAACCTCTTATAAACTCACTCCGGTGTATGCATGGAGTGTTTTTTGCTGGGTAAGAGCAAAAACAATTCAATTTGAAACATGAGTTCACAAGAACCTCCACTTCAGTGGTCGAGTTCTCCACAACCCTCGTGCAACTGCAAGGGGAAGCACAAGAAAGCACTAAGCAAATACAAAATGAGAGATTCTAGAAATCTTCAGTATTGAAAATATGACGTAATATATATATGACATGCTATAAACAGACGAACTCTACATCGAAATTTATTTTATAAAAGAAAGAAAAATTAGAAAATGGTCTAGGAATCCCAGCTGTTCTTCGTCTGTAATTTATTAAAATTACACGCACACAAGATAAGGTTCGCGTGAATGGGCTAGCAAATGAACCTACAAAACTTAGCCGCATATTACCGAATCTAAGTTCATAAGCAAAATGAATTTGCGATCAAAACAAACGTTTTTAATTCAGTTTTTTACCAAAGCACTCCAGGCTGGCCTAGCTTTTAGCTGCATGCGTAACAGGGGAAACATTACAATGACAAATGCAATCAGGGGAATCAAATTCAACAGATAAAAGACGACAAGTGTAATAAATGGAAGAGCAGTTCTAGGAGAGATAAATTTTCACGAGATAGAGTACAAGTGTTAAGATACTTCAAACAACGGTAATTCAAATTGCCAATGACAGCGGTCGAAGTCAAGCTAATAACAGTCAAAATTAGATTTGCAGAGATTGAAACGATAATGAATTCTAGAGAATTACTAAGCCTGTTGGATATTACACACGATCTTCGAAAGGAAAATTCGGGATATTTGCGGATAGAAGAAACAGGGCTTTTTGCAATTAGGGGATCAACAGCACCAACATAATTCAATTGGGTCATACACTGTGGCTGATCTCGCAGAAAGGTTTGCGAGGGCGCAATAGGGTAGTCAATTAAACAAGCTACTGACAATAATAATAATAATAATAATGATCACAGCGATGATTGGTTCATTTCTTGTACAATCGACTCACGGCATTATGAACATTAAGGATAATTTTCGACAAGACTTGAACTCTCAGTCGAAATACAGTGTTACTTTGATCAAATAAAAACATTTTCTATAAGATTGTGCAAAATTTGAAGAGACCCCCTTTCTTTTGTCGTTCTTCATTTGTGACTTTAATGCCACCACCCCCTGCGCCGGCGGAGCTTGAATCCTGCGAAGGAGGGAATGATGGAAATGAGTGTTTCTGTAGTTGACGTCATCCTGAAGAAACTTTTCATCTTACGAAAAAATATCTTAAAATTGCATAAAACTCAAATCAAAACTTGCAGTTAGTTTACTTGCGTTTTATGCACTATTATTTAATCTTGCAGAGGTTCTTATATTTACTCAAAATTGTCTGAGTCCTTGCAAAATAAGTACAGTGTTTTATACTTCTGTCAAGGCCTAACAGGACAGCTTAGGACAAACAAGGCAACCTTGTATTAGATGCTCTTACATCAAAATTCGGCTTGGGAACGAGATGGTCAGCACAAGCGACATTTAAAACATTTTTAACCTAAATTACATTTTCGGTCCTTCGCCAAAATGTTGACTTTTGTGCAAATTGAGGTAGGATTAAAATTCAATTCTTGGCCAGATGTTGGATATTGTTAAACCGTCAATATAACACACTTGGCACTGCAGACAATTTCACTCACTGACCCGATTCATTGTTGGTCTGGTGATATAAGAAAGAAATAATAAAACTTTCCAGAATTAACTTTTCTGCCCCACGGTTTCTGGCATAACTGACTTATAAGTAAACTTAACGAGTCCTTGAATATCTGATGGAAGGCGGTTATGCCCTATTCAACTGTGAATAAACCACTCTAGGCCAATTGATAACACACCAGACTTTTTATTCTTACTTAGTCAAACATTAGCCCTAATTGCAAAACGAAGCTCCAAATTTCACGCTCTTTGAAAGGCAGGCTGGAAAAATCAATTTAGCACAGAAATGTTATTTCTTCACACAACAATAACCTCAGCCAATCGCTCGTACTTAGCCTTCGAACAAACAAGAATACCACATTTGCACCCACGGTAAAGCCGATACAATATACGACGGTGCTTGCGAGTCATATGCGTCAAATGCGACTCGGAAAATAATCGTGGATTTGATCAAAAATGGACAGAAAAATTACATCCATGTGCTGGTAGAACTAAGCATTCCTCAGACGCCATTTTCATCTTATATTATCTTATTTCATATCATCTCATATCATATCATTTCATTTACACCTATTTTCATCGCCTCCCCTTTTCATTTCATGTCATTATTTCATATCATCTCATTTCATGGCCAAATTTTAGAAAGAAACGGAAGTAGAAAAGATATTTACAGAGCCAAGTGGTATGTTATCGTACTTTTAAAAGAATTTTAACCTTTAAAATATAAAAGAATAATCGCTGCCAGGCCGATAGCAATTATAAAATTACAAAAAAAAATTTACAAAAACATACCAGCTTTTTGTCCATTTTTTGTTTTATGTTCCTTGCTAAGGTTATGAAAGACTCTTCAACATTTTGCGCTGTTTTTGCACTAGTTTCCATAAAGCGAAGGTTGTACTCTGTGGCAAGCTAAAATACAAAATAAATCAATAATATGAAACGTTTTGCCAATAAATAAATTGCAAGAACTATTTATTTGCTAATAGCCAAAATCATCAAAGGAAACAACAAAAAGCAATTTTTGTAATACAATTTTACAAAAGGGAATGTCACAAAATATTTCACAAAAAAACTTCCTAATTATCGCAAAATCGAACATCACTCCATTCAAAATTTAAAGTCTATCCTTGAAGAAAGAAACGATCCATTTTGGTTACATATCCCCGACGCCAATCCTAACCTTAAGCTTTTCTTTACAGTTTCTTACAAGGGGGGGGAGGTAGGGGCATTTTGAGGACAATTTGTACCCCATTAGGCGAAAACTCTAGACAGCAATTAAATTTTGCAGGGATATGGAGGGATGGTGGCTATTTTGTGGAGCCATGGTTGCCGAATTGCGGGGATTAGGGGAGGATCAGGTTTCAGATTTTGCGTGGTTGTGAAGTCGTATCAACGTCAAAAATGTTTCAAAGTTAATAATAAGAAAATGATTATTTTTGGGCATTGATCATTCAGCATCCTGAGCCCCATGGCACAAAAACACTTTCTGGCACCATACATTTTGCATCTATATTCAACCGTCACTTTGCTTACCTGCTGACCGCGTTCTTTTGACACTTGCCTTTTGTCATCCATGTCACATTTGTTTCCTAGAATCATTTTTTCAACATCGGCAGCAGCGTGCTAGAACAATTAAAAAGGCGAATATTGAATTTGAAACTTCGTAAGATGCTGAAATTTGATTTCGAAACAATATTAGGTGAGGTTGAATCAAACTGAGGCTAATTGAAACTGCATGGCTTTAAATGGTTTCTGACGCCTGGCAAAAACACTAAACGCGATGCTTGCCAAGACACATTTGATGGCCAAGGAATATCCAAAGCTTGTATTTCGCTTATAAATTATTTATTTCTTTTCCAAATAATAAATGTGTCCGATCTTGCACCCCCTTCTTTATCAGCTCAATGTTGGTATTTCTGTCACTAGAATAAATTTGCTCCAACACAAAGGAGGAGGGGGAATATCTTAATAACAACATTTTATGATACTTCAAATCATGAATCAAACAGCATACAAAACCATAGCTTTGGCTAAACGTGCTTTGCTAAACATGCTTTGCCAGTTAAGGGGAAGCGCTGTCACCAGAAATGAGAATGAGAAGAAGCGAGTTTGAGTCGGTTTTTTATTGCATATCAGGGTGTTGATTGGGGTTTTGGGGGTGTTCCCCAAGAAAAAGGGGCTGTGAACTGCTGTTTGTACAAAGTTGAATAAGTTGATAAATCTTTCTATCAACCTTTTCACCCCTATAACTGCCTATCATATGCATACATAAGTACATGGTTGAAAAAGAAATGATAGTTGTGTCATCTGGAATGATCAACAAACGCTTTATAATCGAAGTTATGGCAAACTGGTCTGGTGTAATGTCTGGTGTTATTGCAGACTTCAATATCCTCCGTTTTTGCTTTCTGTGTGTTTTTGAAACTTTACTCTACCAGGGGCTTTTATGATAACAAACAACTTTTTGTTTGCTTGGTTTTGCAAAAATATTGGAAACTTGAAGAGACGAAATGGAATTAAAACAGGAACCAGACATTTGAGCGATTTAAGAAAAAAAAGAGAGATTAAATTGTCAAGATAAGTGATTAAAATACCTCATCAATGTTTCGAATCCAATTTCTGATATTGTCAAAGGATTTTTCATTTGTAATATCATAAACTAACATGATTCCCTGGAAAGAAATGATTTTGCATTTTTACAAAAAGGCAATTTTGATATTGTTTATTTTTGATATATACATGAATATCAAGAAGGATTTGAAAAATCTTGGTGTGAACAGTGAAATCGCTGCTGACAGAGTTGCTTGGTGTTTTGCAATCAGACAGACATAACTTTATAGAAGAAGTTACACCCCAGTTAATGGGAAAAACTGATGTTAAACAGAACATGATAATTATGTTTGACTCTTATCAACATGCAATCAAGAAACCAAAATCCTGTTTCAGCATAATCATTACAATCACAAAATCATGTTTAATCATAATTCACTTTCTTACCATTGCTCCTCTGTAGTATGCAGTTGTGATTGTTCTGAATCTCTCTTGGCCTGCTGTGTCCCTGTTCAAAGATCAAACTCCAATTAAAATGTTTACTTAACATGGACCATAACCAAAAAATATTCTTTCAGGCGACAATCAACTTTTAGCACACATTAAAACGTTTAGGAATCAAAATATCTGATAACTGATATGCAGGGGTTGTTGCATATTTGCTTTTCAAAATTGAATAATTTCCATGCAACCTGTGCCTTTTTTGACTTTATTAAATATGAATTTAGCAGCATTTTTCTTCTGGTTCATCTGAAAAAGCTTAATTAAACTGAATCGTCTCTCAAGCATTTCACCTCATTATCTAGCCATGTTGGCAATGATCTTGGTCTTGTTTCCTGAACCATTCACTACACTGTGTATATTTAGCTTCTCTATTTGTTTGACATTACTTACACATAAACACCTCAGTTCACTCAGCTGAAAATGAGTACCAAGCAGAAATGTACTAGGGAGGTAAAGGGAGCGTGGAAAGGAACTGACCACCTTACCACATACTACCACCACACAATGCTGCAGATGATGCACCGCAACAGTGCATCCCTCACATTCATTATTGAATATGAGACTAACCTTCACCTTTATGATATATGTAGGGCAAAGTGAATTAAAAGCACATGTTCTGTTCTATTACAAGCAGAACCAAAGAAGACATATTTTATGTTGAACTTCAAGCAGCACCATGGAAAAAAACTCACCAAATTTGTAGCTTGATTTTCTTTCCATCTAGCTCTATTGTTCTTATTTTGAAATCGATTCCTGAAATAAACTGAGCAAAATCAACGAAAGAAAAATATATAATTCACGAAATGAAATTAAGGCTTTTAAGCAACAAAGCTCATTTTAAAAGATATAAATACATTGAATAAATACACTTGTAAAAGTATATAATTTCAGATGATGTCAGAAATATTATTCTTTAATCTTTTTAGCAAGATGATCAGTTGAAGCAAGTGGCCCCAGCTTTCATTTCAACCAGTCTTTAACTTACAACTCCTCTTCGCAACTTAATCTTATAGCAAATTCTTAAAAACTGCCTAAAGATCGTAACAAGGCAGTTGAGCCTAAAACTGGAATTTGTACCATAATTCTTGCTTATTTACAATGTTTCAATTGCCATTCTTTCTTTTCTTGAAAACCTCATGTTTACAGAAAATTTAATATAAAGTGCTCGTCAAATTTGTTTCTCATGTTTTCAATGTTTTGCTAAAAGTTTTCTTTTATATTCAAAATGAAATTTTACAATTAGAAGCTACTTGACTACACTATAAGGACAATACCACCAAGTGCAAGATGCCACAACAATGAGACCAAAATACCATGCTAAAAATCTGTCTGCCCTCAAAGCAAGAATCACAGAATAGAACCTTGTGACAACAACAGGTAATACTACTGATTTTAATATTAACAGTGCCACCTTAAAACAAACAAAAGTCACCCAATGATTAGCAGACAAAGCAAGTACTTGACTGTAGAATGAAGAAAATTCATTTTAACAAGACAAATGACGAGACAGTTTACCCAAATTTTTGCTCTTTTCAAAGCCATTTTAAAATTTATTTTGAAAGGAGGATGTATTTGCAGCAAGAAACTGTTGCCTTTACGAAAGTATGACTTTACAGATAAAAAAAATCTTATATCAACACATTTCTGCGAAAAACATTTCTGCTGTTAAGCGGGCTTTTCAAGTGTCCGGAAAAATTCCGAATTAACACTTGTAAATGTAACCACTTGCAAATTTGGTGAAACTTTGCTTATTAGGCAGCTTTTGCTGGCATTAACTTTTCAAAAAAAGTCACACAGCAATTCAGAAGTAGTGAAAAGAGAACCTGTTATTCAAAAGTAATTAAAAACGGTTCAGAAAAACATTCTGTTGATCTGTCATAAAATTTTCAACCCAGAACCAATTGTTGCTAAGCGTGCATCCATTGAAAATTCCAAAACAAATTAATCGGCATTTGAGGCTTTTGAATGATTCAAACAACAAACATGCACATTTGGACTGTTTCTGTTATTAAACTTCCATTAACAATAAACTTGATTTTGCATTTTAGATATGATAGACAATCGCTGCAACAGAAGCATTGTAGTTTGTGCACTTCAAAGTTTATGTTTCGATACAATGAACCAACCTGCAGGTCAAGACGAGCTATTAAACCTAACCGGCGTTAATAAATAAATCTCGCTTGTTAAAATCCATGTTAAGATCTTGTCAAGGTGAGCACAAACGGGTCCAACGAAACAAAAAGGATGGCCAATAATAATTATAATGTTTTGGGATTCATCAAAGTTTAGGCTCCTAGGAACAAATATTTTCCTGTGTATTTTTACCGCCCCGAGATAATTTCGTCATCAACTTCCCTTTCCAAAAACCGATTAGGCTCATGCGACGCAACATATCTCCGTTATGCTAATGACGGTATTGAGCGATGCATGAAACATCGATAAGGCCTGACAAATGAGCATTTGATTTCATTGAAGAGGCACTCGCAGGTATCAAATAAATCGTCATAAATAGAACTGTGTCAGCTTGCACGGAAAGCCACAAATGTCAAAATTCCGCAGCGATGTTTAAAGGTGTTTAGGCCTAAAAATTCAGGGCTACAAACCAATGGTCGAGATGAACGTCGAGTTGAAAGCATCCTCTGAAAATCTGAAGAGCACACATGTCTTCCCAACGCCCGAGTCTCCAATTAAAAGCAATTTAAAAAGATGATCGTAGGTTTTCGCCATTGCAATTTATTTCCCTTCGGCTTCCAGGTGTGGCAATCTTCGAACCCAGGCCATGTAGGCAGGACACAAACGAGACAGTTTCAAGTGGAGGTCACTCGTCATAATCACAATCATAACTTTTTTATTAAAGGGGCCTAGGGAAGGGGACCCCTTCGATTTACGTCAATTAGCGAGTTCCTTAAGCAGATAATTAACATTTTGCTTGGAAAACACCAACAACTTTGATTATTCCTTCAAACTAGAAACTGAAACCTGAGCGCTATTTCCCTCGATTTGGGATAAATCTAAATAAAAACATAAGATGATTGTGTACCAATGTCCATCCAACACGACATTTTTTGAAGAAACGAACCCAGATGCAAGATAATATACGCATTCCATCAAAAAGGGTGACAAATTATTTATGTTCTTTTCACCTCCAAACAGCCCCCGCCCCCCCCCCCATTCTTTGAAGAGTCTCGTACTGAATGTTCATTAATTTCGCTAAAACTGTAGAAAAATTCTAATTTTACAGTTTACTGGACGAGCTAACATGATGTCAACTATTAAACCCAACTTCGAAAAAATAAGACGGAGACTAAATTCATTCGCCGATGTGAAAGAAAGAAGACAGATCGATTTCTGTAGAGGAAACGCTGGGATATGCTTTAACAAGCTTTGTTAAATTCACGTCATTGGCTTAGATTTACAATTGCGTTACTGATCACGTGCACGAGCCAGTTTGTGTTAGAATGGCGACGAGAAGGCACAATTGATCACATGATTGATCACATGATCGTATAAAGTCCCATTTGTTGAATAGGAAGTTTTTGAGGAATGTTCGATACAGTCTTCCAGCATTCCAAAATTAGATAGCCATAAAACTTTATATAAATGGTTTGAAAAAAGAAATGGCAAACTGTGAATTTAATGGAGCTGTTAAATTTTGCAGCCTTCGTGGTGTTTAAAGGGTACCCCAATCTCAACCTCCCAGAACCCCTTCTTTTTGTCAATATTGCTGAAACGGGTCGATGAACGAGTTACAATTCTTCACGAGAGATACAAAGTAAGCAGAAAGACCGTTAAAATGCCAAGGGAGCTTTAAAAGTAAAAAAGAAACAGGACATTCCTCAAATGCGATGAACAGAGAAACGTAAGGTAACATGGCCGATCTTTTAAGAGAGGTTAGATTCTAAGGGATCATCCGGCTCGCTTGACCACCTTTATCAAAAACTCAATGACAAACATAAATCAAGTTTTCGTTGACAAATGTTTCGGAGATTTTGTATGACTGTTTACCGGAAAAATTCTTGCGAAGTTGGTGGAGAATCTGGTTGTACTATCTCAAAGCTGTTTTTTTTGCCATAAAAAAGTAAATTATTCATTTGCATCCCTCTTTAGGGATATAGGCAGGCGTCCCTTTGCCCCACCTGATCAAACAATGCTTGCCCCCAGCAGCATTAGCGATCTAAAAAAGCTAGAGGAGACGTAAAAATTGATTCCAAAATGAAGTTGCAGTTTGCTTTGAGTTACCTGGAAAAGTTAAAAGCAACAAGATAAAGAAGAACTGAGGAAAATGCTATTTACACGATTGCTAAAAGTAAAAACCAACAAAGGCCTAAAGAACAAAACAGATTTGCAAAGCTAGCTGTCTGGGGTGAATATATTTCGAGGGGTAATGAAACGGGGGTACATAGGGAATATACATGCAGAAAGGGAACACGGAGAAGGATTCATGGGGTAAGAGGGTAAATGTTGGAGGGTATCTAAGAGCAGGCACATTTGGAGGGCGCATTAGGAAGAGGATATGGAGAGACAATATGGGGGAGAGGATATGGCGGAGGGAATATGGGGGACAGGAAATGGGGGAGAGGAAATAGGGAGAGGAAATGGGGGAAAGGAAATGGAGCAGGGCATATTTGGAATGTGTATTGGGGAGAGAATATGGGGCAGGCTCATAGGAAGTACCGAGGGGGGACAGCACATGGGGAAGTGAGCATGGGGCAAGCCCATAGTGGCACTAAGGACATTTTCATACTATATTCGAGATCGGTTGCGCAAAGGAAAACAGGGATTCGGCAACTGGTGTACCTGAGTATTAAACATATGACGTCACCATTATCGCAATAACTGCACTTAAATGTTGGATAAATATTCCAACAAGTTCTTTTTACACTGCGATAAAAATATTTCTAGAGGTCGTGACAATGATGACAATAAACAAGCTACAGTAATTACCTTGGGCAGGCATAACACTTTATCACGCGTTTATAACTAAGACTCATTGTTCCCAACCCTAATTCCTAAATGTCATATCTCTTAAAGATAAAATGGACTTGATACAACATTTACGTACTCGAGGATATCTTTGTACTTGGACCCCCCATCTGGGTGAGCACTCTGTCAAGCCACTGCAGTGGTCCATTAAGATGAATCTCAACCCAACAAGGGGTCGACGTAATTGTTTGTCTTCTGTACTCAGCCCCCCACCCCTTAACGAAACTCATCCTGATGGTACACATAGGCCGAAGCTGATAGACTGCCTCGAACCCCTGTGGCACCATATCAGCAAGCAATGCAGCGAACTCCTGGTTGTTGAAGATCTTCAAATTGCAATTCGGCGGGATTTTGCAGACGGTAGCGGGATGCCAGCCGTACCGCCGGTTGCAGTTGGGGCTTTGTACGAAGATGCTGCTATCACTAAGACACTCCGCGTAAACCTCGCCTCCAAAATAGTACAGCCTCATTCCCTTACCAATATGACGTCGTGTTAACTCAATGGTCTCGGTTCGGTTAATGTTGGAGAGGAGGCCAAGACAGAATCGGTCGGCGCTGCACGGATTTGTGTAGCCGTCAACGGCGAGAACCGGCTTGGTGGCGTGGAAAGTCTCGCCGACGCGTGTTGACATTTCATAATAGGAAATATAACACCAGGCAGTTGGTTCTTCGTATGAAATGAGCTGCGCATCTGGAGTGAAAGGAATAATTTATGATAATTATGACAGAAACAAATACACGGCCTTTAACTGTTTAGCAATAAGAAACATTCCTACTCAAAAATCATGTGGTAGATTGCTACAAAGTAGAGTAACGGGCTTTTGGTGTATAGAACAGGAAGGTTCTAAGTTGCTGCTCCGAGTTTCACACTTGATGCCAACATTAAGCAACAGAATAACATGAAAGGAAATAACTGAATAAACTCCTCCTCTTCTTTAATTCAAGTTCCCTTTTCTTGAACCGTATTTACAATTGAACCATTGAGTCTATAAGACTGACCGATCAAGTGCTTTACGATTAGACTTTCTGCAATGTTCTACAATAAATTGTGTCGAGAACTGAATAAATTGAATATAATTAATCCTTTGTACATATAACAAGGTTTCCTAAAACTATATTTGAAAAAGACAAGTTCTCGACAAGTATTATAACTTGATAACAGATCTAATGGTCTGGGCAACTTTAAGGAGTTTACCATTTGCCAAGTGACTATTTCATTGTGCATAACTTTAATTTCGTATCATGAATCAGAAAAAACAAGACTATTTGCAAGCAGACAAATTTACTCGTCGTTTTTTACATCAAAAGGTGATAAAAATATCGACTTTTACAAACAGGCTGGCTATAAAATCTAAAAAACTGTTTTTTTGCATTCTATTTTGTACGATAGCTTTTGAGTCTACATGGGTGGTGCTCTTTGAAATATGGTCTTTAATAAAAAACTTACAGGAAGAATAATCTTCAACCCTAAATTTTGATTTAAACATTCCCTTATCTGAAAGAGAAAATCGTAACAGCTTGCAAAAACTGTAGCATTAATATGGGCTTTCTAAAATTATGGATCAGCTTATTTCAACCAGATGAAAGCATGGATATGAAAGAGCGTTGTTTGTTTGGGTTGTTTGGTTCAAATCAGAAAACTTGCTACATTTTTTATGATTCGTATATGATTCAAAAACAACAATACACCGACATACTACTTGAAGGAAAGGAGCGTTTTAGTTTAATGAGAAAACGAAGCAGAAAGCCTTTTAAATGTCTTACCTACTACACTTGATGTTATGTCAACATTAGGCCCAACGGAATCTGAAAAACAGAAACAAATTTACAAATGAGAATTAGAGATAAAAAACATACAAAAAATATCATCAATTAATAAAAATAAACATGTGTTCGTGGTATATTTAATTTATTCCCACTTTAATTTTTCAAATTTCTTGTAAAAGCAAGCAAGAATTCTCTGAAAAAGTAGTTAGACATTGAGGAGAAGCATTTAAACAGGGAAAGTTGAGCGAATTAAAACGTACCACTTAAAATTGCTGGGTTGGCTTGGCCACCCCCAACACTTGAGCCAACATCTGACATATATCCACGAACTGACGAATCTAAAACGAAAAAGTCAAATTTCTAAAATATGAACATTTAAAATACGAAAATTGCTAAAAAATTGTTTGCAGAAGAGAAAAATTCTAACAACAATCGAACTCATAAAGTCAGCAAAATGAAAAGCCTCGTATAAAAACAAAAAGGTTTGCAATGCAGTAAGCTTGTGAAATTTTATTTATCATGGCTGTTGCAAATTAATGTACATTCACTACTTCAATATTGAAGAGCTACACACGTGTTAACTAGGCAAAAAATATTGTGTTTAATATTTCAAATTATCTCAAAATTTAAAACTCGTTGCTAACAATGGGCCTTTGCGAGCGTGGCGACGGTCCAACAATGGCAGTAAACTTCTACGGATTAACCAAAATTGATTTCAGACTGTCTAAAAATGCATTATGGGATGTTTGTGTAGCGCAATGGCTCATTGTTAGCAATGAGTCTTTAAGTATATATATACAAATTAAAGTCACTTAAAATCTAAGAACTTTTGTTCAACCTTTCCATTTTGAAGGTAGATCATAAGTACGAAAAATGTGACAAAAATTGAATCAGAGAGCAAAACTTTCTGAAGGTAAGTTGAAATAAAAGCAATAAATTTTGGAAGTACCAGTTGAGCCGACTGGAGACAATGCGGTGGCAGAAAGGGCTGTTGGAGAGACAACTGTGAAAGAGAAAAATTGATTAAGTATCTATCTTAGTAGCAGTCAATTAAACCAAGGTTGATGAAAAGTGATTAAAAGTGATTAATTACTCAAAGTTATTATAAAATTATTTGTTTAACTGAAAAGAGGCATTGAAAGGGTGTCTGGCACATTGGACACGATAACCTTTACAAAAGATGAACAAATGGCTGCATAATCGAGGTCAAGTGTGTCTGAACAAATTACAATTCAATGTTTTCCAATGGTTCGGCAGAAAAAAGGGGGTACACAGCTCCTGCAAAACTTTGTCCCTGGGCCCTTCTCCCTTTCCCTGTCATGGCCCCGCCAACACTTTAACCCACCCATGCCCATGTGTATACAAAGTTCTAATAAAAAAAATCCTGAGTCATGATAACAAATAATTAAATCTCACCTGAATTGGAGCCTTGTGGTGCTTGTGGAGAAAGCTGTGTTGGACTTATTGGAGTTGAAACTGTAAAATAAAAAACTTAAATATAACTTCTATGTTGATTTGATACTTTACATTTTGGCTCAATGCCTAGAAAGCATCTAACCATACTTTCTTTCTCAACCTAACTCTAATTCTGTGGTGTCCATAGACTGGATTAATTTCATCTTTCTTCTGTTTTTACAGACCATACTCGAGGTTTGACTGGCACAATAGCAAATATTGCCTGAAGACATAAACACAATTGAACAACAGAGTCACACTTCAAGATTAATCTACTTTTCCAAAAATCATAAAACAAACAGAGAAATTCTGCTATATTCCAACATTTCCAAAGAAACTAAACATTCATTCAAAACAAGATAAATTAAAAAACATATTACAATATAAATCTGTCAAGACACTAAAATTTATGACTAAAAATGGGAAGAACAATTTCAAACCTTGGTCACTCATTTCTGGTGAAATAGTTATATTCTCAGCTGGGCGACCAAGATCGTCCAAAGATGGGGTTTCAGGCACTTTTGTGGGCAATTCTTGTTGCCTTGGCACCAAAACAGGAGGGAGAACTGCAAAGAAAAAACATGTTTGAATCTACAGAAACAGATTAAAATGTCTAGTTTTGGCTTCTGTTTGGCCTCTAAAAGTAGTTTCTTGGGCACTGAGAAGCTATGCTCATCCTGTATGTCACAGTCCTTCCTCTCGATTTAACCAAACCTTTGAATTCCTATATGTTCATGACAGGAACTCGAACCACATACCCTTGGATAGTTAGCAAGCAACTCAAACCACAGAGTCTTCATCAGACACCAGAAACCAAGGCAAAGCCAAAATGGTCGCAGAATGTATAAACAACAGTGATAACAAGGTCTTAAATCTGCTTTTGATCAAACAATGCAAGTTTTGACTGAAAAATAGTAGTCTGTACTTGGTCATAAACAGTAAAACACTTTTTCTTAAACTTTTCATTGATTTGCAAATTGGTAAAAAATTTTTAAAGGATTCTTTCTTTCTTTCTTGCTTTCTTGCTTTCTTGCTTTCATTCTTTCTTTATTTATTTATTTCTTTCCTTTCTTCTTTCTTTCTTGCTTTCATTCTTTCTTTCTTTCTTTCTTTCTTTCTTTCTTTCTTTCTTTCTTTCTTTCTTTCTTTCTTTCTTTTTTTCTTTCTTTCATTCTTTTTTCTTTCTTTCTTCATTTCTTTCAAAAAACTTGATCTAGCCTGGCTGGTATGTTTACGACTATAAACACACAGCTCCTATAATATTTACTATTGCAAATTAAATGCACACATTTTAAGGCTATTTTTGATTCAGCTGCAATTATGACTTCAAAAATCAAGTTTTGACAGAAAGACATTAAATATGTACTGGGTCAACAACATTAAAAACACATTTTCCTAAGTATTCCAGTTCAAGTAAAGAAAGAACACTCCTTGATGATCTGGTCTGTGTCGAGTGCAATGTTTTTCATAATAGTAGCATAAAAGTCTAGGCCATGTGGCATGGAAATCATTAGTTAACCTGCAAAAAATCTGTGAATACGGTTTTGGCTCTAACTAAGCAAGTCAGGGACTTGAGCAGGCCAGAGATGGATGCAGATGTTTGCTCAATTAAGAATCCTACATGTATTGGCTTATTTCAATGCGTAGTCTGTCTCTAATAAAAAGTTGTTTTACTCTTTTATCATTCAAACAATAACAACAAAAGTACCTGGTGTTTCCACTCGTTGGTAATGGTAAGGATTGACACAAACGAGTTTCTTCTTGAGGTGGAATGCATATTCACACAGGTCAATCGCTCTCAATTCATGGTGGGACTGTAAATCTGGCCACCTCCAGAGCTTGCAGTAGATAACATGGGGAAGACCTTTACGATGGGAAATCTGGAGACGACCATCAAGGCTTCTAGGAATTGTAACACAGCTTGTTGGAGTTCCTACAATTCAAGTAATAGTTTGTCAACAAAATAATACGAGAAAATACGAGAGAATACGAGAAAAGCCTTACAAAGCTACCCAGTACTATCGACCACAAGATATCTTTGGGGTGCCAAGAGACTAGCTTTTTTATAGACGGTTTAACAGTTAAACGTGATAGGCCAATTTGCATGTTAAAAGTAAGCTATGTGGTACATGTAAATGAGAAATCTTTGATTGGAAAAGAATTGCTAATTATATTTTTATATATGTATTCAAAAGCTCTAGACTATAATGTTTTTTAAAACTTAAATAGATGATCAGTAAAAAAACAACTTGCTAAACGTTTCCCGATATGCTTCCTCAATATGTATATCTGTATATATATATATATACAATAGCTCCTAACTCTAAAGTTTTTTAACAATAAAAATAGATACTCAATAAAAAAACAACTTGGTTGATGTTTCGCTGTAAGCTTCTTCAGACATGCAAACAATAAATATATAAAATAATGTAATAAACAGGACCAGCGAAATTCACAAAGTGCCATTAAAGATTCAGGGGGATTCCTAGATTTCAAAAGATCGAAAAATAGCACAATCTATGATGAATTTCCTGAATAGAGCCTTTCTGAATAGGGCCAGGTGGGTCTTCTGGGTGGTTGCGGGAAATCTCTGGTCAATTTGACTTGCGGTAAAGACCTTGGCAAGTCCATCTCCACACTTAATTGTGACATTTTGAATTTTGTATTTCCAAAATTCTATCAGCCATAAGTTTTATTTCTCTTTTTTAGTGAATTTTGCCTTTTTTAAAATAACAGCACTTCAGTTTAGGGGGAGGGGCAATCACTTTTTCTTTGAGAGTAAAAACTTAAATTAATTTATTTAAGTTTTAATTAATTTGAGATTATGTTGCATTTGTTTGATTCCTCAGAGCCACTGTAGGGATCCGAACTGACATATTTTAAACAAGCATCTGAAAGATTAGATTGCTATAATTCATTAATATATTCTCTCTATTATGGTTCACAAGTGTCATGGAAGCGTTTATTTCCATAGGCAATTAGAATTAAATTTGCATACCACTTGCATCAGCATAGCTGACACGCTGGGTGACAAGAGTTGCACAAGATAACTCCTATTTTTAACAGAACTATGCCTCATTTTTTCTTGATCAAATTTCATAACTTAACGTTTGTGTTAGTAAGAAACAAAAAAGTTTCTCAAAGGCCTTCTCATATTAAACAGAAAGCAGATTTCTATAAATTTAGTTTGAGACATGACTCAAGACAATTCTCATAATCTAAAAACTTTAAAAACATTGCAATGCCATGGAAAGATTCACAAAACCTTTTTTTTCTGTGCAAAAATTTACTGGGTGAAGACAATTTGGCCAATAGTCTTCAAAATTAATCAAATGAACAACAGAAAGATGCACAGCCAGGATGTCTAAGCTGTTTCCTGCTAGGTCCTTTGGGAGGAAAATGTTCAAGTAAATCAGCAACAAAATTATATGTTTTGTCTTTTTTTATCCTAGGCCCCAGCTCTTACTGGGCAATGGATGCAGGGCCAAATTGTCTTCCCTCAGGCCTTGTGAGGAGTAAAATGCAGGTGCTTGAAAAACTGGATACCTTCAACTTTCTAGGTGTTCAATTTAGTTTTGCCTTTGGTTTTAAGATAATATAAACATGCTAGGTGCTTGATCAATCAAGTTTCTAGAACTTTCTAGGTGCATGTGGAGAAGGAGCTTGATTGAGCTGGATTACCTCTCCTCGCATAGCCTGTTTTCCCTGGCCCCAGCTGGTCAGAACAATGGATAGAATGCTTTTAAAGTTGGAACAAACAAAGCAACTATAAATATGAAACTGATAACACTGACTTATAATAAAACTCTCGGGAAGTATCCAGGTGGCTCCTATACTAACAAATGACACTTGTTGAGAACAAAGAAAATTTACAAAAAAACTTCAAAACACAATCATTACAAAGCTAAGGACAGGGGAAGTCCTAAATGGTGTTTATAAAAATCTAACTTCGCCATCTTTGTTCACTATCAGCTAAATATGTTCTAGAAACCCAAATCCTGAATCCATTGTCCAATTCCTTTGGTTAAGTCAATTAGAGAATCAGCCATATTTATAATGGTTGACTTGGCAACCAGGAAATGTAAAATATTGATTAAAATGCCAATTGAAAGACTCAGCAAATTGATATACCATACACAAGAGTCTGTCATTTGTTTAATGGACAGGATGGGAACTTGGGCAGTCTTCAAATTATTTGGGGGAAGCCAGGCTAAAATAAGCAGGCCTGGCCATTTGAGTAGAGCCATAGCTCTTGCTCCCCTCCAGGCTCTCCTCAAACGCTGGAGGGGAGCTAGAGATTGCTTTCCTGAATCATTCTAAAAAGCAAATTTTCTCTCCTTAAAATCAATTTTTCCTTCGTTTCTATTCTTATAGCTCACCTAAATACTACTAGCAGAGCTGTTAACTGCTCCCCTGTTAAATGTCTTACGGCCAGGCCTGGATAAGCCACTTTTTGACATCCCCTTCGCAACAAATTATGCACAGGTTTTGGTTAGTTATTCATAGTAAACATTTGACTACAAATATGATGCAACAGACAACTACAAATAACAAAAGGGAATTTTTTCCTACCAACTGAAAAATAAATTTCTAATTGTGACCCAATCAAAGTTTTCAATGATATATCAATATGAAACCAAAAATTGTTATGGAAACTGGAGCTGTGACAAGAATTTTACATTATTTCATATTCATATTGTAGGCAGAAAAAGGAGTTTCTTGGGTCCAAAATAAGTGTCTCCCTCTGCTTATTAATTTTACAAAACACATCCATGACATCCTTTTTCCAGACCAAAAAAGAGTGGAAACATCAGTGCAAACTGAATGTTCTCATTATGCTGCTATTTTACAAAAACCTGTTTATCAATTTTGAAAACCAATTTCTTGTTTAGATTCTGTCTGTTTCCAGTTTTATATTCCAACATAGATTAGATTGTTAACCTGTTAAGCTTCAAATGCTCAGGAAATTCAAATTTGTGACAATTATCCCAATTTTTTGAAAAGGGGGAGAAACTTTTAAGAAACTTCTTCTAACTTGTAAACATAAACAGACATAAACTTGTAAACTTTTGCAGTGTTTATTTTTCAATTGGAGTTCAATAAAAAGCAATTCTAAAAAGAAATCATCTGCCATAAGTTTTATGGATGATAATTTCGTTCTTAGATTGATTTTTTAAAGAAAAACATATTTTGCTGATAGGAATTATCAATCATAAAACCAAAGGTATTCAAAACATTTTTCAAATCACTCCAATTATTAGTTGACAAATTAAAATGAAACATAATCCTTTAAAAAAGTATTTCTGAACACCATCCTACGCATAGAGAGCCGTATTATTCAAAGAGAGCAGAACAAAACAATCGCATATTTTCACTAAAATTAGTTGCGTGAGCGTCGATTTATACAAAGAAACATTGTTTTCAATTTCAGGTTCGAGAAGGATTAACATATGGCCTTTATAATATATTCTCAAACTACATGCTGGTTGCCAATGACTAGCACGCAACGCCGTGTTGCTTGAGTAACCAGTTATCAAGGTTTTCAAGGGAAGACAATTTTAAGCAGATGAGTCAACATTGCAGAACAGATCGCTAAGTAGCAGTACTCAATCCCAACTTGAATTTCCTGTATCACACAATCGCAATGAAAGCATCAAATAGCATACAATTTCCTTACTATAATATTTGCAACAGAGAAAAATAGGTATTGAAAGTGCGATGCTCACAACTAGGCCTAATTGCATTTGACAAATTTTAAAGCCTGGATCATTCAGGGCGGATTGGAAAAGATTTAAAGTGATCTCGTTTGATGTGACCAACATTAAACATCAGCCATTTTGAATAGTTTCTATGCATTAATGCTTCATAATTAATCGCAACTTATCCTAAAATATTCGGCGCAAATTCACACAAAAACATCACCAGAATAAGCAAGCTACAAACAATGATTTATGACAATGCGTGGAATAAGGTTTTGTGAAATGTTCACATCGTACCACGCGTTGTCAAATTGAGCTGAATACAGGTCATAAGCCCAGCAAAACACCTTGCTCTATTAACGTGAACATGTTAATATCTTATTGGCTACATTGACCTGCAAATGGGGCTCTTCATCTTGTCTTTATTGTTAAATAGATCATTTAAACAAACGCACAAAGCGCCTAGCAGGTTCCATCGTGTACAGACGCAAGAAACAACTGTTGCAAATCAAGTATTGATGATAAAAGGACTTCGCAAATTTCAAAGCTGACCTTTCTATTAACATACAAATACCATCTTTAGAAAAAGTATAAAAACATTTCCAAACAAGAAAGAAATAAACACGATCAAATATATACCAGGCTTTGTAATGGCATTTTCCAATATCTCCAGTCCTCCGTTTTTCTTGAGCTTTTTAACCAAACTTTTAACAGCCTTCTCATCCCACTTATCGTCAGAGTCACTCGTGATTTTGTGGCCTACAAGACGTTTGACAATCGGTGGTGTAAAATTTAGCAAAGAAGTCATCTCTGGTGCCGATCTGTCTGCACAACAGGGCAGCCTGTTAGCTCACAACCATGCAGAAAAATCAATCAAACATAGCAAATAAGAATTGCAGCTAAATACAACTTCAAATGTCAAGTTATTTTCTTCTCCAGTTTTTATCCCGCAGCGATATGCAATGTGCGCACCACCACAAGGTAAACAGCCCACATTCGGTCACGTGCTCAAACGTTCTTTGTTCTATGGTCACGTGACACCCAAACTGCGGAGGAGATTGGGGTGTTTAACTTGGCCATTCGCAACAGGTTGTAGGGATCCCCTGGGGCAAAAGCCAGGGGGTCATATCTTTGTACCTTTGTTATTTTCAAACTTAATTCTATTTCATATAACAAGTTACAACTTTATTTTGTTTCATATTATTTTCTTACATTATGTCACGTACAATTGAATGCACTGTTGATTTCTACGTTATGCAATGAGTTCAAATTAAAGTCCCATAAAACCTGGATTTGTCTATGGCCTGTTTCTTACACACAATAGAAATTAAATGCATTTCATTGTGATATTCATTATTCTCAATTATCAAAAATTACGATGATGATTTTAATAGTTATAAATAATACATCTGCCATACATTTTAAAACAATTTTTCTGTTTCTCTTTATTCGTACGATTGAAATACCCTTTCTCCCAAATACAAGCTAGCCAATTGCAAATAAACCTTTTAAATCGTGAGATTTGTAATTGCGTCTTAAGTTGAGTTGGTTGAAATATAAAGTTTTAATTCCTAACTTTGATAATTATTATTATTATAACGATTCTGATGACAATGATGATGTTGATACGAAACAAGTGGACAGAATGCAACAAGCTGTTTTCTCTCTTGCTAATCATGTCATTATAATCTTATTCATTGTCGTTATAATCTGATTTAACTTTATTCTTAAACACAATTTAATGTAGCTAGATTATATTTGGGCACTTTCGAAAACAACTTTGTCTCCTGGTCCAAATTTACCCCGACTACAATCATTCACAAAAAAATATATTCAGAGCCACTTTTGCACTTTTCCAATCCTTACTTTTAAAAAAACCGTTGTATTACTAATTAAAAATACATTATTTGTAATTTCCCTTATTTTTTTCAAATTTAGATCTACTATCCCAGACAAATGAAAATCACACAAGACATATTCTTTGTAGGGAAAGGGGCGAAATATCAATGCAGCCTCACAATCATTCAGAACGATTGTACACCATGAAGATCTAGATGAAATGTACTGAATGCACTGAACGGTCTGAAGATATGTTGTCGATGGCTGAAGAACAACAAAGTTTTGCTTTCGAGTCACATGATATCGGGGCTTTTTACTTACTAGCTTAAGGCTAAATGCACCTCCAGCACCAACAATTTTCTTTGTTTCAGAAAACTAACTATTGCACTCTTTTTGCTGAAGGCATGGCACCCAGCTTTAAAAATTGAAATTTCTGTGGCCTAGGACAAGCTAGGCTTTGGGAGAGGGTAAATATCATTACAGGTTTAACCGGTTCACACGTTTTGCATTTAGGGGCATGGGAGCAAAGATCCTTGTTGAGGATAGAGTGCAGTAGCTATGATTGAGATGTCACGTGGTTATAATAATGCATATGGTTGATTTTTCAAATTTCAATACTAGAATTAGCATAACTGTGATGTTCATGCATATGAGCTTTTTCTTTCGAATTCGTAGGATCTAATCTATGAAAATACAGCACACAGATAGCACAAAACAATACATGTGAGAATTCTTTGACAGCACCATGTTGTTACAAGGCTGAGGCAATGTATAGGTGGTGATTTAACATCGATTGTAATACTTATAAAGGATCGTCAAACGGCAAAGCTAGTCTGTATTAAATTAATCGAAGAATGACATCTGAGTCAGTGTCTCTTGAACTATGAGACTTAGTTGTCTATATCGATCCTGAGCTCGCGTGTTCTTTTTTGTTGCCTTTAAGTTTAGGCCAGATTAATTCTTAAACTCTGAAATCCCAGCATCCAGTGCAATCTGCCATCTTGCTCCATCTCAGCCACAGAAGGCGGATTCCGAACCATCACAGCGGCACTCGGGTTCTCACATGGTGAGTGAATTCCGCTATCATCAAAATCATAACTCAGCTATGACTCCTTTGGTGGAGACAATTGGAAAAGGGTAACTTTTTTCAGGTCCCAGTAAATATAGGAAGATTTGTAGACTAAAGACCACACATAGGGAACAAAGAATTCTTCAGGATTATCTTCTTCCATATATTTGAAGCGAAGCTCAGGAAATTTCTAGAACAAAAAGACAAATCTTAGAAAAATAGAAAGACAGCCGAAGACGAATACTCGGGAAAATAAGAAAATAACATGGAGGTAATTCGTTAGAAGTATTACACTGAGGCCGCTGAACAGCCGGGGATCCTATCTGGGTATGGGGCAGTGGGTATTACCAAGAGCTTACTAAACCCCAACTTACAGTAAACCCCGTAATACACCCCCTCAACTGTTCCCGTGTGGCTTCTTGAACCATTTAAAAGAAAGCTATATCATTACATCAAATCGATTTTTTGATTAGAAAGTTTTCAAAATATTCAACATTAAAGAAAAGTAGCTGCATCTTGAAAATAATGTATCACCTTAAACTGATCGACCGGGAGGCTGCCGAGCTCTTTTCTGATGACGTCATGGACAGATTCAACTGACAGGGAGTCATCTGTGTATTTTTCAAGTCTCGAATTGAAATATGCTAGCACCTTGAAAGAAAATTTAGCAATAAAAAAAATTGGCCCCTATAAATAATTGACAAACCAATGAAAAGAAGAGAGACAAGACCAAACAGAGATAAAACCAAATGAGACTGCAATCGACATTGCAGTGGCTGTGTTGATCCTAGGAATCGTTTGAAGGTAATTTACCACACATCCGTATCGTTGCAGGGAAAACAGAATAAACTGCTTGTGGATGACGTAATAAGAGAGGTTAAACGCTGTTGACTGGCAAAGCTGAAATCGAAATAGAAACCAGCACCTGTTTCATTACCGATATGAGAGATCATCGCAGGTGCACCGAGAGAAATATTTTTCACTTTGTGTCAGGTCGGACTCGTTACTAAGACAGGTTTAACTCGTCACTGAGTCAAGTCAAACTCGATTCTGAGTCAAGTCGGACTGGTTACTAGATCAGGTCTGACTGTTGACAAAGGCAGATTTGCCTCGTTTCTGTGTCTTGTTCCTGAGACAGGGCTGCCTCGTTAATGAGTCGTATCTGATTGAATCCCGTCATCAAATCAAGAAAATACAAATAATTTCACCTTCCTACTTACAATATTTACATTAAACATGATGTCTTGGAATTTTGGGTTGGTTTCCAATTCTTCGATCGTCTCCTTTTCGTGTAGCAGCGTGTAAACGAGGTTTGGGTTCTCCTTTAACCTCGTTACAACGCAAGAGTTCAGAATTTCAAGGAACATACGAATTATCTCCTCCAAAACATTTGAATCAGCGAACTAAAAGAAAAGGGATCAGGCACTGAGCAGCTGTGTTCTATATTGTTCAAATGCATTCAAATTAAAATCACAAATCTCTCTGTAACGGGCTAGCTTGCTACCACAGAATAACATCATCACAATCATATTAGCAAGAAAGGTCTCTGGTGCTTCTAGCCAACAGTCTGAAACACATCCAGAAAATCATACAACTTTGATTTCAAAGAAAGTTAGCATTGCTTGATTCAGCAATAGGAAATATTGATCCAGAGGGTGTCAAAACACAAATTGCCGACAATTTTTGAATTATTGGGTAAGTTAGGTCGTCATTATCGGGCCATTTTGAAATTTCGCAGTACTAAGCAGGCTTATTCAAAGAGTACAAAGAAGTGAAACACTTGAAGTAGAGCAATCTTAGCAGAGTTTTTGGCCAAAACAATAAACTCAACAAACAGCAAATCGAGCTGCCAGTTCCTGTCTCTCTGCTCCTCTCTTCCCGCTCCTCTCTCCATGCTCTTCTCCTCTTGCTCTTCTCTTCCTGTTCCTCTCTCCCTACTCCCCCTCCCTGCTCCTCACCCCTGCTCTTCTCTCCCTACTCCTCTCTCCTAACTCTTCTCTCCCTGCACATCTCTCCCTGCTCTTCTCTCCCTACTCCTCTCTCCTAACTCTTTTTCCCTGCTCATCTCTCCCTGTTCTTCTCTCCCTGCTCCCCTCTCCCTGCTCCTCTCTCCTTACTCCTCTCTCCCTGCATCTCTCTTCCTGCATCTCTCTCCCTGTTCTTCTCTCCCTGCTCCCCTCTCCCTGCTCCTCTCTCTTTACTCCTCTCTCCCTGCATCTCTCTCCCTGTTCTTCTCTCCCTGCTCCTCTCTCTTCTCCCCCTGCTCTTCCCTCCTGCTCTTCTCTCCTTGCTCTCCTCTCCCCGCTCTTCTCTCCCTGCTCTTCTCAATAAAACTGCATGCCATTAGGCAGTATTGCCTTAAGCAAAGTGGATCTTTGATCTTTCACTTGATGCATATTTTATCGTATTGAAAAAGAACTGTTTTTATTCCCTATCCCTTTTTTGCTTTTAGGAGTGCTTGGTGAGTTGCCTAACTTTTTCATATTGCACTTGTGATTTGTAATTGCGACTACAAAAAACAACAATAAGTAGCGAGGCTTCACTGTCAAAAGAAACCTCTTGATAAAGGTTCGTCTAATTTCAAACAACCTTTAGCATAATAAATAAACTGAAGATATTTCAATTGATGTTTTCGAATAACAACTACCTCGTCTTGATCATTCTCTTTGAGGCTGATGACACTTTTTGACATCTTTTTGTATCTCTTGAGCAGCTGCGCAAGGACCCTAAGAAAAAGAAAAAAATTACTCCTAGAGGTCAATGACAAGCTAAAATTATACATTTTAGCAACTATATGGACAGTTCCATTGAGGTGTTTAGGCCTGCTTGATGTCGCAACCGTAAAAATCCCTGGCTTGCCTAGGTATTCTATATCTTACGAAAAAACATTAACACATTTCCGGATCAATGCAGACGTTACCAACTTCCCCATTAAAAAGAAACGAGTTCTATCTTAGAATATCTTGGAATTTTCGACTCTAACAGGAAATATGGCAGTGTGAGCCTATTTTTATCATTCAAGATTTTATTACTGCTCTTCGTGACCAAATTGATGACCAGTTTTTCTAATATTTGGCATCCCTTTAGGCCCATTTTTCTCTTTCCATACTTTCCAAACGGGAAGAAGCTGATTGGGCAAAAATGACCAACGATCTTCACTTTCATCCTTACTTAAAATTTCATAATCATCAAACATACAATTCTGTGCTGTGTGTTTGACAATTCATCTTCTGCCTATTCATCTTTCAGTGCTTGTCTGGGCACGTGATTTAAAAATGAAAGCTTGTTTACAAACAGTACTTCGAAAATTGACAATGAGAAAATACCTGAAGAATCGATCACAAACATAACAGCCAAGATTGTGAAAATTCACCGACATATTTGCCAAAGTCGCCAAACAGTTTGTGTGGAGGTATTTGTCCTAAGACGAAGACATAATTTTTATTTGCACCATTAACAAGGAACATATGAAACTTCTAGGAACTATAAGCTTCTCCAGGAATAATTGTTATTTGCACCATTAACAAGAAACATATGAAACTTCTAGGAACTATAAGCTTCTCAAGGATAATTAAGTGTCAACTGAGGGTCAGTCCTGCCGAAGCTAAAGACTTCAGCCTAATGCTGTTTGTGTACAGTCAACAAAAAAGCCAACAAATCATTAAGAAACATCCAGAACGCGAGGGTTTTGTATGATATGATCTTTGGATAGAGTAATTAAAGAATAAGACTAAAGGCAAAAATATTTGTGAGTTTTAATCTGTGGTTCACAAAAAACAAGCTCAGATCATAATCAAATAGGAGCGATCAAAAATTTAAGATCGTATATTTTAAATTATTTTTAATTTCTTAAAGCGTCTACCGTCACTAAATTGATTATTTAAAATTCTCCAACTTTTTGTGCCACCAATAAGGACAAAATTGATGCTAGATTTTTTCAAACGAAATTGTAAAGTCTTAAGTCAAAGTGAGCTGAAAGAAGCAGCGGTTTTGGAAAAATTACTGCGTGAATTCTTAACAGCAGAATAAACAAACAAGGTTTTATAATTGTGTGACAAAAAAGAATGAGAAAATCTCCACTAACAGGGAAAAATTGATTAAAGAACTCTCAACTGGCAGGGCATATACACCACAATAGGAAAACGTAAACTCCAATTCGAGAAAAATTCGAATTTTGATGCTATTAAAAAATAAATACAAAGTAAGAAATGAATTGCGATGTCTTGAATGGAAGAGAGATGTTTTTAAAAATCAAAGAAAGACGTACTCGTGTTGTTGTTGTTTATCAAGCTTAGCTTTGTCCTAAAGAAAGAGCTGTGGACGTTTCTTCGCTTGGAAATCTTTAATAGAATATATTTACCCTCATTTTGAAAATGTTCCGTTGAACCATTCTGATAAGCACCAACAGGACCAGGTCACCAAGGGAGACATCACGCAGAGAGCGCTCTGTGTACCATGGTACTTCAGGCAGAATCTAAAGGGATTTAAGTGGAAGAAACTGATGAAGTAATGGCTCAAAGCACTGACAAGAGAAAAATATATGAATGAATGAGAAGTTTGGAAAGAGGCTGCTTCAAAACGAGAGCAGAAGATTTGGATCACAATGCCAACAATTGGCAAGTCTTTATACACGAAAAAAATTTAGCTTCAATAAAGGCAAAGATTTATAAATTGTTTATCTCAAAAAAGAATTGAAATGTTATAAAATGAGTAATAAAATAATCAAATATTGGTATACTAATGCCACATGGCTCTGATTCTGGATTCACACTGTCTTAAGTAAACACCAACTCCCCCCCCCCCTTAAAAAAAGCAGGCGATGCCCCTAACAAATGCTTTCCCCGGTACACATTCCTCGTCGTTCATACAAACAGGCACTTTACAAAATATAGGCTAGGGATCAGTTTACTATGGTTATTCTCTCGCAGCATTATAATTCACGAGTTGGCTTCATCACACAAAACAAGTGGTTCTTACTGTGTTGTGTGTTTGCACACTGAACCGTTCTTCTTGGCTCAAAATGAGCATCACAATTAATGTCATGTACGTCAAGTGGGAGTTTCGCTCTTCAGCGTGGTACAGGGTTTCCAAAAGTGGAACAATCTAGAGGAGGATAAAATGCTAATGAGATATGACATTTATTGAAATAAGTTACAATTGAATAATATATACAAAATTGTTTATCAGACTTTTGCAGAAAAAGAAGTATTTTGAAAATAACATTATATGAATCGAGGCAAGAGTATTTAGGGAAAGAGATGAAAATATTTCTCAAAAGGAGAAGATAGAAGTTAATAGTACATATGTTTCTGAAATATTGCAAATTTTCACAAATTCTTTCTTTATTGAAGTTTTACCACTTTAGCAACAAAATTAACCAACTTTTATTCCCAAGTTGGCCGTGTTGTAAACAGCAGAAATTAGGTCACTTAATACTGGTTACCAACTTGAACATAAACTTAACTAGCATTTTTAACCTAATTTCAAGCTAGATCTTTCTCAGTAAAATGATTGTAATGGTGTTATTCTGTGGTGACAAGCTAGCCCGTTGAAAATTACATATTTGAAAAGAGAGACTCGTGATTGACTGGATTTAAAAAAGTTTCCCTTATATCAATGAGCATTTTCCAAAAATAGGAGATTTTCTAAAAGTGGAGGAAAATGGGAAAAATCTATGAAAACTTTGAGATAAAAAAGAAACGAAAGAAATCTTTGTAAGGGACAGGGACAAAGCTTCTTTCAAGGCAAAAGGCTGGAAGAGAATTTTATAGAGATGAATACATTTAATAATTGCACTGACGATCAAATGATAGGTAGGAAAACAATTCTGATAGGTAGGAAAAAAATTCTGATAGGTAGGAAAAAAATTTCCCTGAGCATCATATTTGATGCTCAGGGAAAACATGAGATCTATTGACACAGCTTTCGATAAACCATGGGTAAATTTCGCAGTTAACAAAAAACCTGATTTAATGAATGAAATTACTCACCAAATTTCCAAGATCATCTCGTTTTAAAATGTGATTCATGAAAGACTCGTTTTGATGAAACATAAGGTACAACAACAACACTGTCTGATCGAGGCTAAGATCTCTAAAAAAAGAAAGTGTGTTGATTATCATAATTTTTTGTAATCACTATGAAAGAGAAGTCATTGAAGAGAGTTGCGTAATACAAAATGACCATTATTCAGGCAAATAGCATAAAAGAAAAGTGTTCTTTCATAGGAATGTTTTTTGGGGAGAAGGAGGTAATGGAGAGTCGATTTTCCTGAGGATCGATTTAAGTAATTAACTACGGCAAACAGCATTAGAAAAAATTAATGCCATGGAGAGCTGAAATACGACTATACTATATGTCTATACGACTAAACAACAACAGACTATACGACCTTACACGTGCAAAACCATTTCTTGCGCAGCTTCATGCCAATTTTCTTACCTTTAAGATTTCGATCCACAACTGGGTATATATATATCCTAGCGTAGAGTTTTCGATCTATGTTCTGACGTTTTTAACTCTGAAGAGTCTCAGACAAAAAGCTTTAGTTTACTAAATGTTTGCTTTTTTCAAAGCCATTTTCAAGTTTTGTACCACCAAAAGATTGTTTATCTCCAAGATATTAGAAAACCATCAACATATGTTCCAAACAGAATCATAACAGGCCTAAAATACTTTGGTAAATGTCTGAACAATAAAAATGCAAGGTATGAAATAAAAGTTACCGGCAAAGACAGGAGTAAAGTCTATTGAAGTTTAAAAGCAAGCCTCCAAATTCTGCGGAATCTGAAAGTTGAAAAACACGTTATATCTTCAGGTAGAATAAAAAATAATTTCCAGGGGCTCAAATGGAACTTCTTTTAAAACTGATTTTAAATTGGCTTGTTAACAAGCTCTGTTTTCCAGAAAGGTTCATTCAAGTATATAGTTGTAACACGAATGTTCCTACATCGAGATTTATAATAAAATTTCGCAGGTAAAGTTTTCTATCTTTATTTTGTTTTTACATAGAACCTGCTTGCTAAAATTCGATTTCTTTAAAATAATAAGTGAAAAAATTCGATTTAGCATCAAGCGTCATTTTATTTGTATAACACAAAATGAATATATACTAAGAGAAAATTTGGGCGTGTGATAAGACCAGGGCAGGACTCGAACACGAGCCAGTGATTCTGTACGTTGCTCTACTAACTGGGCAACAAGGTCACGTTTTCAGATAAAAAACTTTTCATATCAGAAATCAAAATTAAGCAACAATCAAGAATGAAGTTACAATATTAAAACATGTGAAACACTTCTCGAATACTCAAGGTTATTTGGCTCAAGCTTTTTATTTGACTGAATATAACATAGAAAGTACAACTGAATGAATGAATGAATGAATGAATGAATGAATGAATGAATGAATGAATGAATGAATGAATGAATGAATTAATTAATGGATGAATGAATGAATGAATGAATATAAATGAAGCATTAATTGAAATAGATGAAGAAAATGCTGACCTTTATCCTTTGAACTCTGATTCTTGACCGACGACTTCTGACCTTCACAAGAAAACATTGCTCCCCTGTATTTGTTGGCATCTTTTGTTAGTTGATTCGGAAGAATCAAAAGCAACAGAAGGCTGTGATTAGCCAAAGGTCGTAGGACATCAGGGTCGAGGTCATCCCCACCACCGAACATTGACCAAACGGTTGCTAGGAAACAGAACAGTAAACAATTTAATTCAATGGCAGTCATCCAGTTACTCAAAGTCATCCAGTAAAGTACAAAGTTACTTTTATATACTTCTTATACAAACAGTTAACGAGGATATTCAAAACTAAATTTAATCTTAAAAGCGTTTTAATTGAAAAAACTATATCTCATAAGGTGGTAAATAACATAGTTTTTAAATGAGGATTGAAATGCAATGATTTACAAGTGGTTTGCAATTGAGCTGTTCTTCAGTAAAAAGAGATACAGAATTTAGATTTAACTGCGCTTTTAGAAAAACAGCCTTAGACTATGGAAAACTTTACAACAGTAATGTTGACAAACATTTCAAGCGAAGTTGATTATCTTAGCAAAACAAAAACACGTAAAAAGACGGAAATGATTGAATGGCGAGCAGATAATTTATCAAAATGAAGAACTTACAAAGTGTTCGACTGAAGAACCCAGAACCATCCTCTTCGCTTGGTAATAAATCATTCTTGATGTAGCTTTCAAAGAGTTTCTGTATAATCTTGCCTGCATTTTGCGAGCTGTAAATAAAGGTTTGTCCTTTGAAACGAGACGAAATTCTACATGAACTTTTCTACTCATGCAAAGGCATGATTTTTCAACTTTGATTAGTTCTGAACAAAACCTTCCTTATTTTTGGGCCAAAACTGTTTTTCCAAAAGAGGTTTGTAGGGTTTTTACGTCTTCATAAACCAATAACAAAAACGGCTCGAATGTTTCACTTTACTTCGACCAATCATTATCATCTAACCCCTCACGTGACTCGAGAGTGTGATAATGAAATGATCTGACTGGTCAATACAACAACAAAAATATCTGAACTGATTATTTAATCACGTGGTACTGGCACACGTGGTACTGGCACACGTGGTACTGGCACACGTGGTACTGGCACACGTGGTACTGGCACACGTGGTACTGGCACACGTGGTACTGGCACACGTGGTACTGGCACACGTGGTACTTACCATTTACTGTTCATAATTAGCAGATGAATAACACTGGACGTTGTGGGCCTAAGTTCCTGCATTTGAACTGACAGCAGTACGATCAAAACATTAAGAGACTCCAGATGCAAATAATAAGTCTTGCTCCTTCAAAACAAGAAAATTTCAAGTGTTTAAAACGCAGAAAATCCCTTGTTAACGCAACACAATATTGTAAGTCACTTATTGGCTGAAAATCAGCAAATCACCGTACTAAAGACGAGGCTATTTCCCAAACATCAGCATGGATTTTGGTTTTTTCTCAACTCCCCTCCTCCCTTTTCTTCCATTCTTCATTTGATTAACTAAAAAACCTGCACTTTGTCCTTTGTCCTGCTCTTTGCCTTTGTCCTGGACTTAGCCCTGAGATATCATTTTTAGATACGAGAAGACTTTTCCACATCATTTTCCTTCGATTGATCTTCAAAATTTTGAACATTTCCTTAAATAGTTTGAATTCATTTTCTAACAGTTTAGGTACACATTCCAAGAGTTGCTCGCTTCGTTAACTTTCTCATAACGTGTTTTCTGAATGGCAATCCATTTTAACCTGTCTGTCGAATTGCGTTCACATTTTTTTGTAAAATAGCTTGTTTAACACAATTATAAACAAAAGCACGACAATAACGCGACCATAACACAAAAGTACCACGATAAAAATCAGAAAAATATAACGATAATTAACGGATCATACGCGATAAAAACACGACAACTTTTTGTACTTATCACGAAAACAAGCAGAAGCGCAAAGTAGAAAAATATGGCTTACGTCACAGGGATTTCACAGATTATTTGACAGCAGGCCAGAAGGAATTCTTCAAACACTGTTCTTGTACCTGATGAAAAATACCATTTGCTTTTAAACTTAAAACAAAGCATTTTGCAACTGAAACAATTTTGCACACTGATACGAATAATCAAGCTTATAACCTCTATAGAAAATCGCAACCAACAGAAACAACTGCATCTATTGTTCTTTCCTAAAAAAAGTTTTCTACAAAAGTTTGCAGATGTACGCTTCATACCAAAATTCGACTTCAAACTCTCTTCTTGTTTTGGAAACATAAACCTAACTATCTTCTTGCTCTGGAAACACAAACCTAACTCTCTTCTTGTTCTGGAAACACAAACCTAACTCTCTTCTTATTCTTGAAACACAAACCTAACTCTCTTCTTATTCTTGAAACACAAACCTAACTCTCTTCTTATTCTTGAAACCAAACCTAACTCTCTTCTTATTCTTGAAACACAAACCTAACTCTCTTCTTATTCTTGAAACCAAACCTAACTCTCTTCTTATTCTTGAAACACAAACCTAACTCTCTTCTTATTCTTGAAACCAAACCTAACTCTCTTCTTATTCTTGAAACCAAACCTAACTCTCTTCTTATTCTTGAAACACAAACCTAACTCTCTTCTTATTCTGGAAACACAAACCTAACTATCCCCTTGTTCTTGAAACATAAACCTAACTCTCTTCTTGTTCTAGAAACACAAACCTAACTTTCTTCTCATTCTGGAAACACAAACCTAACTCTGTTCTTGTTCCGGAACACAAACGTAACACCAACTTATCAACTGCCCACAAAACATTAAGCTTACAATCTCAAAGAGCTCCACTTTAATTTTTATCAGTTCAATATCTTCAACAAATGCTAGATAAAGAAACTACAATCTTTAAAGCAATCAACCGATTGGCTTAAACAATTTTTCAATCAGCTATTGTCCAATCAATACGCGTGTGAATCGTAACACGCATTCTGATTGGACAATTTTTGATTGACATATGCCAGATAGCTTAAGCCACTCAACTATCTACTGATTGCCTTTAAAGGTACTATATCCCGCGAGTCAACCGATAACGGAAACAAAAGGTTCTGCCAGGATTGGAAAATGTCATTGCCAGGAAATTGTCAGCACGAATTCATTGCAGGAAATTGTTGCTGTTTGCCAGGAAAATTTTAGCATGAAATCTCCATCGCTTGATTTTAATATGAACATTAAATTCATGTTACAACATTTCTACGGAATGCTGTTTTCTTGTGATATACATACATACTGAATAATTTTTGTTCTGCACTACTAACAAAAAACGGAGATTAGCTTTCAAAAAACAATCATCTGGTATTATCAGCGTCTGTTATGACAAATTTCTGTGCATGATTTTCAGCTACTATTTTAATTCAAGCAAGCTAAAACAAAGTTCATTTCTTTTTTACATTAGCCATTCTATATATGTAAAACACTTAAAGACAGCCAATCTTGTTTTGAAGGTGAACATGCCCCAAACCCTGTGTGGATGTGTCCATTATTATTCTTATTTTTCTACTAGCATTCGCATATATTTTTCATCACTTGCTTTATAGAATGTAAGCGTTTTGGTCTAACATCTTTGCCTCTAGCACCAACCCTGATTTAAAACAGTAATTTTAACCATTGAAAAATAAAATAGTATTCTCACATGTTGTATGAACTACTACCTTTGATGATAAAAAAAAGCAACGAACCGAAACCCAGAGCAAGATGTAGGATACATCAATACTAATTAAGTATCTAGTTTGCTAGTACTGATATGAAATTTAATCAAAGTTATTATAGATTTTAAGATCTACTAACTTTAACCTTGAAAGCAAAAAATGTGTACTGTGCTCGATCACGTTCTCCTTGATCATCTAATACAGTATAAACAAAATGATTGCTGTTCGAATAGCTATCATCAAAAATCGAGAACCAACAACTAGTTCTTTTTTAACTTGAAAGTTTACAAATCAAACAACTTCAGTCCCGCATTGCTGATTGCATAATGCAACCAATGATAATTGAGGAGACCACGGAAATTCGTTGAGAAACAGTGCCCTAAAAAGGCAGTCTGTCCCCTCAATGATTGGCTAATATGAACAATTGTTCTTCCTGTCTTAACGAATTATGCTACTCGCTTTGGCTGGCCTAGCTGCGAAAGTGGACGACATTTATAACTGCAAGCAAAAAACTATCAGAAATGGCAAGAAGATTTAAGTACCAGAACTGAAATATCTGTCACCTAAACCAAACAGGGAACAAAATTCATTCTAGCCACAGCTTCACTTAAACTAAAACACAGCAATTTGATTCAAAAGCTCTAGAATCAAAGTTGTCTCTGTTTGTTTAAAATCGTGTAGGTATCGATCAAGCTCCCGTGAAAATGAAGTTGAGCACAATAGGAGACAGACTACCTTTAAGATAAACAAATAGAAACACATGATGTAGGCCTCACCTTCACAAGATGGCAGAGTGTTAAACTGGCGAATCAATTCTTGCTCCGGCAAACTGTTTACCATGTACTTGCAAACACATCGAATTAAGAGCAACGCATTCCAAGCTCTTTGACAATCCTCAAGACTAAAAAACAAACATAAATTGTTCAAATATAAAACACAACACAAAGTTACTGAGAATGAAGAATAAATGATTTTTGTTAGTGAAAGAATCATTGTTATTTATTCAAACAAAAATATTAATTTCATTGCATCACTAAACACGATTCATCCAACTATGGAAAAACGAACAAAAACGGTCTGACTGAAAAGTTGCCACTTGAAAGAGATAAACAGGATCGCATTTTTCAGACAATTAATGAGATAAAGTCTTGCTGTTACAAACAACTAGGTTAGGTCATGGTTAGTTTCAATGTAAAAGAACTCTAAAGAAGTGAAATTTTGAAAATAGAAAGAAAGGAGCATTTAAGGCAATAATGTGAAGCATGTATGCGTTAGTCAGGTTCTGGCAATGATTGAAAAGAAGAAAAGAAAGGGAAGAGGAAAAAAATTCTGCCCCTGTGGAAAAGGAAAGGAGAAAGCACCATGAGGATTTACAATATCAGAAGTTAGAGAGAGTAGTAGTAGCAGCAAGAAAAAGGTTGTTTAGTGGATAACTGATGGCTCTGTGAAGGCTACAACTAAAAAAAACATTCTTTATTTAGTTGTAGCCTTTAGTTATAGCTTTCCCTTGCCTAGGGTCAGACCTGCCATGGTCCATCTTCCTTGTTCTCTGTCCCGCTATACGCACGCGTCATATTTAGCTCTTTGATACCTTTCTACATGCCTCCTTACCATGCTCTCATCGGTCTTTCAACCAACTTTTCCAACAAACAAGTCTAACTTCCCAACAAGTTACAACACTACTACTTTTTCCTCCAATCTAACATACATGAACGACAGCGCCCCTCTCTCTCAGGCTTTTTGCTTTATCATACTTAAATCAATCCATTTTGCAACTTCTAAAATGTCATCTCACTCCAGCTATGCATCTTGGCATCTTCCTATCACATTACCCAAATTCTAAAATCGTAACGGCCCATGCCTAACAAAACCATTCCTATTACAAGCTTAATAGAAAATACCTCTGATCTATAACATAATAATTTTGTTGACTTACAGACAAGCAATCTCCATCTATTTCTTCAATGCAGTCACTATTCTAGCTCTCACAGATTTCTCCAATCTCAATTCACTAGCAATCATATCACCAAGATAACACAAGTCACCATCTTCCCTATAGTAGAACTCGTGAATTTTCTCAATTCTTCCTACTACCTTCCACAATAGCTCCTCCTACCACCTTCCCAAGCTACTCCCGACGTACCCATCTTCTGGAAGCCAGTACGAATACCATTCCTACAAGGTTTCTTTATCTATCTACCAAAACTCTTTAACTTCTAAAGGTAGGCAAAAATGTGAGAAACAATACCTATTAATCAAGGAAATACCAAACCAGTGATAATTTTTTTCAAAATCCCCATTAGCAGCAAGTTTAGTTAACAGGTAAAGCAAACATTAAAATCAGCTTGTTCAAAAGTTTATGCTTACCTTTTTTGTTTTTGAGGATTTATTATCAAGCTCTGGACATGGAAAATGAAAACACCAACCAAGGTGGTAAAATTCCCAGTGACATGGTTATTGGATGCTGAAAAAGAATTGCATTGCTTAGAGCAACTATTTCTCCAATTGATAAAGCTAGCAAAATCTGTCTTGCATAATATCTTCAGTACATAATATATATTTTAACTGAAGGTTGAAATTGGCAACCTTGAAAATATAATAACATGGTTTTGAAGCAACCTAGCAATTCATTCAACCAAGATAAAATAAGGAACAAAGATAGTCTAACTAAAACCCCTCCATTTACCTCCCTTTTTGCATCCCGCTTTTCGGTGGAACCAGCTCTGTTGTCCCAAACAATGCGAATAAGTCATTGCTTGCCGATGCGAATAAGTCATTGCTCTTACATTTCAAATGAAAGTTGAAATTGGCTAACACAAAAAATAACAATAATATGGTTTTAAAGCACTGAGATTAAGGACCACAAGATTCTTCGCAAACCTTGTTAGTTTTTCTTAAGCTACATCTTCATATTAAAGATAAAAATAAGCCAAAAAGTAATATCATACCAATCTTTTTACAAACACTCTCGACTGCTTCTTCAAGATATTTTGAGCCATCTCTAAAGTAAAAAAAAATGTCTTGCATAACAGTTGTAAAATTATAAAAGACAAATTGTTGATCAAAATAATGCATTGAGAGTGTAATGATTTGTGTTTACTTTATTACTAATTAGTATGTGCTTAATCACAGGGTCATTTTTATTGGTACTCTGCATTTTAACAATCACATACATATTCAACAGTAATGTGGACAGTCACATAAATATTGATAGTATTGACCGTTAAGCCTGGTTCCCATGAAATTATAAGAGTTCGGAACATACTGTGAACGTCCCTGGCACCTCACAGCCCAATAGATGGATTCTTTAGGGGAAGGGTTGCTTCATGAGGCGGCATCATGGTTGCCACGGAAAGGGGAGATTTTTATAATCTTAATGCTTCAAGTTCGATGGAAATTGCATCCTTTTAAGCAAACTTTAATGATTAAATTCAACTTTAAAATGATTATCCACTGGTCTAAAACAATGGTATTGATCAACTTCCTTGTTCTTGTTTTTAAATGTTTTACCTTATGCAACATAAATGCAAATTTTCAAGTCTGGTAAACAAATTTCAAATCTGGTGATAGGTACGAAATTGGCAATCACTGTCCCCGTTTTCAACATCATGTAAAGATATAATTCATGACCAATATTGACCAATTTCCGTAACCAAATTTGGTCATTGAAGATTCAGCTTTTAACAAAATCTGAGCAGCAAATCACTTACCCTGGGTGCCAGTCTCCATTCTTTAGTCTCAGAAATATAGTTAGAAACAAGTCACAGAGCATTTTTTTGAGTCAGGACTAGCCGTCCATAATACTGAATCCCCGACAAAACAATGATTTTCCGACAAAACAAAGATTTTTTTAAAAATCCGTCAAATTTTGAAACATTCTGCTCCCCAGGCACGATGCCCCTGTTTCCAAATCCTAGCAAAATTCCTCTTTCCTAGCAAGGCATATTAGAGTCTCACTATAGTGGTGTGAATTGCAATCGGAGTTGAGCAGAGAGGAGTAGCCCCTTTTTAGGAATGATATTTGGGGTAGCAGTTACACTATGATGCTCCTCTTGCTTGTATGCCTGCATTCTTTCCTCTGCATTTCTGGTTCACAATGCTGTGCAATATTGCAGTCATTTGAGGAAATGCACCAGATTTAAGTATTTCACGATTTTTACTCTTATAAATTCTTCCTCAATGAAAAAAAATGGCAAAAAACAAAGCCCTCTCAATCCTCCACCCCCTGCTTCCCTGGTCCTTGCTCAAAAATGCATTTTGGAAGAACTATAGGGCGTGGCAAAAGAAAGGTTTCTGGGTCATTCCAATAGAAGCCACAGAATTTTCTATGGGACCACACCCAGCCACGCCCATCTTAGCTGCCACACCTAACAATACTCGGTGTGCAACAGGTTCTGCACACAAAAATCTCCGGTGTGCACATGCCATACTCTGCAGACTGGCCCTATACCTTTCTTCTGCCTGTGTGGCAGTCAGGATTCGTTCTGGATGGTTTGGGATCTGTCCATGACAACAAAACATTTTCCCTACCTTTTCAAAAAACTCACTCATTCTCAAAACTGAAACTCGACAGGTCTGAGCAAACAACTGATTCTGCAGTAAAGTTTCGTTAGAATAATTAAAAAAGTATTTCTGTATTTCTTCACTTTTCCTATTCAGTTCTGGTTGAAGTCGAGTCTTGCAAACTAAGGACTACATTCTCTTGATGTTTTAAAGGTTAAATACCAAGTCAAATTTTTTGGATGGCCAAGAATTGAGGAATAGGCCTTAATTGTTAAATATATTTTACTAGAGGCTGTGATGCAAACAAAATGAATTAAGTGAGCATTTGACTAGTCAAACAAAACTGAGTACAAACCTGTCGTCCGGAGCTTCAAATGTAAAATTCAACAGCTCTTCCCAAAATTCATCATCTCTTTCCTTTTTCGTACTGCCTACTAACTCGTTTATGAATTTATTACTGTCGATTTCAGCCACTGTTGAACTTTCGGCGCCCATGCTCACATTAAACAAACAGCCTAACAATCCTGCTTGCTTGGTCAGAACACGAAAGACTCTTGACAGCTCAAACCATCAAAAAAACTTTCATAATCATATTCTGTTTTAACCGATAGCATGTTTAATGCGCAATGTTTGGTTTTTTCTCGATCTTTTGGCCGCCATTATTATCGACTTCCTACTTGAATCTACTCGAATGCAACGTCACTTGCCTCGCCATCACAACGAGGATAAGGATGTCGTCACAACATTCTACATTACACACCAAATTTACATTAAATTTTTCTTTTCTATTCTTGTTCGGAAGATATGCATTGAAAATTTTGTCCTGAAATCTTGTCCAGCCCTCGAGGGTTGAGAAAACATCAATATTTGGGTTCAAAACGACTCAGAAGTTTAAAAGACGAGATTCATTTCTCACACATTCTTGGTTGCGTAGGAAAAAATCTTGAAGGCCTTGACAAAATGAATTTATCTATTTTTAGAATTTTTGAATTTTTTCCCCCATAACCTGAAAGAGCATCATGAAATACCTCTAAATCTGCAAAATGAGTTAAAGGTATTACGAATTGGCTGAGATATGACCAGATGAGCACAGGCATTTCTTCACCAAACCTTTGTAATTTGGTCTAAATTCGTAACTTTATGAACTGAGCCAAAATAACAGTAATCCGTTAGCAAACTTCAAATCTTCTATTGGCTATAGCTGACCCAATTTTTAAACATTTAGCTGATGTTTGATAATTAGAGGAATTTTATAATGTTCTTATAAGTTGTGTGGTCAAAATACGAAAAATTATGAAAACATATTTTATAAGACGTCACACTTCTTATAAAGACGTCAACTCTATTCCGCCCAGCCTTGTCTGATATGATATTTCAAATTGATGCCAACAACATTGATATGTGAATAAGACTTTTTAATCCCAATTAATATCTACCTTTTTACTTTCTATGCAGCTCTGTTGGGTTTTTTTCTGGAAAACAACTTTCACGTTTCGAAAATTGCAGCTGTTGTTCGCCATATTATTCCCATACGAAAAAACCCACACAATCCCAACTGATCACAACATCACAGTTGGCATTTTCCGTCGGCATTTGCTTTTAGACGTTGCTTTTGACAGAATATCAGACAGGATCTTTATTGACAACATTAAAACGGTAAACAAGTGCTGGCTTAAACTCCGGGGGTATCAAGTGGTCTTAGACCAGCCAGTACTTTTCTTATGGCAATATCTGACTTTTATCGTTTGAAAAGTGTTAATTAACATAGCCATTAGTGTTAATATTTTACATGATCTTAATGCCTGGATAACATTAGTTTTCGTCCATATTTTTATCAAACAATCCATTGAAAATTGTAACAACTTTTTTTATAAATCTTTTCACTGAGTAGGCTTATATTGTCTAGCAGTAGGAATCCTTCTGAGACATTTAAAATAGAATTCTCCCAAAAATTGGTCTTGCAAAAGAAGATCTTCGCGAAGGAATCACAACAGTGTGGAAAACAGGAGTACCGTAAATCCTCGAATTGCCCCCCTCCCCTCGAAAAATTCCCTCTCCCCTCGCATTAGCCCCCACCCTAGAATTACAAATTGTCAAAAAGCCCCCCTCGCAAAAGCCCTCACCCTAGACCTACAAATTTTCAATAAGCCCCCCCCCTAGAATAAGCCCCCACTGCTAGTGTAAACTCTCGAATTGGACCCCCCATTTGATGATTTTTGCCATCCGAGGTTGCCTATGGCGTTTTACTGAATTACCACAACAAATTCATACTTTTGGTAGTAATAAATTTAATGCTGATAAAGAATTTCCTACTAAAATAAATGAGGTCTTTCAATAATGTCTTCTTAATGTCTACAATAATTTTATAAGCCCCCCCTCGTATAAGCCGTCCCTCGTACAAGCCCCCATACAAAAATATCGGAAATAAATAAGCCCCCAGGGGGCTAATTCGAAAATTTACGGTATCTTTTTTAAACTGTGCCAGGTTTACCGTTCCACAAACATACTGAAAAGTTTGGTACACTCTTTCTACGCATTGCCTTAAATGATTTCGATTTTAAGAAGTTTTGTCAGAGTTTTGTCTTTAGTTTAACCAAAATTCTGACAAACGAGTCAGTCAAAAATTATGAATTCTCGAAGCGATACCCTCGGCCGCTTCCAGGCAACAACGAAAAAAAGAACTGAATTTTCGAAGACTTTTTATTTCTACGGAAGGGCGATACTAATACAACCTCGTTTACAATTAAATTGCTTCTATAAATACCTCGATGTGAAAATGAGGTTGCGAATAACTGGTTCTAAACAATTTACAATAGAGTTACCCCCGTCCGCTTGCATTTGGGAAAACAGGAAACTGCGAAGGGGCATCGATTGATGCTTGAAGGCCTTGACCGGGGTGCTTCCCTAGCTATAATGTCACGAGGTAGCGTGGAATCTCGGGGGGGGGCCTGGCAAAGGGTCGGTTCTAAATTTTTGTTCAGTAGAATAAAAATGTTCAATAGATGACCCTTTGGGCTTTTTTTGACATTGCCACCCTCTTGGCCCCGAGCCCCCTTCTCTCGACATCTCGGATTATAGGGTAATAGGGATGCAATAGGGTCACTGCAACACAGAAGGGTAAACGCCTGTGTCGAGGGCACAGTGCTAGTTGCTCAATTAAAACCTGATTGCAATTTGAATTCAATAAAACAAAAACTCTGAGGTAATATATGAGACGGGCCTTCCCATATTTAAGCATCTCTACTTTCCTAACTTAACACATTAGCCAACTCCGAAGATTGATACTTCAAATACAACTTAATTTGGAAAAATGAACCGAAATAAAATATGCATTGAAAAGATCCGCAATACAACACAAGCTTTTTGGGACAGTTTATGGTCACAGGGTCAATCTGCTTTTTCCTAAGGCGAATCTGCAGCAGAGCGTTCACTTCCATTTACTAGAGTGTAAACACGTTCAAGTTTGAGCATTGTCAAATTCTAAAATGTTGATAAAAATGATTGGGTAACCTTTGGGACACATTGGGATAAGGTTGAACCATTTATCATCGCCATAGGAGTATATGTGAATTCTAAGAACATAAATTAACTTCCGCATTGTATTCCATGAAGCTTTATTTAATTATGTCTGAATGCAAACCGGAAATGATAAATTTACACAAAACTACATGAGCGATTTATTCTGATAACCTGTGACAGTTCTGTCTTCGGCTGCCATCTCCGCTGAATATCGCGTCACACTTTTAATTATTAACGTTCCTCTTGCAACAGGTAACACTATGGACTCTCGAATAGCGACAATGAAACTAAAATGACGTCACTCGTTTCCATTCCTCTATAACAACGTCTGCGCTATAAGATCGCTCTCTCTTTCTCTCTGAGCCAAAGCTTCTATTTGTGTCGCAATCGTATGGTTTTGGGCATCCTGAATATTTCTTTAAATCTCATTTGAAGACATCAATGGCTTTATTGAAGCTGTTGTCTGCTGGGCAGGGTAGCCACGAAATCCTTGTTAGCAAAACAGGGTCACCATTTTCAGCGAAACATGGCGATCGATGAAGCCATTGACTGCAAAATAGGCTTCAAATCAAACCCATGACGGCAAGAAATGGCTCCCTCAGATAGATTTCGGTCCAGCAAGGACAGGCTGTGATGTACTGTCGCGTGTAGTTATCTCCCCATCCTTTAGCGAAACTGACTCTGATACAAAATACATCAACGCTATGGTCGAATTTCCTATTGCGTCTAAGCAGATGAACGGGCCGCCGGAAGTCAACTGCATGAACACAGTAACCGGGTGGCACACGGATCACCTCTGGTTTCACTACTATTGGCTGAATACCAGTCTCAGAGTCAAATGCCGGCGCACTGACAAATATACAATAGTCACTTCTGTTATAGATCCAAATCCCGTCATGCTCCTGGGTTAGCTGAAAACCGTATCCAATATGCTTTCGAACTTTGTTGACGTAGGCAGACCGTTCCACGTGATCAAGAAGCCCAATGCACATCCCGTCCCCCTGTGGCAGTTCATAGAATACATTGACGCAATCTGTTGTGACGTCAAATACTCGACCGATCCGTCGTTTGACTTCCCAGTATGCAATGCTGCACCATGGCTCGTATGTTGAAGCTGTCGTGACGTCACTGTTTTGTCGGGTTTGAAAACCGGCTGAAATAAAGGCAGTTTACAAAAATAGAAAACAGAAGGGAAGACAATGCCAAACTAGTGCATTTGAAAAACAAGACGCAAAACTCTTGCTAATTCTTCGTTTTTAGGTAAGTGAAACAAAACAGGCCCTGAATCTAGCAAAGTTTCAGACAAGAAGGCATGTGTTATTGTGACTGGGCGTTTGGATTTCAACAAACTAAGAAAAGAAATCCGGGAAAGCGGCATGTTTACAAATTGTCTTTTGTGGGTTTATAAGCCAAAATCCGGTGTATTGGTAACTTCTTAATGTCTGAAAATCTTACACCTGCTGAATACATCTAGAATGTCTGGGTCACACACCCAAAAAGCTGGGTATTCCTGGCCATTTGCAAAAAACATATGGAGCCAAACAAAGCAACATCACGGCAGAGTTTAGGCATGCTATGTCACTTCACAACCCTCTGTAACAAGCCCAGTGAAAAACAATCCCAATAAAAACCACCCCAGCGAGAAAATTTCCATTACCCTACAACCCATGCAAACTGAGATTTTGTCCCCTGTCAGCCTTGAGTTTCCACTTTGGCCCCAAATGATAGTAACAGGGAGATTTTTAGGGTTAAAAACAAATTCAACCATTTGACCCAATTTATCTGGATGACCTCGTTTCCAAATTGTCCCTTGACGCTGCCAACACCAATGTAAATTTGTCCTTGAGCCCCACAAGTCTAAAATAATTTGGTTGCTCCCTGTCGTATTCACCTGCTCTCCCCCATTAAAAAAGAGTTTGGTGGGCCTGTCACACTGGGGCCTTATTTTGGCTTCAAAAAGTTAGGAATCACACATTGACACCACATCAGAAGTAATGACACTGTTTTCAGAATATTTTGACAACTTGACAAGACAAGAAGACAAGAAGCCCAATAGGGACCGACATGAAGAAAAAAGTTTTGGTAAAACTGGAAGGAAGCAGAAATATCTTTCTAAGTTGGTTAAAATGAATTTTTGATCATGAAACAACACAAAAAGATAAAGGATGCTCAGAAACATTGCCAAAAAACTAGCAAATGATTGATGGAAAAAGAAAGATAAAATTGTGAAAATAAAAATAACTCTTTGTTAATATTTGTCAGGGCAGTAAATATTGAATGATAAAAAGACTATACTCTGATGAGTACATAATACACAAAAGATAGCAACAGATATAATGGGGGTTACAGCCCCCAGTTTATAGGGAAACAGCATACCCCAAAAATCTCAGATCTAACCAGGTTTAAAAAAGTCCATTCATTACAAATTTTAAAAATGATACCAACATAAGGACACTGTTTCTATTAGTTTTGAAAAAACTGGATGATTGGAGCTTCAAAGAAAGACCAATTGAACATGGCTGTGCATACGGTATTTTTAGCCTAAAAAATTCAATATCTTGATCCCTATTTAAGATCGTCAGCATGTGTCTATTAATTGTCATCATTTCTGTGTCATTCTTGGCATATTATTTTTCCAATTGCAGCCATCCCTGATAGTCACATAAAATTCACTTAAAAAATCAAAGATTTGCAGAGTTAAAACTGAGGGGCTTTGTGAAATTTTTAGAGAATATTATATTATTTTTCCCTTCAAGGTTAGTGGACAATGGGTAAAAATGTTAGAAGTTTTTGCTCAAGGTCACAGTTTGAAAATTCAGGTTGAATAAATAATTTGCCAGGACAAATGCTCTGTCTACCGCACACATCTCACATGAAAATGTGTAGAAGGGGCTATTGACACAAGGAAAGGAACGGACCACACTACCTTATCATGTTGATAGCCAATACTATTACTTGCTAAACTTAACAGTGTGCCTTTGAGAACAATAATATATCTTGTCTGGCAAAGATTTGACCGTGTCATTTTCAATCTTGATTGAGACAAGATTTTCACATGCCAGACCAGAATTAATTACATTAATTACATCTCACATGTGATGCCAATGTTATCATGCTTAAAGGACAAGTGACACGCTTTTGGCGCCAAATGTTTTTTTTCTTTTAACTTAAAGTAAAATGCTGTATGAGAGTGTTGTTGAAATATTTTTCCTTTCTGATTTCATTTTCCCACTTAAAAACCCATTTGAAATTATGGCGGGAAATGAATCACGTGACACCGTGACATAGATTGTGATAATTTGTTATTGCTGCTACTGGTATAGAGTGCAATATTAACGTTTACAACACGCTTGTAAACGAATACAGTTTGTCTGGATCTGTCGCGTCGTGTTTCGTGAACTCTCTATCAATTACAGGAAAATTCTGAGTTATCACAATGTACGTCATAGGGTCACGTGATAAAAAGCAAAATTGCGCCCCCTGCGTATAATTTTTTGTTCCAAACCAGGAAAAACTTACTTCTAAAAGATGATCTATAAGTTAATGAAAAGAAAAGATAGGGTGAAAAGTGTGTCACTTGTCCTTTAAGAACCCTTTGAGCTCAGAGGATAGATAGCACAGTATGAATGCCCTTTAATATTATATAATAATTATTATTATTATTATTACTATGAGTGAGCTCTGTAAGTTTGTAGAAGATGAACTTACAAGAAAATTGTGAATCTGAGCAGCCAGCATTTGCCTTGCGGTCGTCTTCATTCTCCTGCTCTCCTTCCTCCTGTTCACTGAATCCGTCATCTTGGGAAAAAAACATAATTTAGAAATCAATTTAATACATCATATATATCATCTTGAAAATAATCATTTCTTTAAAAGCAATTTAATAAAATCATTACAAATGTTTCTGAATAAATTTTGCACAAAAAACTTACAAAACAATAGAGATAAAGAAAAATGCTATGAATTATTTCAAGTACTGTGACAGACAGAACTCAAAATGACACACCGTTAGGAATTTTCAGAGGGTACAAGGAGAGATAAATTAGGGATTTGCAAACTTAAGATTTTGCTAACTATTTCAGCACAGTTTTGGGCATATTTTAAAAAAAGCTACCATTTGACCCAGGTCTTCAGGGAAATAATTTCACAAGTTGTGATGTTGTTGTTTGTGTTTTACATTATTCATACCTAACCAAAGGTCATAATGTCTCTCAAATCAGAAACTTTTAGACACATTTTTCTTTTCCGGGTTTTCAAAAATTCTCTTGCATATAATTTTGCCTCAATGACTAAAGTTCCATAAAAAGACTACAACAATCAAAAACTGTTGGTTTGTTGTGTTGGTTGGTTTTGTTTACAAATCAATTGTAAAGACAGTGTTAACGTAAAATTTTGGAACACTGGCACTCACAAAAAGTGAAAGGAGAGAACTATTCTGCATCCATCAAAAGCAAATTCATCATGTATGGAATGATGAGACAAGACACAACAAACAACTTTATGAGAAGAGCAGAAAAAAACCACTGAGCCATGAAATGAAGGAATCAAGATGGAGAGCATCAAGCATACTATGTCAACAGTCTATGAATTACTATTTTGAATGTCTACCTAAAGCAAAGAAATTCAGTGGAAGAAAAAGAATAACCCTGCCTATATTGCTTGACAATAACATCGTAGAGGCAGCAAAATACGATTGCAAATAGGAACTAGTCCACAACTGCTGCCATATTCATCCTTATAATCCTTAGGAGGTTACAGTATAAGCAGGGTTACACTATAAATAAAGTCTTGGTAGGTTATGCCAAAAACAGGCTGACAACGAAGGGCAAAGGGGGGCCAAAGGGGGGTCAAAGGGGGGAATACCCACTAAGCAGTTCTGTTGGAGTTTTTGCAAGGAAAAACTTCATAAGCAGGGGTATCCAGCTACTATTCACAAGGGACTAACAATTTTTATTGAAAGCCAACCCTCCCCCAAGAAAGAATTATGGCTATGTCTTGATGTGCAGACTCAAATTTCTTCTTTTCGCCAGCTGGATGTTTTGAAGCATTGCAACCCACGTGTCTTGAGAATTCGTGCATCGGTTAAAATTGCAACCATCAACACGCAATACACAAACAAAAGCGACAGAGTACGATCAACTGACATTTCCCCCTTTGACCCATAACACGAAGTTTCCAAACGCCCCCTTTCACCCCCGTTTGTACGATCCACCCTGTCAATAGGCTTTGTCGCCGTTTCCAGTCACAGACAAGCATTCCAGGCACCTATTTTAAGGTGATCGTTAGATGTGGTGATTTTCTCGTTGCAGACAATAGACTGTATCAATGAGCGTGGTTAGGATGTAAACAGGGCATTCGGTGTACAAGGGTCGAGGTGAGGACGTCTGGCAAAAACACGAACCTTGAATGGAAGAGGAGATCAGACAACAACGGCAAGATGCCCTGTTTTATCGCATATTGTCTGACTTTGCTTGTCCCGACATTTCTAATGTCAATAAAACTTCTCAAATAACCAGATCTCACCTGAAAACCGGGCGCTAATTTCTTTCTGTGGCTGCTTTTCCATGGCCTGATCCCTGGAGTTCTCTTCCAGACTTTTTTGGATACCTAGAGCAAATTAAAACTGTGTATGAAAACAAATGAGCGAATAATCGAGACAGCGATAATTCAATTTTAAATTTGGGTGACGGAAAACTGATATGACAACTGCGTTAGTTTATTCGAAGTAAACATGATGTTGTAAATATGATTTATAAAAATTGAAAGTTTCCGCTTTCGTCTGGAAATGAAGCCTAAAACAACGGGCCATCACCCCCATCATAAAAAAGAGCTTGGGCCCTTTAGAAGCTTTTAGATATGAACTTGGACCAAAAGAGAAAAGAAAGGACAATTTTCAACCAGCTGGGAACGCAATGAAGAAAAAAAACCTGGTTCCTGGCCAACGCAAGCCGTTTTTCCAGACAAGCGCTTTAGACATTCTGAGGATGTAAACAATGGCAAAGAAGATCGCTCTGCTTGTCGATTAAGATTCAATTCTGCTTTAAATAATAATAGAAAATTTGAATGAGTTAGCTCATAGACAATACAGGCTAATGCATTTTTTTTACAGGAAAATGGACTTAATCCATCAAAGGGGGATTTGATTCGAGCATGTGGGCCGTGGAATTTCTCAAACCAGACTGGTGCGTCGACTTATAAACGAAATCCTACATAATCAAATAAAAAAATTGCAGGAGGAGAGAAACAAGTTTTTAAAAGCTTTTGTAGCAAAACAGCTGATTCCAAAATACTCGAGTTATTGGCAACTGACTTGCATTGCCACAATAGACATAGTAAATCATTGGTTTGGCGTTGAAAAATACAGTGCATAAAATATTTATTGAATGAAAATGTCGATGAATTTATTCAGACAATGTCAAAAAATTGCATAGAAATATGATATCACAAACCAACTTGACAGACGAAAGACGAAAATTTGCTGGTAAAGATTGTTTACATTAAAAAACTTGCGCAAATTCCAAGCAAGAAATCCAAGCATTTACCAATCAAAAATATTAGTAAACTTGACTAAATAAATGTGTATAACTCATAAAATAACGATAAAAGATAAGGTTATCGAAGAAATAACAAATTTTAGGACTGAATCTGTCGAGACTTGTTTTTGGTCGTTTTTGGCATCCAATATCGGTCACGAGAAATTATCTGGAATTGCTGAAAATAACTTTAGTTTTGCGATGGCTTTACGTAAAAACTTTTGGATACCTTGCTTGGTAATTCTGCTGTAGTGAAATGGATTGCCACATCGGGTGGATACATTGTAATTTTGACAGTTTATAAATGCTTTCAGTTCTGAAATCGAGATGAGATCTGGCCAACGGAGAACTTTGCAGAACAGGACATGGACGCTTGATAGGCCGATCCTATTTACAATGTCGTTCTCTCTTGGAAGGATGAGGCAGTCCGTGTGAATCCCACCTTTGTTTTCAAGACTTTTCAGCAACACTTTAAGCTGGTTTTCATCTAAGTTTTTTATAATAAACTGCGTAAAAGCGTTTATATACTTCGACCAATCCTCAGGTTCTTCTTGGTTGAATCCAGCCTGCGCCTTGCTGTGAGCAGCCTTCATGTATTTTTGCACTTTCCTAACAAGAGTTTGTATGCGAGCCTTTCTGAACATCCATATGCGTTTAAGGAAGATGTGTTAGTCATTTGTTGGGCCTAGCTTGCGTGTAAAACGACCTTTATCATTGTTTTCACTCAATTCTCTGCCATTCTCTCTGTCTATCTTCTCGTACTCCGATGTCTTATTGGATTTGAACACCAAAAATCATCACGGCCGGCCGCCCTATTACTTCAGCCTCGCTCTCAACACCAGCCCTTGACCGCCATAGCCTTCTCGCAGCCCAAATCGGCGGATGGAGAAATTGAAGTAGGGGCGTAGTTGCGAAGGGGTTTATAAACACAGAAAGAGGGGCTGAGGGTAGGTGGCATCACATATGACGTAACAATATGGGCAAGAAGGAAGGAAAGACCCTTAAAATTATATTCAAGGTTGCCGAGGAACTCTTTGAGTGCCACGCCAGTGACTTAAAAAATGGGACATTTATTGTGCCCCACAAGATGCTTTATGCATCTTCATTAAACAAAGTTTGTTACATATAGATGGATAAATTACTGCAATATGAAAGTGTGCAAAACGATGCGAGAGTGGAGGTAATATGAAAGTAATGTGCTGGTATTTAGTTTAACTTGGTTAAAGGTATTTATGAGTTTGTACATTCCAGCACAAGCTAAAATTATATTCATCAAACAATAAATATAATGTTTATTGCTATTATTATTATCATCAATGTCGAAAATTTTAAATGCTTGAGGCATTTTACTGCAAATCTTAGGAATCAGCGCTAACTTAAAGAGAAGAAAAGCGACATAACCATCAACCTGGTGAAAACTTTTGCAAAATTACAAAGCAAGAAGGCAGATGTTCGTAAATTCAATAACAGAAAACAACAAATAATTTTTAGACCTGGAAAACCAGACCAAAGACAAATAATTCACTGTATTGAATTTCCTTTTCTTAACATTATTGAAAAAGCCTTTTGTCGGTTCAAGGATCTAGATAATAGAAAAAGCTCTGCAGAATGATTTAATCCACAAGAGAGGCCGACCACCTTAAAACTCTCAACTGTTTCATAGTATTTTGTTATTGTACTTGCTTATAAATATTATGAAATCTCCTTCTTGGGGCTTAAAACTAAAGCAAACAAGACTGGTTTAATCCAAGCCTTTTGTCCAAGCAGAAGAATTCTATGTTCAGCTGTTTTCAAATAACTGAACTAAAAAGTGACGAATCGTCGAATTGCCAAGGCCAGGAATAAACCTGGAGCTTAGTGTGGAAAATTATGGCTTTGGCGTTGATAAAGTTGTGAATTGTCAGGATTTTCAGTGTCTAAGAAATGGCCTAAATGACATATTTCGTAAAATAGGCAGGATTTTCATCGTCCATAAAAACGAAATTTGGTTTTGGATAAAGGCAACTCAACTTATAAACGAACCAGGTTAATAATAATGAAATGACCAATAATAAAAATTTTCGCTTTATAACAATGGACCGTTCGGTCTGAAGGGCCGGATTCTAAAAGCAACGACCGCATTCGGTCTTATAAATGTAACGTTAAGCCTACGGAGAGGAAAATTAGGCACGCCAGACATATTCCGGACTTAGTTTTGCAGTAATTAACTCCAGGACTTAGCCTCGGCTTCCAGGCGATAATCGAGAAACAACCGGTTCCAAAATAGCCTGAGTGTAAAGGGAAATCCGAACTATAACGCCATTAGGTAACCAGAGTCGGACTGTAAAACGAAGAAAAGGATTCGTTCTTCTGTAGCCGAACAGAGGCTGACAATACAGCAAAAGAGCCATTTCCTATAACAAAGTCCTTAAAAATTTCTTTGGCCTAGAAAACAGACAAGAAGACAACCAGACTCGTTGTCACTTGACCGCCCACGTAAATTTCAGGATGAATTCACCACTTCATGTTCATTTCAGCACTTAAGACAGTTATCCGTATATCTCTCTCAACACAAAACAAAAACTGAACTTATTTTCGGGTCAAAATCTACAAGACGATGATCACGTCCTCAAAATACTTCTTGTTCATATGGGTCAATTCCCCCGGGCAAAGAGCTGCCCGTGTCAACACCATGCTATATCCGTTATCCTCCCTAATATAAGTTAACGGTTCTCTATTCCGTTTTCTCCTTCTGTAATTTGACTGTGTCTCTAAAAGCAAAAATCCTGATGTTTGGAGGTAAAAATTGAGATATTTAAGGTAACAAATCGCGGTATTTAGGGGTAAAAATCGTGGTAAATAGGGACACAAACCACTCTTCACTAGCAAACTTCATTGAGCAAGTCTTCCCAACTTTCCCTACCAAATATTCACAACCTGATTTCCTGTTTTATAAAATATTGGAACTTAAATTTCAATTGTATCGATGAAATATACAAAAATACCAGCCAAAGAACAACCGGGACATCCAGAAGGAGCTCTTTCTGCAACCCAACACGTCCATCGATGTCCTCCATTTCTCTCTAAATGAAAGAAACTTGATCCTTGAACCCCTGTTTTTCCTTCTGGCGAAAATGATAGACGCTAATCTTTTGGGCAACGAGCCACAAATTTGGGGCAATTGTCGCCCCAAGGAGAATTTGCGATTCAACCCAAGGGCATTTTAGACCTTCGACACAGTAGAGGTTTCCTGCTAGGTCCGGATTTGTTCACAGGTCAAATACTGTGGTTGCTATGGCAGCATGGCGTATGAATAAAATCGCTTTTTAATGTGGAACATGAACAACAAGCTTAATCTTGCTTCTTAAAAGAACAAAAACGCTCCCCCAAGGTGAGTCTAGTTCATGTCTGGTTTCTGAATCATCAGACAAGCGCGTTGACCCATTCTTCCTCTCCGTTGATACAAAAGAGCCGAATATAGAATGAATTCTTTGTCACTTTTCGGAGAACAAAACAATGCCAAATAAACACACCAGTCTCTTTCAAACACCTACGAACGCAAAATCATACATTCTATCTTATCTAAATAAAAATAACTGGTTAGAATAACTTCCCTGTCATTCAAATTGTGAATTTAAAGCATCCCTTAGATCGACTGTCAATTCTACTTAAACAAATTTATTGAATGGTACAAAAACTGTTCGGATGACATCATTTTTAACTAGATTATTGGCTACGTTATCGCCATCAAAGATTTTGTGACTCTTCAATTTTTGCCTTAAGTTGTTTAACCCATAAATTTTTAAATTCACTCTTCCTTGGCATTCGGTACATTGAGGAAACACAACGCCCTATACATTAGGCCTCTCTTTAAGAAAACAAGGCCTCCTCTTCTCCCATCTAGCGTAACCCCCTTGCTAAATGTACCCCTAAGTTCTATGATATAGCAGTTAATATAGAATAATATGAAGTGGATAACATGATATGCAATGAGGGTGAGCCCCCGTGAAAGTAAATCAAAACACTGCGATCCCTCAATGCGTCATTTTTTAACGGGGTTCCTAGCCCTCGTTTGCAGGTAAATGGGTTTTGTAGGCACTAACACAGGAATGCTTGCTATTAAATCCCCAAAGCCTATCTTACACTTGCCAAATAACAACCCTATACTACTCCACTAGAGTGCACCTGCGCAGGAACAGGCGCGGCTGATAATCCGTGTGCGGGGCCAGAGGCTGGCATCCTGCGGCTTTCTTTTCCAGACATGATCTTCCAGCGATGAACGTATTCATGTCATTTTATAAATTGCCTACATACGTGTACTGATTGGTTCATTTTGTCACGTGGTGTCTAGACAAACTGTCTCGCCAATGCTATTGTCTGAGAGTGACCGATGATGGCGGAAAAATTTGGGAAGTTGATAAGATTATAAAACTGTGTAATTTGGGTCAAGAAAAACTATAACCATTGATAAAATGAATTGAGGAGAACAGTTTGAAAATTCATATTCACAATTGAAAATAAAAAATGTGACCTCATTTGTAAATGGTTTCTTGGCAATATAAGCAAGTGGTTGAACCAAACATCCAGGAAAAAAAGAAAAATGTCGGCTTCTCAGAAAAGCAAGGCTGGCACTTCCAAATGATCCTACATTTTGACCAAAATATAAGAAACTTTAGTTCTAGGCTCGAGAAAAACTAAGATACTAAAAATTTCAATTTTTATGTAAAGAGTTCAAAGGGTTTTATGGCTTAATTTCGATTTTCTGCATTTAGTTTTATATTATTTGCAGACAATATGCAATCATATTCTTAAGAAATTCTCAAATGCGAGGTAATTTTAAGGTCCCGAAGATAAGAAACTTTTTGTGCTAAAGCGCCAAAATTTGGATGCCAAAACAAAACGCTTTTGTCGCTTCGTACTGATTCGACTCTATTTACAAAACGTGTATTGGACATGTGCCACTCGTACAGCTGGGGTTTTGCCATCGAAGGCTTCAAATGGCCTAGTGAATATTCACAATGTTTTGTTTTATGAAAACTAAGGCAATATTTAAGGGGCTGGTTGGAAATCATAAATGCTCCATGATTGCAGAACCATTGAGAGTGACTAGAGGCAAATAAAAATCACAAGAAGTAAAAGCAAATGAAATAATTGTTTTTCATCGTATTTTATATAAAAAGGCAAAAAAACAAGTGTAACATGAAAGATCCTTGTTCTGCCTGAGGACAAAAAAGTCAGTTTCTTGTAAAACGCTTAGACTTACTCCACGAGCCTCTGTTTTGCTACTGCCTCACTTAACTGATGCTTCGACAGTGACGGTGTCGGATTCTTTAAGTTTGTTGTCGTCTTCCGAAAAAGAGGTTTCAAGTATTAAAGACTGACAGTGAAAGAAAGAAAGTTTTTTATTATTCAAACTCTCTGCTTGCTTGTCCCATTTGCCCCTGCAACTTTCTGCTTGCTTGTCCCATTTGCCCCTGCAGCCCCCAAGAATAGGTGCATCTGAACACAGAAATTCTTATTTTGTATTCTGTATGTCAAAATTTTCAAAGTCACCAAAAAGAGTCAATTGTATCAAGCAACTCCCCAACCTCCCTCCTCCCCCATTTTAAGAAATTTTCCCTGGGGAACTGACACAAAAGAGCATTTCTTAACGTGACGCAACTGACGGCAAAAACATAAGCAAAGGGACTGGTGTGAACAGTATGTAAGGCTTCGAGGTCTTACAGATCAGCCCTTACTCCCATGCAGCAATACGTTACATCTAACAACGACAGCGACATAAAAAGCATTTTTTGAGACACGTCTAACTGATTGTTAACACAATTTTCAACAAAAAGGCACTTGCTAATGGGGAATCAGAGGTCAACTAGTGGGGAGATTCAAGGGGCTGGTGGGGGAATTCCCCACTAGTTTATGTGTTAAAAGATCCCCTTATTTGCTCGCTTTCTATTTTCATGGCGATGGCAACTGCAGTCACCTTTTTGTCCTTGTCCAAGAAGCTTCCTCAATCAATAATTGTCTGCCAAAAATGAACCAGTTGGATAAAACCACATCAAAGGTTTCCCACCTGAATTCAAAGCGCCCAGCAGAAGCCGTGGTTTCCATAAATGGGCCTAAAATGTCATCCGGCCTGGAAATTCGAGGCCTAGGGCAAATGGGCACCTGTAAAAGCGGTTGATGTTTGGACTAGTTTCATTCAACTTTGGCAATACAAGCACCTGAATGAAAGAGTTATTTAACGACAAAATATTTGTTCTAACCAACATTTGCTAACTTTGCATAACTTGCAAGAAAGCTATCCTCAAACGAGACTGAATAAACATGGCCCTTTTTCGAGGTGATAAAAACCATTTATTAAATTGATGCCAATCTTCAACATAAAAGATTGAGAGATAAGGGAATGGCCCAAAGAAATAATTACCAACCTTACGAAAAGAATAATTGCCCACACAGCCTACCATTTGGGTAATTCACCTGACGTCATCACTGGACGTTATATATGTATGGATTGAGTGATATTGCAAGAAGGGGCCCTGGGCACAGAAACCCAACCAACCCACCTATGAAGATGTACATTCCTGATGATATGATGATAGCTGCCCAGGGGACTGAACCAAAATATTTTTATCCAAAAATTAGATTTTATCATGCGATTTTACTTTCCCGATAAAACCTGACCAAGCCAGAAAATCTGGATCTCGACTAACGCTAGGGGCACACTGCCCAGTGTGCCCTGTGGTTGATGCAGCACTGCATGGAACGAATGGTTTTGACTAGCTGCATTTTGGATGTTTGCCACTCTTTCCAAACCGCGTTTCAAAACTTTTTTACAACAATCCAGGGTTTTTCAGGAATTTTCGATGCAAAACAAATACGAGGCTTGATGGTATATAGTTAGAGGAAAAATTGGCCTTCGTACTCAATGTTCGAAATTTTCCTTTCTCTGTATCTTATATAGGGTAAGATGGGGGTAATGAGGGGGGTGGGGCATTTGAAATAAAAGAGTTTCCATGACCATGTCCACACAACATGCTTTTAGCTGAAATTTTTCAATATATTTTCGGATCGACCGGAGACGCCTTGAGCCCCTTTCCTGATAATTAAATTGACTGTGCATCAAAGCATTTCAGCTGTCACTCTTCTAGGATACCCAAATATCTCGAACGCCTATTTCTCACGCTTCTTAATGAAAACCAATCAAAGTACTTCTTAACCAAACCAAACTAATGCATTTCGTAAGCAAATAAACATAACCGATGTACTTCGTAAGGAAAGAAGTCGAACCAATGCACTTCGAAACGAAACCTAGATGGTGTTCTTTGTACCGAAAGAAACCCAAGCAATGTTTTTCGTAACGAAACCTAGATAATGTTCTTTGTACCGAAAGAAACCCAACCAATGTACTTCGTAACGAAGCCTAGATAATGTACTTCGTAAGGAAAGAAACCCAACCAATGCATTTTGTAAGGAAAGAAACCAAACCAAAGCACTTCGAAACGAGACCAAATCAATGTAATTCATAACGAAACCACACCTATCTACTTGGAAAAGAGACTAAGCTAATGTACTTCGAACGTTTTTGCTTGGGACTTGACTTTGAATTGATCAGTGAAGTGAAACAACAGCCAAGAAAAAAACAATTGGCGGTTTTGTTGGAGATCCGGGAATAAAATATTGATGAAGTATCGATGAAAAAGACAGAGAAATTGAAATAATTCTCAGTATATGTTCAGTTTCATGTTGTGAAAATCCACGAGTTAGACTTTAAGAGACAAAACAACAATTGGGAAAATTGGCAGCTGTAATTTTTCAAAGAATGCATATTCCAAAAAGCCAAAGATTCGGAAACCAGGCAGTAGCAAACTGAGAGAAAAGACGGTTTGCAGATGTTCATACCTCGCCTTTTCTGAAATGATGGTACAAATTCATCACTAACTGTTCAGGTATTTGCTTTTTCTTCGCCAGACTGAAGAAAAAATGAACGATCGCAGAAGACACTCAGTAAATTGCGTCGACAAAATCATTTTTTCTCAAGTATCTTCACAAAAACCGTTTTCGAATCAGCTAATCGAGAGGAGGCTCTGCGTGTGCCTTGACGTCTTCCTTCCATTCGAAATAACGACCTTATGTGATTATTTGACCAAGACAAGACCTTGTCTACACTGCTGCGGTTTCAGGAATCTGCATGTTCAAGCCATGTTTGTAACATTAAATTCATCCACACCACACCCTTAGACAGTGGGGGACAAAAGGGGCTATGCCCTAAAAAAGCAATCCCCTCTTCCCACACCAATGCTTCAATGTATACAATCTCAAATGCTCACTTGAAACACTGTTCTCCTTGTCCAGTGCCTCTTGTTCACTCTGAAAGCTTCACCAATTTCTATTAGTTTGGCGTTGCCCTAGAACAAAGCCGAAATCTTACATGAAAAGGCAACAGTTATGTTAATCTGGCCGGTTGATAAGAACTCCCTTTTTTTTCTTCTCAAATGCATTTACAGCATACCAGGTGGACAATCCACCTGAAGTCGTTAACCTTGCCCTCCACCAAGCTCAGAGCCTCCTTTTAGTGATCCGGCCTCGGTCCCACTTTCCCTTTTCGAAACGATGATCAGATCACGTTGACCTGAGCCCAACTGTCTAGGTTTGCAAGCAACCGGCGATTAGCGTCTGATTCCCTAGAGCTGCCGCGCTGCACGCTTTGCGCGCCAGACTGGCTTCTCCCCGATCTATACAAAAGCCATTATACAGGTTGCAGTTCATATATTTGCGTTCCGCTCGCCACCGTTCGTGCGTGGCCTAAAACTGGTGTTTTGACCCCGTGTGCGATAATCAAAGCACGTTTGCTTTCGGGCGGGTCATCCACATTGTGGCGCATTGCATGATATTACTGATGAAACCGTATGGAATCATGCTTTAAAATCATGTCCATATTATTCCTTTACAAAAATATAAGGCCAACAGCACCACATTAAAGATTTTTCTGCTTTAAAAAATTTAATTCTCACCTCATTAAACCGAACATCGCTTTTTTGTCCTTTGATCTTAATATGCGCACAGCTCTGATGAGATGAGATCGATCTAAAATCTCAAAGAAGCAAAATTGTTACCAGATTTGTGCCCTAAAAATGTTTATGACTTAGAACCCATACTACATGAAATCTGCTTTGAGACATTTCAGGAGAAAAATGTTTTCTTACATTTCATATTACACTTATCTCTGGTATCAGATTCCTCGTAAAAACTACATCATAAAAGAAAGAGGTTGAAATCCCCAAATTATGGATAAAAATTAAAGATATTTGCCTGTAAATGGAATGAGTAGGATGTATGAATAAGCAGAAAGGTCCAGGAGTCCAAAGCGAGTTTAAAGCCCTAAAATCGGGGAGGGGGTTCACAACCCCATATCAAATGTTATATTTTAATGAGCAAAAGAGTCGGATTTTAGCAAAAGCTCTACCAATGATGAAATGTTAGACATTTAGATTTTATATAAAATTGCTGGCCTCTGTCATAGTACCTATACCCTTTTTCCCTTAGAATGTTCTCAAAAGTATACGAAATTATGTTAAAAACAGGAATCAAGAACATTCTAAGAAAAATGCGACAATTGGAATGCGATCATTGTTATCCAAACGAAAATTCACGACGTTGAAATAACACAATTAAATACAAGACACTAAAAAATGTGGTTCTACATTATATAGTTTAGTAAAATTAACAACATCGGCAAAACGTGAACAGCACAGTAAATTGGATTGGTGATTCATTGTAAACAATTTGGACAGCACTTGTATAACATGCAACATGAGATGATGAACGCATTCGGCTCTTACTGGACACTGATATGATAACGAGACAATTGCATGAAACTGAGGCACTTCATTCTACGAAAACTTTCAATGGGTCTATCACGTGAGTAATATTTTCTCGTGCAAAGAGGCGCATTCTTACGGCTGTAAAAGACAGGGACGCCGAAGAGAGGGGCTCGAGGGTTCAACCGCCCCTGTTGCCTTTTAATAAGAGGGGCAAGGGGGCCAAAGTGCCTTATTTACTCGTGTAAAGAGGCGCATTCTTTCGGCTGTAAAAGACGTTACCTAGCACAACAATTGTGAACTAAGAAGAATGCGAGGTATCCACCGAAACGAGATTTTCCTTTGACGAAAGACACTGAAACATTATTGCTGTTTATAACGCAATTTGTAATCTTTGACAAGGACGAGGGGGTCTGGAAATTATAGGAGAGGGGGTCTGGAAAGTAGAAATGACGTTTCTGCTGCAAATGGTCATAAAATTGACCCTAAAGCATGAGGTTGCAAATAGTCACAGAATGCAGTGAATACGGAGTTTTCGTTTACAAAAGACCTTTTAAATGCATTAGGCCGATCTACGTCAACAACAACAACAACAAAGGAACAGGATAAAAAACCGTCCGACATATTTCGTACGAGATTTCGACAAGTAATTAAATTCACAAAAAATTTACAATTGCAACAACATTCCTAAAAAATATTTCAGAATATTTGGGACAATGTTCTTTAATAAGCAAAAATTTACAAGAAGGGAAACAGCTGAAATGGGTATACTGTGGAAGTTTATTTGTTTTAATGTGAATGTACTATTGACATTCAATTTTGTCTCTCAATTGATTCAACGGGACAGCCTTTGTGGTAAAGTTGAAAATAAGTGACACTCAAAGGTGATAGATAAGGTCACAGGTGATAGATAAGGTCATAGGTGAAATTTGGTAGGTCCGGTCAAAGGTGATCTGTTGATTGCCATCCTAATATCTGCTTGGAGAAGAGAAAAGACGAAGAAGGAAATTGAAGGTAGGAAAAATACAAAAAAACTTGCCAAATGTAAAAAACAGAAGAAATTGGAAAAAAGAAAGAAGGAGAAACGAAACTAAAAAAAAGAAAATAAATGATAGAGGAATGAGAACAAACAGAATAAATTTAGAATGCAAGTTAAAAAAGGTCTGAAGGAAAAATGAGAAATGAGTGAAGAACATTTTAGCGGTTCGCAATGAAAAAGGATGGATGCAAATAAGGAGAAGGATGCAAAGTTGAAAATACGAAGAAAAATAGGAAACAGAAGAGGTGAAAAGAACCTAAAGTGCTTTTAGAAAGAAAATTACAATCTTACATACATCAATACTTACATACAAGAACTATAAACAAATATGTACCTATTAAAGTGAAATATATATTTACGAACTACTCATTCTAAAAAAGTCTCGTGGTACGATTTCATAAGACACACATTCACGAATCGACAAAGGCGGACAGCCCTACACTACTTGGAAAATGACCCATAAGTAAAACCGTCCGATAATATTGAGGTAAAAGCCCTACAATTTAGTGTCAAACCTATCCGTTTTTCCGTATAAATAACTCAATTTCTTATAAAAATCATAAATATTTGAGAAAATGCGATGAGTTGCGAGTTTTTTTGGATACCTCTTACTCGTATCTTAAGTTTGGACGGCTTGTTGTGATGCAGTAATGCCGTTTAAATCCTTGATTAGGCCTTCCAGCCCGGCCATTTCTCTTTCAAGATCCGTTAAGGCCTAAAAAAGAAACATTAGAAAATCAATGAACTTTTAAGAGCCTAAAGATAAAACAAGGGCCTTAGGCAGAAACACTCAAAACACTTAAAAATTTGCTGGGGCCTAAAGCAAAATCGTAAAACACATCGATGATCTGTTTGAGGTTAAAGAAGAAACTTTTAACAAATCAAAGATCTGTTAGGGCCTAAAGCAGAAACGTAAAACACATCGATGATCTGTTTGAGGTTAAAGGAGAAACTTAAAAACTTAAAACACATTAAAGATCTATCAAGGTCTAAATCACAATCTTAAAACACATCACAGATATGTTACCGAGCTCTACCGAGCTGTCTACACTAGGCAGCTTATTCAGTTTTCTTTATCTTTATAACAAACAAAACCTTGGTTCCAACTCAGAATCAGAGACCCGAAAAATTGGCGACCGCAGATTACACCAGAGAGGAAGGACAATTAAAGAAGCTTTCTTTTTCAGTTATTACCCCATGGAAATTAAAATATCTAACCCCAGTCCAAAATTTGTTGCAGTAGCCAGTGTGTAAGAGAAAATGAGTAGATGGATTAATGCTTGCACCAGGAATGTAATCTGACTCTTACGAAGGTCATAAGGATTGCGCAAGACAAAGTTAATCTATCAAAGATTAACGAGATCTAAATTAAGATTACTGATAATCTGACATACCGGATGACTTGATGATCTGACTTCAGGGAAATCCTTGTGACCGCCATCATCATTCACCGCAGTTGAGCTGCTGTAGGCTCGTCGATTACTGCCTAGTTTTGTTGTTGCGCTTGAAAACTGAAAAAAGATTGGAACGCGTATTGGAATAAGGATATATATAAAGATGGAGCAATGTTCGCATTTTGCAAAGTCTCGATGACTGTAATCTTGATTGAAGCAATCCAAAGGTGGATTGATAATCTACGAAGCTGGATTAATGATTCATGATTCAGCTTTTAAAGGTGCAGAATGATCGCATTTTGTTACAAAAAATTTACCTGATTTTATTGGCAGATAATTACCTGAGAATAGCCGCCATTTGACGAAGTATACGACTGTTGTTTCCTTGGTAACGTTGATACATTTCGAACAGTCGAATGCTGGTACGACACGGTGTAACTCATTCCGTTCCCAAACCGACTTTCTGACGACTTTTCAAGTGTCCGCTCCGCAGTTCCGTATGAGTTACTTCGTTCGACACGTGGTATTGTCGTCTTCGAAATGAAAATCGTTTTTCCTTCAGGACTTCCACTGTACCCATTGACCGTTCCTCCACTTATACTAGCTCCTCCAGCAATACTTGATACTACGCCAATCCCTGATGCTCCTCCGCCTATTCCTGATGCTCCTCCGCCTATTCCTGATGCTCCTCCGCCTATCCCTAATGCTCCTCCTCCTATCCCTAATGCTCCTCCGCCTATCCCTAATGCTCCTCCGCCTATCCCTGGTGCTGCTCCGCCGTAACCGGCAATCAATTCAGACTGGGCTTGCGTAGTTTCCGATCGATAAAGCGCAGACGATTCAGAGGTTTGTTGCGTTGACGATGTGTAGCTCAACTGTGAAGCAGAGCCTGTGGAGGAGAATTAACGTCATTTTATAAACATGTCTAATTCCTAGTAGAATCAAAGACACAGAAAAATAAATTCATTTGTGTATTTACGCGGTGAAAATCCAATGCAAAAAATCAGGCCCAATTTCAGGCCTAGTTTTGGTAAATAATTCAAAGTTCTCTGCAAAAATTTTTAAATTCATATGCGGATAGTGAAAGCAAATTTTCAAATTTTAAATGTTTTTTTTAGCTAGGTACTTATGAGAAAGAACTCTTGTCAAAGTGACCCTAGATTGGAACACATTTTCTAAAGAACTTTGAAAAATTTTGAAATATCTAAAAGATTTCACGATATCGATATCGACATCAGCCATAAAATTGAGCAAAATATACCATTCTTGCCAAACATTCTTCTGTAGCCAATTACAATGTAAGGTAAAAAAATTTGAAATTTGAAAAAATTTCCTTTCAACATAAAAAATTTGATTTCCTTCCAACATGAATACAAAACTAACCGTGACGTGAATGACTGGCAGCTCTAGATCCCAGACCTCTTCCTTCTCCACCAGCACTTGATAAAGACAATTGGCTGCCTTGACGCGAGGAAACCCGCTCTGTATCGCCTGAGCCGAACTTTACTCCTGAATCCAAAAGCCCTAGGCCTTGAAGGGCCTCGAAAGCTGCGTGCTGCTCAGATTCAAGCCTCGTAGTGAAATAATCACTGCTTTGGAAAAAGAGGCCACCAAATTTCAGCTTTGCGGAGTATCCTTGGGCCATCTGTGTTGTGATGTACTGTGGAGGAGGAAGCTTATACCGCTGACAGAAGTCATGTAGACTACTTTTGAATGAAATGAAACTGGCGTCGCCTGGACCGGGAACTGTGAAGCAAGCTGTAAGATAAAGAAATTGCGATGATGCAAAGGAAAAGCTGAGTGAAATTCTAGTAATTCAGGATGTGAATAAATATAAACAGCGGAGAAAAGCGCACTTTCTCTCACCATTAGGACTGTACTGTGCCGAAGACTCCATCATGGAAAGACCATGCAGAGCAGTGTAGGCCACTTTCTGCTCAGCGTCCTGTGAACTGTGCGAAGGAGTGTCAGTGGTGAAGGTGTAACTCCCGACATTTACCTGCAACGTAAGCGATGTTTGGCATTGAAGAGAAGTTACGTTAAACATTTAAAATGAAGAATCGACGTGGCAACGGAAGATGGGCTGGCGAATCGCGATGGAAACTATGCCAAGTTTCTTACAAGAAAGTTAAACCCAACCAACACACGGATATTATCGAGCCACACCCAATTCATTCAATCAGAATAAGTTTGACAATGTTACATCTGCTCTTTAGAAAAGGACATCGAAATTTTTGTATTTGCAAACAATTGCATAAACAATTTCGAGTTTAAGGATATTTTCATTGACCAGAAAGGATAACAAAAAAATTGGCTTCATGAAGCTAAATGCAAAAGTAACAAAATTTGTTTCATATTTTTGGTTCTTTTGCCCATATCATAAGCTTGCATAAAAGACGAATATAAAAGACGGTAGCATTGCAGTGATATCTAAAAACAAAGTAAACTCTGACCTGTGACCCATAACCTTGACTTTGAACTGTTGTTGTGAACCTCGGAGGGAGAATGTTGCATTGTTGGCAAAAGTCATGCAAACTGCATTTGTAGGATATAAAAGACTGCTCGCCTGGACTGGGCACCGTAATACTCGCTGAAATATCAAACATGGCCTCGTTAGACTCTCAGAATTTGAGTCATTTAAGTCAGTGTCCTTGCTGGGCCTAAGCGACTTTTTCTTGGCGCATAGACAGCGGTGGGATAAACATGAGATACTCACGGTGCTTCTAAAAGAGAGTTCTAGCATATTTCTCCCTGGCAAAGTACTTAGCAAGAAATACCTCGGGCACGTGAAGAAACTCCCTTGGAAGGTATCGAGTTAAATGATTCATATATTGACGGTTTGAGTTTGATTTTGATCTTTGAGATGAAACCACAGATGAAAGGTAGCATGAATAGGACAAAGCTATCAAATGTAGGCAATTTCCATTGTTTTACTGAGCAACCTCTAAGTCATCATCTCTGTCTATACGACATCAAGCAATCTGCAGCAGACAACCTAACAGCCCTTCTTCAGTACAGCATAAAAAGAGTTTAAATAAAGAGCCTATTATTAACAGAATGGCACTTAAAGCAGCACGACATAATAGCTACGTCATCATCCATTTGTCACTAACGATAAACTCACCATCAGCACCAAATTTTGCAGCTATGGCCAAAGCGCCGATTCCCTGAAGAGCGAAGAACGCCGCTCTCTGTTCGCTCTCTTGTCTGCTAGCTCCCAGATCACCTACGCCACCATACTGGTGTCCTCCGCAGACAACATTGCTGATGTGGCCTCCTTTTTCTTGGAATGTGTTGTAATGAGGCTGCAACCATCCCGTTTTGTGGCAGTAGTCGTTCAGACTCGTTTTGTATGAAATGAATGTGGCGTCTCCAGGGACAGCAACTCGAACACCTGGAAAATAAAATGTCAAAATCAAAGGTCGGAAGGTCAAATCAAGGTCAAAACCACACAAGCAAAAATTTGAAGTTTAGAGCGTACAAAAAAGGATATCCCAAATGAAAGTGTCCAATCCTTATTAATAAATCACTCTCTATTTATCTTCAAACTACAAGCCAAAAAAACGAAAACATTTCTCAGGAAACCAATCAAAAGTGAAAGGTTGGAAAGAAAGGATTTGGAGAGCACGGATGCTATTGTAACAAAAAATTTGCTGGTTTTCAATGGCTTTCCTCGTGGCTGTCAGAGTTGTAGTCGTCACTAGAGTCCCATCTACGGAGAAGCTTGCAGTGTTTCGCGCAGAAAGGTGGTACGGAGCAGTAAGGTGGCAAGTCCTTAATTGGTATTGGCCCACAGGCTAAGGACATCAGACAAGGGTCAAATGTCAAGCTGAAGGCAGGGTTTATATTTGACAGAACATCGACTATGATTCATGATAAAATCAACATGGAAACAATCATAAACAAATCTTCTTAGGGATTTCGCACGTCGGATCAAAGTGAATTCCGTTCTGATAAGCTCTAGATTATAATTTAGGAAAGATTGCACCGGAGGATTGCAAAGATTTGCGCTGGATTAGTGACAATAAGAAACCTACCTGCACCACTTCTGCTGCTGTTCAGCGACCCGTTTGATGCTGCGGTGTGGTAAGAATCAGCGGCAAGGCTAGAATGAAAGAAAATAAATAAATATCTGATAAATATAAAAATAAAAAAAATATAATGTCAAATGAATGCATGTCAAAAATTCTATATTCTATTTAAAAAAGCTAAAATTCTAGCAGAAAGGTCAAAGGGCAGGGTCAAGTTGTTAAGGTCACTCACCCTCCCATGACTGGCACAGCAGTCTCGAATTCATTTGCTTTCAGAGGCTGAAGCTCTGTCTCTTGAACTCTCATTGCAGCTGCACCACCGCCAGCACCTCTCCACAAATCCGGGGGAGCGTCTTTCTTCACCTTGCCGAATCCATTTACAGGTGTAGCAACGTAGGCACCTTTTCCCCCGTCCCTAAAAATTCATCAATACTTAAGAAGACTGTCTGCAAAGAAAAAACTCTACCTTGGCAATGAATGCGCAGGGGGTAATACATGTTTTGGTATTTTCAAGACTCCATGCATTTCATTGGCTTTCAAATAAGTCATTAGAGAAAGATCTTTACTGAGAACGAAAATTAAAAAATCTTAATAATTATAAATTATAAACAATTATATGCAATAAAAATCTTAATCACTGCTGAAATGTGATCTTGATGCAGTTAAAGCAACATGATTTGGTTAATTACAATTAGCGAGATCATGAAGTCAATAATTATGATTGCTTTGATTAGATGATTTCTCAATCATGATTCCTTTGATGTGACGATTCCTACAGCCATCATACATCAAAATAACAAGCACGACCATTATGATTCGAATGTTGAGGGAACATACCTCTTTTTGCAGCAACACGGAAAGAGGCAAATCAAACATGGCAGACAGTATTTATCATAGCAAGCAAAACAGCATGGGCAGCAGGCTTGTCCTTTCTTTCTGCAGCAGCAGCAATACAACAACAGCAACAAAAGCAGGAGAAGTAGCAGCAATAAAACAATGACCAGAATTATCCACCAAAGCTTACTATCGAGATCGTCGGGGTGGTGATCTGGATTGGAAAAGACGGAGTCATGGTTCGGGATCCAAGGAGCAAGGGAGTTAGGACCATCAAATGATACGAGAACGAGGTACACAGCACATGGCTGCCAGTCACGTACATCTTGAAGATGTGCTCCTGTTTTAGTAAACAATCTTTCGCATAAGCTGAAGAATGATCTAGCTCAAATGCACCTGCATTTCTTTCGGTTCTTTTACAAGCAGCACCCTTCAAATGATGATGTCGATGATTGGGAGGTGGGGGTTAGAATTAAAGCTCTTCGGCTGAAGCTCCTTCGATGAAATCGGATGAGTCCGGAACATATTTGGGAAAAGAACCTCTTTGGCTTGCATCAAGATTAGATAATTGACTGATAACGGGAAGGAGAAAATTCTAGGTTTTTAAGGTAACTAGATTCTAGCTAAAAGAGATTTAAGTGGAACAAATATCTCTCGAATTAATCAATCGAATTATGATGTCATTTAAGTCGATATGACGTCATTGAGGGTAGAACCAACCTTGTCTGCCTGGCTTCACTTTTCCACCCGGAGCAACAAAAACCGGACGGCCAGCACCTGCGGAGAAGGGAAAAGGAATTGAAGCGGCTGCGGATTGAAATGACAAAACGAAAAGATCATCAACAAGATAAGCTGGGAAAAAGCTTTTTAACATTTGGTCATATTCCTGACAGCGGTATCATTCTCAAAAGAAATGATAAGATTCAAAATTCAAATTTATAAACCTTTTCTCAGAATAAAAAAGTTATTAATTAAGGCATTTTTCGAATCAGTTACAGATTTATTGAAAACCTTGTACTTGAACCAAAAATATAGATAAAATATAACATATTAATATAAATAGCGACGATAAAAGACATGGATAGACTGAAGGGGGATATTTTAAACTAATTTCAAATCTTGGACGATTGAACTTGAAATATAAGGACTAAAAGAAAATTGTAACGAACAAATTGATTTTCGAATACCTGTTTGAATAACAGCAGTCTCTGACTTAGGGCCTTCGCCAACATCATTGACAGCAATGACATTGAAGTAATATAAAGTGCCGGTAGTAAGACCAGTGACGTTGTAAGTCATTATGTTACCTAGAAGCAAAATGTCATTTTTCAGAAAGAGTACACAAAAAATTAGTAAATATCGCGAAAAAACTGATAAGAAAAAGATCCGAATCTTTTGAAAAAACAAACCTCCAACATCCTTTGATATTCTTTGTTTATCATTTTCTGTGTTGTCAGCGGTATACAGAATCTTGTAGGTTTTTATCACCCCATTGGGGTAGAGGGGCACCTGCCAGTTTAGAAGAACCCATGTGTCATTGCTGCGAGCTGTGACGTCGACAGGGGCACTGGGAACTACAAGGGAAGAAGTGGATAATAAGGGAGGAAATATTTTTCGTAAAAAGGGAATTTTATTTGGGAATTTCCCATAAAAACCATGGTAAATTCCGTTTGTGCAATAGAAAAATTAAGACTCAACTTGAAACGGAAAAAATTGATACCTGAAATTACTTTTGTCAGAAAATTGACATACATAGTGTTCAGAAACATAGTGCGAAGGAGAAGTAGAAAGATGCATTTCAATTTCCAAGTTCTGTAAACACAATCTTAAATCATCATTGTTATCATTACAAAAGGAACAACACGATAGCATATCAACATTTTCTTTGTTTTTTATGAAACGCTGGTCTCAACTCAGATTGATGTAGGACAACGGTTGTGACAACTGTTGGATATATTGTCCCTTGGTGGTTCTAGCGGTTCAAGGTGGGCCCCATTGAAGTGCATGCCTGGCCCTAGGCAACTGCCCCCTGTTCCACTCTTAGAGGGAATTATTTAAGTCTTCATATACTTCAAAAAAAAAAAAAACCAGCCACTCACAATCGGGCATCGTTGTTCTAATGATGGTTGCCCCCGTCCCTGCCATTGCAATTTCTCTGTCAACGCTGAATCTGTACTGCGTGAAGGGGGTCAATCCTTTGATCGTTATCATTGGCTTGAATGCCTCAAGACTGACCATTTCCCCCCGGCCTTCGTCGTCGTATGCCGTGTACGTTACAAAATATTTCGAACGCGACGTTCCAAGATCGTCTGTCCAATTGAAAGTTATGCTTCGTTTTCTAACAGCCACGTGGTCGATCTTGAGGACGGGTGTTGCTACAAGAGAATGACGAATGATTAAATTGGGCAAAAGCGTTAGCCTTTAGACGATACGACGCCTAGAATGTCACCCGTATTTATTTCTGAATATAGGTTACTCACCAATAGGAGCTACGACAGTTGTCACCTCTTGTGTGCTCTTCAACCCCTTTTGATTGACAGCTCTAACAATACATTCGTAGGTGTGTTGTGACTCTGTAAAACAACCAATCATTGACTGTTATAATGATGGCGTGACATATTGTTGCTACGTAACACAACTTGATTAAATTGAAGAAGATAGAAATGCTGACACTCCAGGTCTAATGATTGCCAAATATGTCCGCTAGAGATCAGGACAGGAGCACGGCTTTTGGTCGGATATTGGCTGTGATGAAGTTAGACAAATCGAATGGAAAGCTTGCTTTATCAACCAATCAATTTTCTATAACATGTAACATGCCATTCAAAGTAAATGTGATAAGAAACTTACTGACTCCTTTCGAAATTACGTAACTCTGGGAGCTCCAGCCATCGAGCTTGATGACGTCAAATACGTTCCCAGGCTCCGTCTTGTCCCTTATTATAACCTCGTATCCAGACACATAAACACGTCTGTAATTAGCAGGCTCCTTCCAAGTGACAGTCAGACCACGCGTAGTCGCAATACTCTGCAGATTTCTTACTGGCCCAGGTGCAATTGTATCTGAAATGCCAGAAATGATTTTCAGTTTATGAAGTCGCTCTTTAGCTATTAACAATATTATCATAAACAGCGGTGGATGAATAAAACTCAAACAGTTATAATAAGATTTTATTAAGTAAAATTCATTTAAGATTTCGTTCATGCAAATAGCCTTTACACCGACATTTTTAAATGGTAGGTATTTCTGTTTCTAACAACCTTTTTGTGTTTCAGAACTTAAAAGTGGCTTTGAAAAAAGCAAACATTTTAGAACATTGTCTTTTTAAAACCCATTTTTATTTCTGTAATGGTGCTTTTTTAAGTAACAAATCAAGACACAACTCAATCTGAGTAGCCATTTTCAATTTTATAACTTTTTCTACACAAGTCAAAGTGTCGACTAACACGGTTGCCTTTATGGTTTAGTGTGGCAAGAAAGCGATGGTAGTTTATGAATCACTGTTGATTAGTGATTTAAAGTATGATTAGCGATCACTCACCGTCCATTGATATCACCGTCAACACATCAGTGAATTGTCCCCAGGTGATGGCATCACGTGCTCGTATTTTGAATCTATACTCGCTACCAGGCCTCGTTGACGTCACATTCAGCTTCATTGTAGCACGGGCCACTTCATTCTTTTCCCATGCCTCTTTTTCGATACTTTGATAGATCTCATATCGGCGAATTGAATCTGAAGACGAGGTAGGCTCCTTCCAACTCAATATAAGTTGCCTTGGCCACGCAGGATTGATTTGAACCAAGAAGTTCAGAGGTGCGCTAGGGCCTGGGAACCAATAAAGTATCTTATAAGTAACGAGATTCCAACAGGCATAAGAGAGAGGGGTAACATCTTCATATCATTTAAGAAGGGTTAAAATGTAACACAATTTATTTTAGAAATGTATGTCGTCAGAAAGAGCACCGAATCCACGTGTTTGAAATTGTGCAGAGACGTACCTCCTTCCTTCTTAGTCCGTCCTCTGACCGCAGATGAAAATGGTCCGACCCCTTTAGACGTTTTTGCAGCAATTCTGATGGAATACTCCGTGTCGCTGTTTAGGCCACCCAAGACATTTGATATGGTTGTAATGGAAGTAGATGGCGCCTGCACAAGGATAAAGAATGGAATCAAATACAAAAACAAAGAAATAAATAATAGCCGCATGTTTATTACCATTCAAGGCGGGGCCAAAAAGAGGGGGCCTCAGCGCCACATTTCTGTCAAATTCTGCAAGCATCCCAGTCAGTTTAAAATGAAAAACTTCTCTAAATTAATATTCTACAATCGTTTTTAAAGTCCTGCTCTTCAAAAGCAATGTAATCGAAACCATTTTGTAAATATCGTATTTCCTCTAATAAACGCCGCCCTCTGATAAACGCTGCCCTCTGATAAACATTTTTTTACATTTCCATAAAGTGAACTTTGAAAAAAATTTCACACAATCTGTATTACATGTTTTTAGGAAAAGAAAGCATTGTTTAAAGTCTGTTTTTATTTATTTTCATCGCACTTTTTTTGTCATTTTTCATTTAACAAATTTTTCATTTTGTATCAAACGCCGCCACCTATTGAACGCTGCATCTAAAATTTGGATTTGTAATAAACGCCGCGGCGTTCTTTAGAGGAAACACGGTACAACATGAAATTACGTTAAAAGGGGGCAATTTATAGCCGAATCCCACTTATATCTTACTCCATAGAAAATCGGAAAAGTTTAACAAGTTTGGAAAAGATCTCCCCATAAAGACAGACAAAATAAAAAGGCCATTTCTAAATAAAATGAAAAAATACTGAGGCTTCCGGTAGATCTTTTTGACTAGTGTATATTGAAGAAGTTTAAACAAATCAGCTTCATTGGACGTACCGCGATTGTTTTAATTTGGGTTGACGACTTCACACCAACGATTTTATATTTCACGTTGTAAGCCAAAATGGGCCCATTAGCCTCGCTTTCAGTCATTGGCGTCCATTTGATAGTGAGACTGGAGGTTGTGGGGGAGACGACTTGTAGCCCTTTGGGGGCCAAACTTGGAACTGCAAAATATAAATTGAGAAATAAGATACTCATATGTTAGAAAATGTGGCCTGAGAATTATTCAGCCGCTTCATATACCATTATTCTGACAAGGTACCTTTTAAATTCTTAATGACTACAAGTACTTTTGTCAGTTGGGACCGCGTGCACCCGCGTGATCTCCCGCTGACAAGAACACAATACTGTGTATACCAACTATGCGAGGTTATTCATCCGCCAATACCATTTGATTGTAATGATGCGCTCGGAGGGGGGGGGGGGAACACGGGAAAGGCCTAACAAACTAAGGTGATAACTATACAATAAACAATTCAGAGAACAAACAGGATTTTTAAAATAGCAAGATGTATTTTAACAGCGCATAACCCCCCGTTTACAATCTCTGAATTGGTTGATAAGGGATAAACGCGTTGCGCCCGAGACGAATTTTGCGAGGAGTATTATAGATCCCCCCGGTTATATGAGCCCAACAGTACATAGCTACTGCCTAATCCAAAAATCAGGGAAGCACTTTAAGAATATCATCAACAAAAACGGGGGATAACATCTCAATAACTAACCTCCTACATCTGTCTTCGCTGTAACTTCATTTGAAGTTGTCCCGGCAACATTGTTTAGATATGGGACAACCTTAAACTTGTAGTTAGTGGACGCTTTCAGATTTTGGATGAACACAGTGTTAACGGCTCCAAGTACAAGCTCGCTTGGTGAGGCAGGAGCGTGATCGAGGTCGACAAAAACGAGTCGATGGCCGTCAGGTTTTGGGACACTGAAATAAATAATAGGACAGATTCAGAGGCCTCATTTCAACGCCTCTTAAAGAAATAAAAAGCTAATTATAAAAATAGTACTCAATAAATGTATTATTCTGATCCGGCTATAGTATTATAGGAACGCTTATTATGTGGCAAGAATGGCAATGGTTCCTATTTTTTTCTGCTGTAACTATCCACCGTTGATGCTACTTCGAATCTTATTTAACTTGCAGAGAACACGGAGCCAGTGAGAGAGACATTGTGTTGATATATATAACTCTGAACTGAACTTGACATACAAATTAACATACTTATATACAAAATAAATGTGCTGAGTAATGATGTGTTGTGATGATGTAATGATGATGCAATGGAGAAGGAAAGATCTAGGCTTGGGAAGAAATCAGCATGACATAGATGTGTGAACGTGTGATCAATGGTGAAGGGAATGTCATGTGCTACGTGACGCTGTGAATGACGTAGTTGGATGTCATGGTGATGGCATGAAGTAGGAATATGGCCTAATTTACAATATTAAAATCACTACAGTATATTATGAAAAATACCAATTTTTGTTTTGCTAAGTTGACAGCACAATAAAAAAGCAAAACTAACATACCCCGCAGGGACATCCCAATTGAGGTAGACCATGGAGGAGGATTTTGAGGCAATGCGTAGATTGACCACTGCGGTGGAGGCAGTTGCTACAGTAAATAATGAAAATTAACATGGCAACAAGCGGATGCTAAAATAAATATACTAGTTTCTTTAATATTAAGACGAGGCAATAAAGACTAAAAAACAAATAATTTAAGAGCAATTCAAGAACATGATGTATATTTAGTGGGTTTACAGCCAAAATGAAAAAAAACCATCTTTAATCTAGTTTCATTTTGATGAAATATCAATTCGACGCATAAACTGGGCCTTATGATGACAGTTGCGTGGTGATTGCATAAAGCGTAAAATTCAGAACCGAGAGTAGCAACTAGATTTTTTCTGTTCAACACACAAATTATGACTCGACTTTGCGCAGACTTTAAGATTTTACCAATGTTGAAATTTATCATGCAAATTTTCTGCAACTGAGCCACAAGGAGGGTCTTTGTTCACGAGAAACAAGAAAACGATTTTGCCTGCTCACCCGAATGAGTCTTAAATTTGTATCTTGTTGAGACCGGTCCACTTGAATCGCCACTAAATGCTTTGATCCAAAACTCATAATTTGTTGATGGTTGTAAGTTGTTCACCATAACGGTTGTTGAGGTTGTCTCCACTGAACTGACTGTCGAGGTGGTTGCATCCACATTCGAGTAATATACGACATATTTGGTGACACTCGAACCACTGCAAAATACAATAACAGCAATGCCATTAGGAAAATAATTACTAACAATTGATTAATCTTAATTTAAGTCATATCAGATTCAAATAAAAAAGTCTATTGCACAAAATTTCAAAGTAGAACGGACAAATATAGCACATTAAAGTACTTTTGGTCCGAAACTTCTTCGAGTTCAAACCCAAGATAAAGATCAACAGGTACAGATTGAAGGTGAGGGTGAATAGTGGATTTAATTGCCTCCTTGCTTTGTCCAATCAGCGATCGTTAGTTCCTTCCGTAGTGAAAGAGTAAAATTTAGAGAAAATAAATTATTTCCGTCTACAACAGTGGGGCTTTCTTGCTTTGATGAAGATAGATTCCAAAACAGATTAATTTAAAGAAGATGATCCTACATCAGAATCTAACAACCTGAAAAATCTAAAGCTGCATTGTATGAACACGGACTCCTGGCAAAAATTTTGCACTGCTTACATATCGACGATAAAAATCACACATTTAGAATACTTAGTCAAATAAAACAGAAATGGAATAGAGGTTTTGGTACTGAGCTTGTTTGGTGATCCCCATTATGTATACCGAAATCAATGGAGCCGTGGAAGGGGGCTCAGGGGGGCTCAGCCCCCCTTGATAAATTCAGAGAGAGTTATCAAGTGAGTCCATATTCAGTTGAACGAATTCATTTACCATAGATTTCTCATGAATGAGGAATTTCTTTTCAGTCTGGTCTACACACAACGGAGAGTCTTTAGCACAAATTCAAGTGTATTGGGTGTGGTAAGGGCGTGGCCATAGGTATGGCCTTTGAATTCGCCTACAGCACAGCCCCTTTCCAAACTTTTTAGGACGGCACCCCTGACCGAAATGTAACCTTTTCTACTCTTTGTTATTGCATTCTGAGAGTTTTATTATGAAGATCGTTCTAGCCCCTTTCAGAGGGTTTCTAGTCTCTGTAAGTTGATATTGAGCTAAAACAAATCAATATTGAACAATCAAAATCTGTTTACGATACCTTGGGGCTGCCCAGTTCAACTGGATGCTCGATGACGTAATCGTTCCAGTGGTAACACTTGAAACGACATTTGTGGTGGATGAACCTGTTTTGGCGATGTAGTTTGTTGACAAGGCGCCTGTCCCATATTTGTTAATCGCACCAACTTTGATACTGTACTCTGTATTCGGCTCCAAATCTTTTATTGTTGTGTATGTTCTATCGCCACTTATCGTTTCAGTTTCTGTAGAAACAAAGAAAAGTCCCTTATATGGGCAATGAAAGATCATTTTATGGAATCTAATTGGTCCAGATTATCCTGTCAATCAATGATCCACCAATTAGATAGCAGATAACAACTTATGACTTCAACCAACCAAATTCAATGTTTTTACAAGCAAAAATGAGTCATAAGATGGTTTTACGGCACAAATATGTTTTCTATAGTTTTACGAACAAATGTACGTCTTTTAGGAGGCTCGAGTACGAGATTCTTAAAAGAACGCAGTTCTGTGTTACATCGGGGAACAACTAAGTACAGGGGCGGCTGGGAGTAGAAAAGTATTGGTATTAGCCTCCGAAATTAAGACATAAGAAGGTCCCTCCGCAAGGTCCTGAAACTATTTAACAGGGGTGGAGCTTATATGTTCTTATTTAAGAAGGTGGGCAAAATGACCTTTTCGATATGATGGTTTAAAATAGCTTTTGGCAATACCATATCTTACAAAATTATTTGAAGGCACTGGCCCCCGTTGTCTCCCCCCAGACACTGATGACCCTGTGGTAATGTAGTTCATCCTACTAGTTTTGGGTGAAGGATCGGTCCTACGAAATACAAATGAATTATGGCTGCGGCAAATTACTCGAGCAAAATCGTGTTTTGATACAGCGGTTTGCTGCCCAGTAATGGAGCCCCAAGGTATTAGCCCATTAATTCTAATACCATGAGGCTTTTGGCCCGCGAATGAGATTCTATTACGATAAAGCAAGCGATTTACTTTAGAGTAATGCAGCAAAAAACGTAAGATGTATCATTTGATTTGAGAAACCGAGAGAAATAATGTGAGAATGTTGCCTGTGACTCTACGGTCATATAGAATCAAAGTTTTACAAAACATTATTTCATGACTGTTGCTCTTTATATTCAGTGTCTAAATTTTGTCAATCAAATTATCCATCCAAAAGCATTGCTAGCAAAAGTACAGCTACATTTTGTAAATTCATAAAGTTAATTTCCAGAAATATTTTTTCTATAAGCTGAGGCCTTAGAATAGAGCTGGGGCTCTTTCCACCGTCCCTTCCACTGACAGTGGCCCTCATAGTATTAGAAATGAAAAACTAATACCTTACTGCTGTTCACCCATTCTTCGACCATTGCTCAACAAGAGAAATTCACGACATGCAGACCACAACAGACAAAAGAAATTTCGGGGCAGTGTATTAGTTTTTGGAGGCTAATACCATGGCCAGGGTTGCTGATTACGGCATTGATTACACTTTTCAAAGATTTCAATGAGGATTAGGAAAGCTTTCATTCAACGAACAGAAAAGCAAATATAGCTTGGCTATATGAATAGAGCTGGTCGCATCGATAAAATTGTTGTGAAAAAGTGGCAGCGTACAAAAAGCAAAATAAATTTCCTGCAATCTCAGAGACCATAAGTCGCCTTCCTTTGAAAATAAAAAGGTATTAGACTAATACCTTTAATACCACCCCACGCCGCCCCTGACTAAGTATGGCTTTGTCATGTCAGCAACTTGAATATTAATCAATATATATATAAATCATTTAATAAATGATTATTATTTAATAAATTAAAAATCCAAATTGCATATTTTAAAGATGATAGAAGTATTGTTTGTGGAAAACAGCTGAAGCTATTGGTAAAACGGGTACTTACTGAATTTTGTGAATTCTAGAGTAGGAAAATACACGATCTTATACGAGGTTATCTCGCCATTCGTGATGTCCGGTGGTTGCCAGGAGACAAACATTTCTGTTGGTGCTTTGGCATAAGCATTGACGTTTTTCGGCTTTCCTGGAGTGAGAGTGCTACCCCCTGGCTTGCTTGTCGGAATCGGTGTGGTTGTAACAACTGCAAAAGATGACACAGGGGGTTGTTATTGTAGAAATTATTTTGGCAAATAAAGTTGTTCAACAATCCAAGAATTAGTTTTATGTTGAAGAGTGGGGTTCTGATAAGGTGGCAAAGATTATGAGGTTCTTAGGCGAGAAACCCTCTAGAAACAAATTATAAGAAATAACCTTTCAAGACAATAAAAACTAGAAGATAAAAAAATAATTGTTTCATAGAAAAGTGTATTAATAAATTCATTTATCTTTTTAACAAACAACTATTAGCTGATTATGAAAGTGCAAATATTTTATTCCCAGCAAAGAATGTGGCTCAGATTTTAAAAAACGCCTAGACCAATATCAAAAATTTAAATTTTTAAAACGTCACATTAAGACGTGACCTTAAAAAATCAAACTTCAGGGAACCAATTTATGGTGATGAAAATGCAATTTCCACTAATCGTTTTTGAAACTACCTAACCGAATAGGAAAGGCAAATTATATTTCTTAAAAAAACATACTTCTTTCAAACCAAACCAAACCAATGTCTTGGAAATAATTCAAAACTGAAGGGTCAAGTTGGTCTGACCACATGGTCATAGACACATCTTTCGAAGTGTCTAAAGTTAGCCAAAATTTAAAACCTTTATTCATTAAATCTAATTTTATTCTTAATTCATGTAGAAGAGCAAATCATGTTAATTTTTGAAACCAAAACAAAAATGATGTAACTGCCTTTACTGGGTCATATTAATTTAAGAACATAAGGGGCGGAAAACAAATTGCTATATTTTGACAAACTTTTTATGAAATTTTCAAGATTTCTTAGACCTTGCAGGTCAGCAAGAACGGCTGCACTGTTTGAGATTATGCAGAAATCTTGACAAGCAAACAAAATACATAAACAAAAAGAAAAAAAATGATGAAATGATCCGCCTAAGTTTGAATGACAACAAAATGGCTACGAAAATGACTTCAAACTAGACTTGTCAAAATCACATCCAGACTGGAACTCTAAATTCCCCACATGGGTACAAAGAATTTTGATAATACATGACAGATTTCAAGAAATTAACAGAGAAAGTTGTTGGTCAATAAATGTCAACTGCTTTATAAGAAAGAAAGAACAATTTGCTGTTTGTGAATTCAACACGTGTCTTAAATGTTGACATCATCATGAACATCTCAAGCCCATACAATATCTAAATAATGGCAGCTCGATCAATAAAGTTCTCCCAAATCCATGTGAGAAACTGTCACTATAAATTGTTCATACATTTGGTATGTTGTTCACGAAACAAGAATTTTATTTCATCTTACTGACAGAACATCACATCTAATTTGAAGAAATAAGACCCTCAGGCTTCTGCTCCCTCTACAATGACATCTTTAGAAAAAAGATTTCCAGTAGTCAAGCTACTTTAGAAATAAGCTAAAGAAAGGGACTGAAAGGAACTTGAAGACCGAAAGGAAAAAGACTGTCAAAGAAGACAGAATGACACAAAACAGCTAGCACAATGAAAAAGGAATGCATTCAGGGGAGGTGGTAAGCAACTGACCCAGTTCCACAGGTAAACAATACCACTTTTATCTACTCTGCAGACAAAAACATGAGTCTTTAGAGGGTTGATACATTGGGTAAACAGACACAAGGCTGCTGAAACTTCAAATGTGCATCTGATAAAATGAATAACAAACAAAACACCCATTCCTTTTGAGTTATTGTTAATTGAAAGGGCTCAGGGTAATGTAATATTGAATCTTGCCCAGCAAAAATGAGAGCATTGGGACTATCCATGTCAATCTACAATTGTTGGTTGGCACAAATGAATAACAAGTGGTACATATCAATAATCAGTCTGTAGAAATCTCTTGGGATCAGTGAAAGCAAGTTTACTGACCCGAGACAGAACTAGGAACAGGACATGAATTTCATCAGCCTTATTGTCCCACTCTTTATGCAATAACATAGAGGATTATGGGTTGAGAAAAAGGCTCAAACAGGCAGATGAAATTCAACAAGGCGTAATATCAAAATGAACAAAGGGAGAAATATTTTCAGCATTATGACATGAAAGATTGAATAGAAAATGGAGCTGACAAAAAGTGACACATGCACATTGAGCTTGTCATACCAGACAAGATTGGAATTTCATTTCCTGACACAGCCTTTCTAGGGGGCACCACCCAGGGGTAAATACTTCCTTCTTTTGAAAGGAGGACAATAGTAACTGGGGGTCATGGGGCCGCCTAGCTAGTGCCTGAAAAGGCCCTATTTCAATAAGTTATTCAAAGGCCATACAAAACAGGGGGTGTATGTTGGGGCAGAGCTCTGGTCCCCAAGGGTTTCCTAATCATTTTCATAGCATAGACTTGAATGTTAAATGCCTGAGCAACTGCGACAACAAACAGCCCCACTAATTTTAATAAAACATGATTTTATCCCTGGGTAACCATCATTTCGGGGGAGGGGGCAAATAGGGTGGCAACTCATCAGAAAGAGGTGAATAAATGATTCTATAAAGCCTCTTTCTGGCAGGGGTGTCCGAAGCAGGGGCTGGAGCCCCCCTCCCCAAACAATTGTCAAGCTGCACTGTACTTCTTCTATAACAGTGTCTTGAATGGAAAGCAACACAATGGGCAGCCCTCAAAATATTAATTTCATTCAGACCGCACTATCTGGTCAAAGTAAATTTGGAAGATCCCTTTTCTAAGATATTGAATTCTCAAATTCTTAATGAAAAGGCAATCCAGCTAATAAAATGTCCAGTTTATAAAAAATTGACATCTGCAAATTCATAAGATTCTGAACTCCCGTTTTTGTATTGGAAAGAGACTTTAAGACTGAAAAGTGAAAAAATACAGGGGAATTAAGAACTCAAATCAAACCAAAAACCGCTTTGAGATGTTTAAAAGCAATTTAAGGAATTGTTTCGGTAGAGAAACTCTCAACGTGATATCAAATATCGGAGTCTCGAGGAAACTTTTTATTTTTTTCAGCAAAAACCAACAAGAATTTGCTGTGAGCTTTTGCAAAACCTTCCAAGCAAGTAAAGATGTTTGTTAACGTTTAAACGGGAAACTTCAGCGGCATATTCACATTGCACTTCAACTCTGATCATCGGATTAATAAAAGCCTTCTTTCATCTAGATTTCGATTAGCTGACCTAGCGACTATTCAGTTTGTTTATACGAAAAGACCTGTTGCTGAATTGGCCTAAATTGGTCGCGTTAAAATAAGACAATAAAATGTAACGGAAAGTAGTTCATAAATAGTCATTCATCGGCTCCACAAATCCCTAAATTGCTCCAATTCTATTCAGCAGTTGATTAACACCTTCTTGAAATGCGGGAAACAGTTCTTGTGTACAAAACCACCGCTTTTTAAGCCGAAGATGAGCGTGTTACTTGCAAATGATGGTCGTTAGAAATTAGATAGCAAGAATGGAGGAATTCCCAGTAATGAAATTAGCAAGTTTTCAAAGGACTTATCGCAGATGATCGCAAGATAACAAACAATGTTTTTGTCTTCAATTACCGAAGGAACAATAAGCCACCTTTAGTACATAAGTTGATCAAAGAGACGAGAGTCGAGTTTAATGATTATATGACGATAAGGAAGCAAGTAATTGCCTAAATAAAAAAAGAAAGAACTAAGACACTCGGAGAGTTTTAAAAAAGGCCTTACCAAACAAGAGTAAAAACACAGTCAAAATCGCAGCCATTGTCGCTGGGCAAACCACACAAATGAATTAAACGTGTTTGAAGTTGCTTCTTGTTGAGCCAAAGCGATTTTATCACAACTTCTGAGGTCTATAACGTCGCCAAAATCCAACTAGCAAACCACTGAATGAAATGATGGTTTTGGAGAATGGCGTGTGTTTTTTGGATTTAATCGACAAGTTGATCCTTCGATTTTAGCCGAAAAACGCACAAATCCACTCTCATAATCCGTTCTGCTAAACGTGCAAGATGGCCTTACAAACTTCTTTTCAAAGAGGAGGCAAAGAACAAAAGCATTGTATTTCCGGTTAGAGATGCCCGTGCCCCAGGGAATCACCACTCGCCCTCGCAAGGACACTCTCGTACACAGTGTGTATGATGATCAGGTAGTACTTTGAAGATGATTGACGGAAATGATGATGATGATTATGTTGTATTTAATCAATACTAGGATTGATTGCTATGATTGATCGACTTAATATGATAATATTAATAATGATGACGGTGATTGGCTGATTGATTAGTTGATTATGAAAGATCGATTGAAAATGAACATGGCTATCACCATAATGATGACTGATTGATTGATCGTTAAATGGCGATTGACAGATTGATTAATTGATCGGTCGATGATAATGATGATCATGATTGATTGACTGCAGTGATTGATTGATCGATTGATGACGACAATGATGACTTTGACCATAATGTTAAAACAAAAATGGTGGTCTTAATACCGATTATGATGATGATCATGATTCTACCCTACTTAACCCTTACCCTAACCCTAGCCCTTACCCTTACTATAACCCTAACCCTTACCCTTACTATAACCCTAACCCTTACCCTTACTATAACCCTAACCCTAACCCTTACCCTTACTATAACCCTAACCCTAACCCTTACTATAACCCTAACCCTAACCCTTACCCTAACCCTTATTAATCACCTAGCGAATGATTTCAACCGATCTCACCTTCTCCAGTCCTCCGGATCCTCAGTTCCACCGACATCTGTGCCTCGCCCGCCTCGTTGCTCGCAAATGCCTGGTACATCCCGGAATCGGAATATATCAACCCGGTTGCCGTCATGGTCCCGTCGCCGAAAATGATATAACTGGCGTCCGCCGGCAGCGCCACGCCGTCTCTCATCCAGCTGATTTTTGGAGCTGGTGTTCCAATTACTTTGTAGTTCATTGTGACGGAACCACTGACCTCGCCATAGATTGGCGAAGGCGAAACGATTTGGAACTGCGGTGGAACTGTAAGTGAATGCATTGCTGAATTAATGAATGAATAAGTAGGATAAGATAGATAGATTGAGTATTTGACTAAGAAGCTAGTTGCCTGGTTATTTTTTGTTCCTAGGCTAAAGAGATGGCGAGTTTTCTTCCCGTAGTGAGTAATGAACATGATCAAATCCAGTCTCCAACAGTAGGGGGGGGGGGGCTAAGGGGCTTGAGCCCCACCAAAACAACTTTTTCTGGAGATCAATTATTTTCAAAAGGTAGTTTTGAGAACCTCTTTATCTTGTATAATGGCAAAAATCAAGGACCGTCCCCCTCCCCCTACACTTGGACCATAAACCAATGGCTATGCGGTTCACCATCTTGTGCGTAACATCTCAACTCCTATCCCCCTTTTTAGACCCGGCCCAGACCCCTAGAACACAAATCAAACTCACCAATCACCGACACAGTTGCATCAGCTGTCATTTCTGCTCCTCCACTTTGAACCTTGCAAGTATACTTCGCAGCCTCCTGCTCTGTAGCAGTTGTTATTTTAAGATTGCCCGGACCAAACATCGAGTACCTCCCTGTCATTTGCAAGGGTAGACCGTTTTTCAGCCAGGAATAGCTGACAGTGCCGGGGGCATCCGCGAGACATTCTAGGATTGTACTTCTGCCCCACTTCAGCTGAATGTCTTGCGGCTTACCAATCAAGTTGATGGTGGAGGAGGAAGATTTTGATGGCGGCCTCTGATTGGCTGCAAAAATAGCCAAGTTATAGGGACAAATGGAGACAAATCATAATCATAATCATAACCTTATTTCTAGTTGACATAAGGAAGACAAATGAATATTGCCTGTGTGAGGGTTTACGGTATCCATAAGACAAGAAGGGATAAGTTGATTTGGGATAAAAGTGGTTGAAGAAAAGTGAGAAGACAAAAAAGAAACTTCAAGGAATAGGTTAAAGATACGGAGGCGCACTGGGGAAATTTGTGCACAGGACCAAGGAATCGGGAACAAGGTAATATACATTTTCTAAAAAGGCGAGATGGAACTTTGGTTGAACTTACATTGCATCACTTAAAAGGTGATTATAAATAAACTGAGGAACAAAACACGGGCTGAAAGTAGCAAAATAAACGGAATTTACAGTGGGACTTGGTAGTATAGGGAAAACTGATAATTAAGAGAAAGCCAAGGGGAATTATGATGGTTAAGAGATAATGCAATGGGTAAATGGGTGGTGAGCATCAAGAAGTAGGCTTGAGCTAAGGGGGCAAAAGGGGCAAAAAGGGGAGGAGAAATGAGGATGCCAAGGCCAGATAGCAAGCCTAGTGAAAAAATATCAAACCTCAATTAAGTACTCACCAGAAAGAACGGTGACTGTGACAAATTTGCTTCTCATTTGGGAACCATCGACCGGGTTCATTGCAATAGCTTGGATGTCCCCTTTGTTTTCCACACCGATATTACTGATCTGAACGACGCCCTGTGGCAGAACAGTGTACTTCGGGTCTGTACCTAACAGATTAGAGCTCCCACGGTAAAGCCATGCCACTCTAGGTGCAGGTTGGAAATTTTCTATGTTGACCCGTAGACGAACCGAGCCGCCTACATAACCGGTTACTGGTTCCGGACCGTTGCTAAATGCGGAAGGAAACTCTGCAATAAGAAACCGGAATAAGACATTTCAGATTTGTGGAGTTAACAATCAAAATGAACTCAAAATGGGAGTTAACAATTCGAGATGTTGAAATAAGAAATACTAGTTTAGGCATTACTTAATTTTAATAAAATCTACGTTAGTGCGAAAGAACTAGAAATAAGATCCAAAATAAAAAACTTAGTCGAAATTGATGTTATAAATAGCTACGATTTGAAATTTTCCCAAAAAAAGAAAGTAGATGAAATTTTCCCATGTATTCCTTGAAAGGGCAGCAATATCTAATAGCTGTAGACAACCAAAACGGGCTACATAAAACGATATTTTAAAAGGTTGCTGTGTAATACTTGGCTGTAAAGAGATCTCCTTTCAAAAGACAGTTGTTTTTTCTCTGCAAGGAACGTAAAAAGACATTGTGATAATTTCAAAGCATTTTATCCAAGCAGAACTGTGCTTGTAACCTCCCACCAGTACATCAATGCAAGGCAAAATATCTCAGTATGAGGCTAATGAAACATAGACACGAGGCAGCAGGCGTTTTGTCTTCCAAAACAACGACGCAGTTTTTAAGTTGCAACACAGCGTGGGTATTAAAGGCTGTTTGGTATGAGAAAGCAAGGATCTAATTGATTCAATTAAGTTTAGCCTAGGCGGTTGTTCTTTATTAAAAAGCAACAAAATGTGTAACGGGTGGAATCAAGCGGGATGGATTTGAAGAAAGAGCCACGAATGTTTATGTAAGCAGCAGAAAAACCAAGCCTAAGGTTTGAGAGCTGCTCGATAACGACATAGAAAAACCTAATACTGCGCGTAAGGCGCCTCGGCTTAAATGACTTGGAGTGGGATAAATCGATTTAGACCAAATGCAGCAACAACAAAATTAAGGAGGTACAAAGTCACAAAAAAACATAGTTGCCCGAGAAACTAAAAAATATACAAAATCTTGCTTAATAAGCAACAAAAAGACTTTCAAAATCATACGTACTAAATGATAGAAGCCTTACTAGACAAAACTTTATATGCAAAGAAAATCCTAAATATTTTAGCTAAAGTGATTTACCGAAAAGATCATTTAAACTCTAGAATGAATAAATTTGTGATTTTAATTTTCTGCATCTCTCCTCAACAAATCGAAAAACTTTATTCACAAATGAAATCACTTACCAGCTAAACGAATGTTTGCTGTTCGACTCAAAATTGTCAAGCTCACAGCTGAGTATATCACCTTGACGACGCATTGATAGCGCCCAACATGGGATTTATCGAATTTTGTGATAGTAAGGTCCCCTGTGCTTGAGAGCTTTTCTGCCGCGCTGAAGTCAAACACGAGATCAATTCCATTTCGCCGCCAGCCAAACCTACCACGTAAAAGTGAAAGTCTTTACATCAAGTACTGACTTCAAATCAAACAAATCGATTGATTAATGATTAACTGATCACATTGATTGACTGATTGTAATCATCAAAATCGTTTAGCAATTCTGTAGCTTCAATCCTGTTTCTTAAACGATGACGTATCCATATTTTCGTATCATCGTAGCATAATTAACTGTTTCTGGTAGAAGAAACGACACCAAGATCCACCTTGTCAAAATAACGTTGGCTTTTGCGGTGGGAAGAAACTACGAGGGTCTCTCCCCCTCCTCTTGGTTGAACATGACTAGGAATATTTACATTCGGAATTCACAAATTTCTTAGGAGGAAATACAAACGTAAAGGTTGCTTAAACGTGAAACTGCACATGCCCCACTAATGAATTTCTCTGGTTGCAAAGGTAAATATTATGCTTTCTGTCAATTAGACTATACACAATGTCTGAAAACTAAGTGTAGGAAAGAGGGAAGGAGAGTAAAAAGGAGAGGGTAGGAAAGAGAAAAGGAGAGCAAAGAGAAGAAGGGAGGAAAGAAGAGCGGGGAGGAAAGAAGAGAGGAGAGGAAAGAGGAAAGGAGAGGAAAGAGGAGAGGAGAGGAAAGAGGAGAGGGGAGGAAAGAGGAGAGGGAAGGAAGGAGGAGAGGGGAGGAAAGCGGAGAGGGAAGGAAGGAGGAGAGGGGAGGAAAGAGGAGAAGAGAGGAAAGAAGAGAGGGAAGGAAAGAGGAGAGGAGAGAGTAGAGGGGAGGAAAGAGAAAAGGGGTGGAAAGAGGAGAGGAGAGGAAGAAGAAGAGGGGAGGAAAAAGGAGAGGGGAGGAAAGAAGAGAGTGGAGGAAAGAAGAGAGGTGAGGAAAGAGGAGAAGAGAGGAAAGAAGAGAGGGAAGGAAAGAGGAGAGGAGAGAGTAGAGGGGAGGAAAGAGAAAAGGGGTGGAAAGAGGAGAGGAGAGGAAGAAGTAGAGGGGAGGAAAAAGGAGAGGGGAGGAAAGAAGAGAGTGGAGGAAAGAAGAGAGGAAAGGGGGGGGGAAGGAGTCGAGATTAGGAAAGAGGAGAGGGGAGAATGGAGGAGAGGGAATGAAGGAGGAGAGGGAAGGAAAGCGGAGAGGGGAGGAAATGGTATCCAGGTAATGTAAGAACAGACTGGAATGCAGACACGGTGGAATTTGAGCCAAATAGTTGGGATTTGTGAACCACGTGATCGGATGTACAATGATAACTGTAATTGAAAACAGTAAAACAGTGCCAGGAAAAAGGTACATTGAAAATGGGGCCTGTGGGGGAGTTGGGGGCTCATTCATCTTTGTCAAAACGAATAAAGACAAAGAGGAAGCTTATTTTGACCCTGAAGTAGTTAATTTAAGCAAAGCTCCATATGTGGTAATTTTTATCACACTTACCTTGGAGCTGGGCTTCCTGTTGCCCGGCAACGCAACGTGACGGGTTTCCCTTCCACTGCGTAGGCATCTTTCGGCTCCGCAGTGAATTTTGGTTCGGTATGAGCGAGCTCTGCAATTGGATTTAAAAAAACAGCGATGAAAAATGTCCCCAAATAAAAAAACCAACAACACTTCGAAATCATTATCAGAAAATGGGCTTCACTTCCAAGAACTGAGAAAGGTTTTCCAGGAATAAAGTGCTTGTGGGTTAGAACAGTCAAGAAAGTATCGGTGAAACAGCACTGGAACTCAAGAAATCTTCACAAAAACCAAAACAAGGAAGTTTCTCTACAACGGAGCATATAATTTCAATTCAACTTCAGGGTTTTTCTAGAACTTTTTTCCTGTCCTCTCAATCGGTTCTTCTGTGAAAACAGTTTAAAATTTCTCGAAACAAATCTTTCTCCCGAGCTTTTTCCCAGCCCTTCTGGTACTTCTGTGAAAACAGTTGAAAATTCTCTAAGCCAATCTCTGCGAAAATCGCCGCTAAAAGAATCTGATAAATCCAGTTGAACTTTGGAGGGAGTGTGATAGCTTAACGACGATGAATTAACCAATATCTGATTTATTTTCTTCTTGAACTGTTGACCAGAATTTAAAGCCATTCACGACATCAAACCAGATTTCGACTTCCACATCCAAACGGGCGAATTCTGGCACAACAAAAAACGTGACAAAATTATTGCCAGGAACTTGAAGCCTAATTTAACTAAAATTCTGTATGCTTCGAAAAGAGTCTGGCAAACTGAATACACGGCCAGGAGAACAGATTTGTGATTTACATCGAGAAACAGATGTCTTCACTACATCGTTTGTTATCCATAAACCTTTCTCATCTCCCTGCTGTCACGGAATCTCGCGAATGTCCTATCGTTTATCCAGCCCTTTAATCCGTTATTCAAAAAAACCATTGACATGTCTGACCAGCTTGGACTGATTCACTCGCTCGACAAGAGATTCTAATAGCTCTTCGATTTCACACAACCAATTTTAAATGGGTTTTACGGAAGCCTTTTGTGACGTCATGGCCAACCAAGAAAGAAACATAATAAGCGAGTTCTTTATTCACAGAGAAATCCTTTGCCCCTCCTAGAAACCATATTATTTGGTAATGTATATTTACTGTTTTATAATTTTGTAGTACAACAAAATGTGTGATAAGAGGACAGAAATTTCTGGTACGGTATTCTCTTTTCGGCGGAGAATAAAACTTAAAGTTTTACGCTATACAAACTTTCAAAATTAGCTTTTTGTCTATTCATATCAAATTTTCTTATATCCCTTTAGATTGTGAATAAGATAATTCTCTTTTGTTTTTAGGCGAACTTGGCCAAGGTAGCAAAATAAGCAAGTAATATATTGGAACTGTCTAGTAACATGCACCTCTTCACAACAGATTGTCAAAAAATTGATTAAATGAACCATACAACTGTCAAAAAGCTCTTTCTTGAGTTTAAAGCTTTGGGAAATTAACTCGCCATACAACGGACGCCTCCATTCCAAAAGTGACCATGGACTATAAGAGCATTATGGCGATAACTTTCTCGTAGAAGGAGTTATCATTCTGTACCTTCTGTGTGACACAGCCTTCCGTGTGACACTGCCTTCTGCGTGACTGCCCTTGTTGTCCGAGCGCGACCGACTAACAAAGGCAGCAAATCACGTACCAAAACTTGTTGCTCGGTGGCCCCACTGCTTTTGAATGACAAATAGCAAAATAGTATAGGTTTGTTTTGGTTACAGATCAAACGAAGTTTTCTGTGAAGGTCTAACATGAGTACCATGAGCTGATGGATGGCGACAAAAGTATTTTTTATCATAAAGTTGAAGAAAAAAGTATTACAAATTATCTGAAAGAAATTTTTACAATGCAAAGACACTGCAAAAAGACAAGTTAGGCCAAGAGTTGATCCATCGGCATCGAAAGCCATGTTGAGGGTTTTTGAGAAATTGCAATGCGGATGAATTTAGTTAACATTTTAAGCGTGGTATACTTCTATGAAAGAGTCAAATAAAGACTCTAAAATTCTGAAACAGCTGAAATATTGGACGACAAGTTACGATAATTATAACGAATAATAAAGTGAATCCGGAGATAGATGTGAATCCGAAGAAATTCTAATGCTCGTTGTCAACGTTGACGATCTCTCGCGCGCAATACTAACAAAGCAGCCATGACAAAATTAGCAAAGCCCGTTTAATCTGTTCGCAAAGTTTAAACCAAAGCGCATCAAGGATTTCAAGCCGATTCCTGCGATATCGCAGCGATAAACACGAAAAATCTTTCCAATCTATTTGTTTATCTCGTTAGAACACAAATAACGACGCGACGAGTACGTCAATTTAAAGGCGATATCTCGAACTAAGATGAAAATTTGTCAATTTAAGCCCGAGCTAAGATGAAAATTTGTCGATTTAAGAGAGGCGACGCCCATCCATTCGCACTAGCAGCTAAAAACAACAAAGAGGCCATATCTAAATCCACTTTGAATTTAGGCCACAAACAAATCATCTACGACTTCAGGCCAATCGAGAATCCTCGGCAAGATAAATCGACCAATGACTCCATGAATACCAGGAAAAGTAGTTTGTGTCACAAAGGTCACGAAGTAAGGGAGATATCGGTGGATAGGGTGCGCCGTACACTAACGATGATAAAAGGAAATATACGCTTGCAAAGAGATGAGAGAGTCTGGGACTAGTTACGTCACTTTGTTATGAGACAGTGTTGTTGGCAGAGGTTGTAGGAAGGAATGAAGTCTTGCAGAGAATCGGCTGTTAAAGCAGTTATATAGATATAGTTAAAATATGTATTCACACAGCTTATTTTCGAACGTTAATTCTAGTGCTTGATTCGTGTCCTTTTGTCACGTTGGTTCCACAGGTGAAGGCCTGAAGGAAAAACCAATCAAAGCAAAATATCTGATGTCACATCAAAACCAATTTATCTGTCAAAGAAACTCCTATTTTTAAGTGAGAACTAGGCCCTCCATTTTGAAGATTCATTCGAAGATTCCATTAATGCGTGTTTCCGCGTGTCTACACTTTTGAACGCTTTTTCCACGTGACTACACTTTTGAGCGCTTTTCAAGCGTGCCAAATCTTTTGAACGTCATATGGTAACCAAAAGATTTGAAGCTTTTCCGTTGACTGTGTTACTAAGTTTTTATCAGGTTATTTTGGCAAGAACAACGAATTCCAATTTCCAACCCAGACGCTCATTGTTAAAAAAACAGTCTGACGATTTCCTTTTCAATTTACTGTGGTACGCTGTTAACAGTGACAAAAAACATTCCACGCGCCCAGAAATATTCAAATGATATCCAAAAATAGATGTTTCCTATGATTATGTAACGGCTTTGATTTTGACGGCATTTGTCAAGGATAGGACGTTACAAACAATGAACAGAAAGTGCAAAGAAAAACCAAGTAGAGAAAGAGGCAAATGAAGAAGGAGGTTGATACATAATGGCGTTTAGAATCAATCATTAAGATTGCAAATCATAAACAATTAAAAATAAACAGCCAATGCAAAAGAAATATAATTATTGTTTGTTTTCTGTCATTTGATAGTAGATGCTGTCTGAAATCAAAGTTTTATGTTTGTGAGTGGATTCGAAAGCAAGTTTGAACTCAAAATCGATAAAACTTGCTACCAGCAGCATCATTCACTTCTGCATTAAAAAAGATTTTCACACTGCAATTTTCCACCGAAAGATAGACCTACCTTGGTTTAAACCGCTCGGCTACATTATGAAATTACAATAATATAGCATCATTGGCCTTGTTGCTTAACCACACTTGGAAGAATCTATCTTTTCTTTTCAGATAACATTTTTAATTAGGCCCACTAATTCTATAACATTTGACCAAGTTAATACTTGTTATATTTTGAAGTTATGAATTAATTTGAATTACATCAATACATTAAGAAACTCGATAAGATTACATTTATTTTTTGAAATGGCAATTCAATATCAATTTATTCAAACAAACCCGCAAATTTAAAAAGCTATTGATCAAAGTTACTAAATATAATATGTGTAACTTATTAACACTTAGTCGCATTCAGATGATTTTTGAATACGGCGTTTTATCTTGACCGCCGCTGGAAAACGACAAAAGATATTCAGGATTCTGCCTCTTCAAGACGGCAGCCATTGCAGGTTGCGTATTATTCAAAATGGCGACTCTCTTAAGCTTTGGAAATATTCAGTGGTTTGATAGAATTCATTCTTTGATTTTGTTTATATTTCAGCGATAGAATATGGGAGTTTTGTTTTTATTAAAAACCTGAAAATGGCGGCATTTTGAAAGCGTTAAAAATCGAATTCAGCACGGTGTTTTTTAAGTGGGTGAAGGGAAAGTGGCCTAGCAACAGGAGACAAATGGCGGCGCAACGGAAGGACTGTTCCCTCACTTCTTATAAGGAACGAAATGGTATTTCGTCTATATTGGCCGAAAAAATTTTGTCGCACATAGAATAAGCCCCACTAAAACTTTGTTTTATTTTGTCTCCAGAAAGTGAAGGACACTAATGCCAGGTTTTGTAAGAGCAATGTGTTTTTATGAAATGGACATGAAATTTGGTACTTATACCAAAAATGGCACTTAATCGGGTTCCGCTTTTCACGAGAATCGAGCGAGAACTAGCGATAGCAAAATGGAGGACAGGAGCGAAATAAGTGAAAAATGAATAAAACTTTCGTTGCAAGCAAATTGGGCTAACCATCCCTGGTTATTCAAGGGTAGATGTATTTTCTAACTTGTTTCAAAGCAAGAGTTAAATTAAATAAGGAACTATTATCTAAATAATTCTAATAATTTTATAAGCCTTTATGTTATTTTCAAAAAATTTTCTGATGAAATTTCCAAATCAAAGGCCCTTTAGTAACCAGCACGCTATGCGCTAGCTGTTACCCCCTTTTTGTATATAAGAATCAGAAAATTTAAGTTCAGGCTGACTCTTCTAAATTTTTTCAAAAAACTGAGGCTGGATTGTTCGTAATTTGTTCTTAAATTAAGAGGGTGTAAGCAGTGCGAGTGCTAGCTTTTTCGCTCTAAGGAGGCCTCATTTGCCAACAAAATAAGTGAGACAGCCTAAATTTGCTGAAAAATTTGAATATTCACCGAAAAAGCACTCACACATCGCTAAAAATCCTCGATTTTGAGAAAAAACGTTGTTCAAAATTGCATTTTGCAGAAGCTCAGCCTCAGCTTGTTCTTAATTTGTTCTTAACTTTTGACCAGTTTTGAGGCTCGTGTTCTTATAAAACTGTTCTTATAAAAAAGAATGTATTTTACACAAGATCAAATGAGCTGTATTTTGTAATTTCATGCAGTACGATACAAGGCCAGTTTTTAAAATATAGTTCGGAAGGTTGCACAAGAGCCTTTAAGTTCGGAATATTGGTGCTGGTACGGGCAACTTGGCCACCAAGAGTAGCTATTCAGTTGAACAAGGTTGAGAACAAATGGACGCGAGAAACCTTATCCTGAGAAATCCATGTCATATTTGAGATGATTATGAAATGTCATTTTAAGGCAACTAATTCAGGCTAAGTGGAGACAGTTGAAATATCAGGCTGGAATTTCATCGGTATGGTTGTATTTGTGGCTAGGCCTAAGGGAAGATATTCATGTCATCGTTCCTGGTACTTATTCAAAGGGGCCAGAAAGGTACAAGAAAGAGGGTCAGAAAAGGAAAAAGTGAGAGGGATAAGAGGGGCCAGAAAGGGACAAGAAAGAGGGTCAGAGAGGGAAAAAGTGAGGGGGATAAGAGGGGCCAGAAAGGGACAAGAAAGAGGGTCAGAGAGGGGAAAAGTGAGGGGGATAAGTTGTCGCTTAGTCTGAAAATGACTTGTATAGCTTGTAGGGGACAAGGGAAGCAGTAAATGCAAAATTATTGGCCTAAATTATTTCGATTTAGTTTTCAAACAGTTTTTAAGAATTATCTTTCCCGCAATCCTTCGGATAACTCCTGGGAAGGACACCAAATCTTTCCTGTGATAAATTTTGAAAGTTTTGGATTGAAAACCAGATGCAGGTAGTTCTGTGTCATGGAAAAATGCTGCAGAACAAACTTCATAATCGGAAGACCGAATGTTTATACGATCTCTATTCACAAACGTTGGCAGTGTTCAAATTGAATTTCTTGAAAAGCACTGATAAAATAACATAATAAATGAAGTTGTTGCAAAAACCCACTGAACGTTATTCCGCTAAGCGAGACTTAAAGGAGATCAAAATTCTCTGTCTATTTCTGATAAGTGGTTGCAAAAATGGTGCATGCCTTCCCAAATTCTTGACAAGATGCCAAACAACCTAGGCCCGTTATCAATCGAGACATGAAAGCCTTTCTGCCAACAAATCCTTCTTTATCACACCCGAATTAAGATTGAATTGTGGGTGGGGCTCTTCCATATGCATGTTTAACCTGGAACTTGAGTCATGAGGGGGTTACCCAGCTGCAGATTCTGTCTACCCTTAGGGTGGGGTAGAGTATGGGGTAGGATGTGGGGTAATAATTAAGCTAATAATTTTCCATACTGCAGGCAAATCGCGTACATTTTTTCTCCGAGGTGGCTCGCTTGTTGCAACCTAACGCTAGGGGTAACTTAACTGACCCCCCATAAACGAAACCCCCTTCAATCAAACCCAGTTATAAGAAATTTTCTTTAAATTGATTTGAATTCTCAAGCAGTCGACGTTGGGTTTGATTATGCCAATCTTTAGAATTTTAAAGGTACGCTGGATCGGTTGAGTCATGTTTCTGGAAATCCCAAAATCTGCTATTCAAAGTCCAGCACAAAAATAAAATTCAACGGCTTCTGGAATTGAATAAGAACCAAAACAAAAATTAAATTAGTTATGGGAAAAGACGAAAGATTCGCAATGTTTTTGTGTTGTGGGCCATCTGATAACTGACTTTATAGAAAAGGAAAGACAAGGTTTTGAAATATGTGGTTTAGGATTGACAATAAACTAACTAGTTACTATATTCTAAAGTTTATAAGTTCGTCATTGGATTGACAAAATGTAAAAAGATTTCTATAGGGTTGAGAATAATGTATGTAAATATGGCTCCATTTTTAAAAGAATGTTTACACCAAAAGTTCCATAACAAATTTGGTCGGCTGGAAAAATCTTGAAAAATAAGCGTACATTTGCAAAATAATTCGACCGTCTTGAGGCTGTACTTTCCCTGTTTCGCATCTTAAAATCTTCTGTTTCTGGTTAATGTACCTTAAAATGGTCTTTATCGTCATTGGGTGTGGCACTACACCCTCGGGCGTGGTACAAACATTGCTGGGTGTGTCACAAAATGTCTGCTGTTTCGCACACAAATTGGCCATCAATTTAACATGTAGACACCAGAATTGCCCTCTCACGATCCAATCTTCACCGAAATTAAGAAGGTTTTGAATTTAACGAGATTTATTTTATGGTTCGCAGAAAAACCATTTGATGATCGAATCATTAAAATTCCCTCACGTTGGCAAAATCTTAAGCAATTCGTATTTTAAAAACCTTAAAACACTTTCCCAATTTATTCATTACTCTGTTTCAACTCATCAATGTTTTACTTTTTAAAAAAACTTCATATTTTCCTTCGATCTTGAACAAACCTTGTTTATCGAGTTTTTTGCAAATCTTTTTGACCTGACAATTTTTCGTGCGACAGAAGTTTTGTCACCTGCCCGTGAAAATGCTTTCTGCATTTAATTGACAGCGTCAAGGTCGTTGAAATTTCACAACATTTTGCAAATTTTTATGACAAACATGGAACTTATAATTACATACAAATATATATGATGAAATAAGTTTATGTTCTTTGTAATGTTCGGGATTCGTGCAAGTAAATATGTGTATAATTGAAATAATAAATTTCCTTTTCAAATACACGACAACTTGGTCACATTTCCGGACCATCAACCAGGAATTCCGTTGTTAAAATAACCAACTTTCTAAAAAACTAGAAATACTTTAACATCGGTTGGGGGTCAAAGATTTGTTAAATGGTTGAATTAATTGGATGTAAATTGATTTTATGGCCAACATAACCTTCAAAATATCTTTGATTTGACTTCGGTTAATATTGTCTTGAAGCAGATAAACTTCATATTACAGTTCCTGACCAGTTAATTCCGCCCCTTGGTTGTTTGATTTCGCATTTTGTGGAAATTTGTGAGATTTTGAGTAAAAGGAAATATCTTTAAATACCTGCTGAGGCTTTTCCAATCCAAAGGAAAAGGACCAACAACTTGCTAAGACGAAAAACCAAACATTCTTTATTATCCATGGCCATTTCTTTTTCATTTGCAGTTGATTTCGTCGTGTTGTTGTGAGCTTCACAGGTTAACGGTTTTGGATTCACAAGTTTACGATCAGGACATTCAAAATGTCAACAACTTTCATATGATGGATTTCACCAACTTACTCCATAATAAAAACAGGAAACCCTTCCGCTTTGAGATTTTCCAGTTAACTTGTGTGGTGAATACAAATTAGTTGTCAGTTCAGTAATGAAACCGAATCAAATTGGGATATTCCCAACAATATGGCGAGTATAATGTGAGGCCGACTACTTTACGAGTCAGTGAACAATATTTGAACAACACATTTAGAACCCCTTTAACATTTGAAATATAAACAATAGGTGCTTTGCAAATAACACAACACCCCTTTTGTCTCTCATGATTTCTTTTGATTTATATCAATTTTCAATTACCATGCGATGACAACCGGGGGTTCTACACGTGGCGAGCGTGTTGGCATGACATTCACCCGTCATTGGGGCCACTTTCAGTTTAATTTCAGTTCATTATAAAAAACAGCAGGGGGCTGACAGCATACGGGAATGCTTATTTGGACCCAATGTATGTTTTATCTATCAATTTTTAAACCGCTTTTCTGGCCATTTAATTTTCACAATTAACCATACAGGGTATTAATCTTAAGCGAATCTCCATCAGGGGCTGTCTTTCAAAAGAGAAAGAAAAAACAAACAATGTTTTTTGTGAGAAATCGATGGTTTTACCATATCAAAATGATTACCGTGTAAAACTTTGTTAGTTTTTGAATTCATAGTTCATATCTTTTACAAACATTAATGAATTTATTATAACTTTGAAGCCTTTTTAAAAAGGATTTTAAAGTTAAACAGATATTGAAAAGGTCAGGCAGCAATAATGCATTAAACTCGACTAAAGAAACTGTTTCTATGTTTCAGTTGTAGAAACGAAGTGTAGTAGGTTCTTTAGGTTTTAGGACACTTTCTTCACTGGCGGGAAGGGGGTGGGGATTTTTATGGTGATTGTGTTTTTGTATAAAGAATGCCAACTGAAAGTTTCCATAAATTGATGGGTTAGGTGGGATAAAAAAACAGACAAATTTTAAAGGGACTAACTCGTGTCCCAAACGAATCTTTTACATTGTGTGACAGAATTGTTACCCAAAAATTTCTGCAAACGCCTGCAAAAATTTTGTTGATTTTTCAAGGGAAAAGTTTGGCATCTGACCCCGGGTCATTCATTTTTAATTTGACTCTAATTAACTGAACAGGTTGCGTAATAATTAACTGCTGGAATTATTCCCCCTAATTAAGTCATTTTCATCATACATTTTTTAAATGAAATTGCACAAAGGACGGGTGTTAATGACCGTAATTAGACAGTTAAAAAGACAATTGAACGCTTATTGTCGATTTTAAATCGCCATTATGACTTTCATTGATTTAGGCGCGGTGTCGTTATTTCCTTGTTAGAGACGGGCCAATGTAGACGGGCATAGGTATAATTGCGTCATTGAGACGGGCCAATGGCTGAGGAATTTATTCATTTTGCCACCAGGTGGAGTGTGAAGAAATTTACGAATTGAAAGGTAAGGCATGAATCTATGGATGGTTGAATTAAGTAGTGTTTATCACTTTAAGTGAGTGGCTAATCAAGAGGGAGGAGTACGTTTCTGTCGGAAAATGGCGTGTGATAACGTCCTTCAGACTCAGACAAAAGGGGTTACAATAAGATGGGGGAGGGGTGATGTTTACATCTCCTGTTTTGAGGCCATTTTTAATTAAATTTTTGCTCGCTTGGCATGTACAAGAGTTATTGTTGTCGGGGCCTATCAAATATTTATCAAGGCAAAAGTCTTGATTCTTTACGTTTCTGGCAAAAGTTGGGGCTTTACCCCAGACCCTCCTCCGCGAAGCCTGTGCCCCCATGCACTACCTGCTCCCCCTTTCTACCATCCTGAAAAAAGAAAAGAATTTAAAGAAAAGAATCTTTGCGTTAAATATGTACTCTTGCTCAATCAAAAGGGACGCTCGTGTTAGCAGCTTTTTCGGAAGAACATTGGCGCTTAGGTTGACCCAAATTTACGAACAATTGTAGCAAATCTCCATTAACTAACAAATCATCGCTTTATATCTAGTTCTGACATATGATTTAGGTATAATACAAAATAATGTATTTGTTATGAGAACAAAATAAGATCATACATAGAGACACAAGAACCGGGTACACAGGGGGCGAATGCCCGTTATTGCCTTAATGCCCCCATCTATCTTTAAAATGCTTCCCACATCCATGAATGCAAACGATTCTGATCGCTTAGCACGGATAATTGGCCAACATTATCTGGTTCTTACATTAAAAGCACATTGCCTTGAATTGTAGGCTTGGATTTCAAATTTAAGAATTAAAATCTTTAATAGATATTATATCAATGGTGTTATCAATAGCGCTAGTTTAGACATAATTAATTTGCTCGTTTATTTCCGCAGCTATCCCTTAGAATTCACACCTGGCCTTGGTTATACGTCCTTTTGTTGTTCAACTTCACTTTTAGATTCTTAAGTATATCCCTGGATTGTTTACATGTAACACAGACAGTTTTAATAAGAATAAAGACAGAAATGGAAAAGTTATGAGATTGCGAGAAGAAAAGTATCTACGCAAAGGAACCACACCACTGGAAAAACTTTCTGGCCTTTTTGGGTGTGGGACTTTCCTTGAAATCATCAAGCCTGAATTGTTCAAATATTGACACATTTCTAGAATCTTTGACAAATGACTATGAACCAGTAAGGAAATTCTGAGTAAAACAAAACACGTCATTGTGAATTTAGAATTTTAATCAGTTATGCAGTTATAAAAAAGTTTCCAATTGACTGGAGAACTATCTTTGTAATTGTGAAATAATGAACTTTTGACCCAAAAAAATCAAGTTGTAATTTTTTAAATACGTCATTAAATACAAGGAAATTGTTGAGTGAGGGATTTTGAGAAAACTCCATGATTTGGACCGACCTTTTATGAATCGGTTGCCAAATTTCCCTAATAGGTGAAGGTTACAATGGACACAGAAAATCCAAGGCTCATTGCGTCATCAGTATAAGAGATGAAATTGAGACAGGAACCAAGGGATGAGATTTCCGATTATCTTAATCTGCATTCCAGGTTGGCTCAAATGTCAAAAGGCTCTGTTAGTGAAAATGGAGAACCATTGAAAAGTTTTGAGCAAAATGACAACTAACTTATTTCCCTGACCCCTAAGTTGAAAGAGACCCATGTGCATCAGACCTAATATTCTAGATTCATGTGCACCAGACCTAATGGGTCTGGTGTACACGCTAAATGACAACATGCTCTATTTTTAACTCAAATCATTTTCTTTAACTCTTCTCACTCAAGTCAAGTGAATTTATTCGAAGGAGCCAAAAAATAAAAGGGGCGGGGATGCCCCTGATGAAAGTGTGTTTCTTCAATGACATCCCCAACAAAAATGCCCCCACAGCAAAGCGTGTAGAAGCCTGTATACTTGACATGGAGCACTATAGAACAGATCGGTAATAAAAGAGGGGTTTTCATTTTTAACAATACCGTAAATCCTCGAATTGCCCCCCCCCTCGAAAAAGCCCCCCTCCTCTCGAATAAGCCCCCACCCCAGAACTACAAATTGTCAATAAGCCCCCCTCGAATAAGCCATCACTGCTACCGTAAATTCTCAAATTGGACCCCTCGATTTGATGATTTTTGCCATCTGAGGTCGCCTATGGCGTTTTATTGAATTACCACAACAAATTCATACTTTTGGTATCTTTGGTAGTAATTAATTAAATGCTCACAAAGAAATTTCTACTAAAATAAACGAGGTCTTTTAATAATGTCTTCTTAATGTCAACAGTGATTCTATAAGCCCCCCCCCTCGTATAAGCCCCTCTTGAATAAGCCCCCATCCAAAAATTTCAAAAATAAATAAGCCCCCTGGGGGCTAATTCGAGGGTTTACGGTATTTGAAATTTTCCTCACGTAGTTTTCCACGGAAAACACTCATCCAGTGAAAACACTCATCCAGGGACCGCGGAAGCGAAGAGGCTTATAGGGCTTAGTCCCCCCCTAAAAAATTTCCAAAATGTACCCTGAACCATATATGTTTTAGCATGTCTAGCCCCCTCCTTCCAAATGTTTAAGCCCCCTCCCCCCAAATGTTTAAACCCCCTCAATCTGTAATATGCTCCGCGGTCGTTGCTCTCATCAGAAGCAACTTTATGGCATCATTTTGGGCTTCTGAAAACTTTCCCATCTTTTTTCATTTCTGGAAGGGTGAACTGACGTGATATGAGTGAAACCTAAAGAGTGAAAAAACGTTGGTGGGAAACAAGGGTGTTGAGAAAAGGGGGTTTAAAGCCAAGGAAACGGAATTGCTGAAATGTGTAGCTGTTGCCAGAGAATGAGTCAGTAACTTGAGGAGAATAGTGAAAAAGCAATCTGTCTCGTTGTGGATTGGTTAACGAGAACAATAGCTGGAACAATAGCCTAAACACAATTCCAGCGCTCCGCCATATTTTTTATAATGGGATAAATTAAAGAGGGACTGGAAACAATAAAAATCCCTTTGTGCTTATAATCAATCAACGTCGTGACAGATTGCCTTTAAAGTACGAATGGTTCGAGCTTGATGGACCTTGAATGCACCCACTTCTAGTTTTCGTTTCTCGGCCTCTAAAAGATTGGAAAACCAAGCAACATTCAAATACGAAGATGGTTCTCTAGTTAAATGCGGTTTGATTAATTCACATGAACAGGCTCGCGTTTAGGCGGAAAGACATTTAGAAACGATGACGTCATAGAAGAAATGATTCTGAACATAAGTAATATATACACACACTAATATCCTTTGATGTTACTCTGTTATACGTTGAAATACCTCATGTAAATATCATTTACCTATGTGGAAATACGTCAGCCCATTATTGTTAAAAAACGAAAAAAAGAATTAAACGGTGGAAGGTTGGCTTCAGAAATGACGTCATCCACGAATGGCGCATGTCTTTTTAAACACATTGTACACTCCCTCCTGAATACATTATGTTCAGTATCAATTCGTGTATGTACGGGAGTGTCTTGTACGGGGGTAATTGATTGCAGGGGGTTGTCAATGCTGTGAATTCTAGGATGGGACATGGGGTGTTGTTTTAACAAAAAACAAATAAATTTGCTAAGGTTTCTGAGAAGCTCCTCGGTGAAATTTGATATTTTCTTAAAATTCGTTTTAAAATCAAATACATCATAAATAAATTTTCAAACCAACTACGAAAGAATAAAATGAACAAACTACGAAAAAATTAAAACAGATTAAAATGCATTTATTTCCCGTAACAACGAGAGGGCAACGGCCAAAGGTCAGAGAGTTCAATGTTGGGTTACAGGGAAAATTTGATAAATTGCTTAATTTAGTTTTTGGCCATAGTCTTACTTTGACGATGAATGTACTGTGTTGGACTAAGATGGGTCAAGTATATGGACAAAGTGTGACGGCTATTTCACTATAGCATTGAGATGGCCTCGCAAATCTTGGGCGCAGCCAGAATGCAGCCAGACCCTACAATGTACTTATGGTATTATGATATCAGTCCCCTTGGGAATATGCTCACACAACAGAGTTTAAACAGAGCGCCTTAAACGATACAAACAGTTACGAGGTATAAAACATTCTCTAAGCAAGCGACCTTTGACACCACTAAATCTGCCCTATCGTATAAACATACTACTTCTACCTAAATGATAATTTGCTACTTTGACCTTTTGACCTTAGATATCTTGTCAAATAATAAATTCATCTGAATAGTCACTTTTTATATCTTTATTCCAAAAGAAATTTACTCCCGTATAAACATAAACAGGTGCCACTGAACGCGACATCTGTCCCACTTTAAGCACCACTTTCATCTGCATCAGCACAGAAAACGCCAAATGTCACTCAAACTTCTCCATTTACCATTCCAGTCGAGCCACCACGAGATTTGCGCACTGAAAAAATATCAAAATTTCATCAACTTGAATTTAACACATATTTTTTCATAAATCTACTTCCCTTCATAGCTACATATGTGCAAAATTTTTCAATATTTCACAACAGAAAAAGAAGGAAAGCCAAGATCAACCTCCACCTCATGAAATAATACGAAAAATCTTGAATTGAACTTGATTTTTAAACAAATCCGTTCCCCTAAATTTTAAAAACAAGCTAGGAAAATCTTGGTTAAGACTGCTAAAATCGACAGTATTTAAAAGTATTTAGAACTCATTAAGTATCAAATTAAGCAAAATCACTAGGTTAAATATTCATACCCAATTTAATCTTAAGACTTTAATAGGTTTGTTATAGTTAGGAATGACAAAATTACGACAATTAAAAGTATTTAAAAATTATTTAGTCATGAAGCTTCTGCAATATTTAGCAATATTATCAGGATAAACTTCCACAGCCATCTTTATTTTTAAGGCTTTCATAGGTTTGTTAGAAGAACTGAATTAAAATGTGGCTTATTCAATTTTGAGGGACAGACATGCAATATTTTACTTTTGGTCGTTTATTAGTTAGTATTAAAATGTTATTTTGCAACCAAGCAATATTTATTATTAGTATAATATATTAATATTTACAGGTTAAAAATATCTTTACATGTTAGACAAATATTTCCATTCTTGTTTTAGCTCGCTTTCTTGTCTCGCGTGCTGAAACACAAAAACTTTACAATAATTAAAAAGAATTGTTAGAATTAAATAAACTCTTAATAGAGAAAAAAATTTAAAATAGCTTGCTATCACAAAATGAGAAACATTACCATCCCAAAGCTAGATTTATTTAAATTCTTTATAAGTTCAATCACTTTTTAAATCGATGGGCTAAACAACAGATTAATACTAAAACATGTTCGTGTTTAGGGCACAATACCAATTTTTTTATTTCTGTCTTGTTGTTAATTAATAGATTAGAATTGTCATTAGATACTAATGAAGACAAAATATCAAAATGTTGTGACAAACCCATTTTACTGTCAAGTATTTTAAGATATTTAAAATCAAACGTTTACTTTGATCAGTTGACGATAAAGTGGTAAAAATAATCAAAATAGCAAAAAAATTATAATATACAAAACTAATAATAAATATAACTTCTAATAACTTCTAAATCATTATAATATTTTAGGTTACTGTATCATTCTGCTGCAAAACATTAAGAAAAACTCAATTCCTGATGAAAGAATTTTAACCAGAAAAGAAGCACAAAATGGCGAAAAGCTCATCCTGAAAGACACATTATAAAGGGCTTATATAGGGAATGACGTAAGCTTGATTTTTTATTCGCATACACTCTATCTGGGTGAAAATTTAGAGTGGTCAACTGTACCTTGTTCGTTGTTTCTCATGATGTGCTTATTGGCAAGATGTCTCGCTTGGCGTGTCTCAAAACTGAAACCAAACCGAAGCAGGGTGTGGTTCTTCTCTAAAGTCTTTGCGATTTCCAACTCTAGTTGATATCCGGATGTCTGCGCCTAGAAGGATCGACATTTGCTGGTCAAGACACCAGAAAGTAATTTTCTACATTTTATGAAGTAGCAATTGGAAAGAGGTGGTGATGGCAATTCTAAAAGCCAGAATGGATGCAACAGAAAGGAAGCTAGCTACATACCTGATTTGCCAGTTTGAATTCCTTTAATGTTGTATTCGATTGAAGCATTTTCAGTAAGTCCGTTATTCCGTCTTTTGTGAGGAAATTCGATTCCATGTTAAGTTCTTCAATTGTCGTGTTCGAAATCATGGCTTCCGCGATTTCCTTTTTAAGCAAAAATATTCATTCAAAATGAGCATTAGAGGAAGATATGAAATCTTCATTGCAAGTTTTATTTTTATTGGAAGTAAATAAATGAATCAAGGAAAGAGACACATGGAAATGAAGCAAAGAACTGGAAGGAATAGATAAGAGAATTATCGTCCAAAAGACAAAGAAAAAGATAAAAAACCAAAGATAATTTTACAAAGCAGAAAAATAAAGGAAGCAATATTCAAATTATAAAATGCTGAATGAGAAAGAAAAATTTATAGGATAAATAAAATCAAAGAAGATGCAATAACTGAGAAAATTGATAGGAAATGAAAAGCTTTAAACCAGAATGCCTGCAAGATGAAATTTTGATGCGATCATAGAAGACAAATGAAAAGATAATTAATTAACACAGCTCTCGTCCGTTTTAGAATTTTCTCAAATTCCATAAATTTGCAGTGGAGTTGAGCTGTATCCAAGGTTATTATTACAAGTAACCAAATATAGTTTTAATAAGAACAATTACATTGAATTAAAACAAACGATAAGTATGGCAACAGCTACTTTTATATATGTTAGTTCCCGTAAGAGATAGCAAACAAATCCAGAATTACTACACAAAATTTACATTTCGCAAAAGATAAATACGAAAACTAGTAGGCAAATTTTTTGCGAAATGAAATTATTTCGCCAAACCAAATTCCTTAGGGTAAAAAACGTCGGGTAGTGACCAAAGGATTACGGTCTCTAGAGAATATCTGACAAAATTCAGCTTTAGTATATATATAGTATTGTGTAAAATTCAATTTTCTCGTGTGAAATTTGCAAAATGGTTTGTTACAAGTAACAATAATATTCGGAAAATACCTTCGCTGCTGGATCCCGCATGCGGCAGTTCGCTAGAAACAGTCGCTTCAGATTTGTGTTTGTTTTCAAACCTTGTGCTACTTCATGTAAAACTTTTTCTGTAACATCCTTGTGGTTATTCAAATTCAACTCAACAAGGTCAGGATCATTGCTGCTAAATTGCGACATGGCATTTTCAAGGTCGAGTTCGTTTACAGCGTTGATGTCTGTGTATTTTTTGTACCTTGTGCTTTTCACAACACCTAAAGGAAGAAGCAGGACAAAGGTCATGATCCATAGGTTGGAGTGGCAAAAGTCATAATTCAAAGTGCATAGGTTGCATAGAGTATATTGCTATCCGTTAATTGGATCACGTAGAATACATTATTACACGTTTGTTGGCTGTACAACATGCACTGTACATATTAGACAACTGTTTGTAATAGGACAAGGGTAATAGGTTAGATTTCGAATGGCAAGCTGAACGAGGCTAAAGTTCAAAGAGAGCTGTAGGCAAGAAGATTATTATAATTATTTATATGTATACCTGGTTTGTACTTTTTCAACCCTGACCCTTTCAATGATTTCCACATTTTATCTGCATCTGCTTGTTCGCTTTGCTGCTGATTCAGCATTCCATGTAAGCCAAGAACGGCTGCAAAACGAAAAATGTTAAATACTATTGGATAAAGAAAATTGACAATGATTTTCTTATAAATGTCAAACCATAGAACTAGCCTGTTTCAATTGTTGATCCCAGCCTACTTTAGTTCAGTTCTTTTTTCTAAACTTCTACGCAAACTTGTCTTTAAGAAGTCTTGATAAACAGGCTCTGAAGGCAATTGACAGATAGTTAAGAGGCTTATGTCATCCTTCAATCAAAAATTGACCAATTAGTGAGCGTGATTCCACTCGATCATTGATTGGCCAATATTGATTGACTGATGGCTTAAGTCATTTTTATATCTGTCGATTGCGTTCAAGGGAAAAGCAAACAGCAATACAGCAATCAATAAGCAATCAAATTTAAGGGAAGTACTGAAACCTGTTATACCAAAGTTCTCACTGTATGTATACCGACAGAGACGAAAGCATTCCTCGTGTTAAAGACTCGTTGCTAACAATGAGCCATTGCGCTACGCAAACATCCCATAATGCATTTTCAGCCAGTCTGAAATCAATTTTGGTTAATCCGTAGAAGTTTACTGTCATTGTTTGGACCGTCGCCACGCTCGCAAAGGCCTATTGTTAGCAATGAGTCTTTAAAATTCTCATGAGTTTTCTGACAGCTTCAGCTAAAAGACATTAAATCGCCATAGCAACAAAGCAAGCCGTACTTTTTTAAATCACAAAAATTTTCATTCTAAGGACACTTCTTCCTACCTGCCAATTCCATCAGTTCAGCCTCAGATGCATTTTCTAAAACGTCCGTCAGTTCGTTTGGTAAAATATTTTTATCGTCAGTTTCTTTCTTTGGCTTTGGTTTCCAAACCTTTCCGAGAGTTTTCTTTTCAAAGGGCAACCAGTTTTTGCCGACTTCTGACTTTACTGCCTCATCTTTCATGTGTTCCAAAAGATGCTGCCTGTCATATGGACCAGTTGGCTCCTTTTCGGTTTGGTTTGGGGCACGATCACTGGCCGGCAGCAGTTCATTCTGACGAAAACAAACAATCATCATAGATCAGCCTACCCTGATGCAGCGATTGATTGATTACCAATCACGATTAAATCATTCATTATGATCGTTGATCACTTTCATGTGATTCACTGATCAAGCAATCACGATATAGCGATTAACTGATCATCTAATCTCGATTAAGCGATCAATCGATTCACTTGTGATGATGAAGTGATTCCCTGATCATCTCATAACGATGAAGTGATTCACTTTCCTTCAATCATGATTAGCGAGGGTTTACTTGCTTGCTACTAATATATTTTTTTGTAAACTTTTATTTAGATATTTCATTGCTGAAGAATGAAATTGATGAAATGAAATGAAGTGTAATAGTTTGACCAGTCAAGCAACTTGCGACTCTTTGATATCCTTAGAATACACCAATTCGACTTACGGCCTCGTTTTGAAAAATTATAAGGATATATATGTTGCATAAACTTATAAGTTGCGTTCGGATTGATACAAATCGTGACTTAACGACTAGCTCCTGGAATCCTGTTTTTACACGAAGGACACTTCTGAGACAACGTTAGCTGCAAATCATAAAAGTTTATGCGCAGCCAATGGTTAACGATCTTGAATTATTGTAACCATGACGGCAGACGCCAATGAAACTGTTTTCAATAAAACGTTCCACTCTGGAAGAAAAGTTCAACAAGAAAACTATTGGATCAAAATAACTTTTTAAACCATCAGATAACGGGTTACCACAAAATACTGAAAGAAGCATTTTTCGATTTTTCGAGACACACAAGGGGCGACAAATGACAACGAAATCAATAACACCAATCAGACATAAAGCATTACAAAAGTGGCAAATACGTAGAGTCTTTCCATACGTAAAATGGACGGGGGCAACGTTTACTTTCCTTATAGCTTCCTGGGCTTCTTGTAAATTTTGGGGCCAACTAATTCTGTTATCCAAACGGTCTTTGCTATAAGGACAGACCAAGAAGGGGGAAGCTTCAGTGTCGAAAAATTTCCAACAATTTTCAGTAGCTTCATGGCAGAGTCTTGAACGGGAAACAAATTAGTAAAAGGGCTAGAATAAGAATGTGAAGGTGTTTCAATCATGGTGCAAATGGCTTTAAAATTTTTTTTTACAATATACTGACATTTTTCGCCTGACACTCTTCAGATTATAAAACGTCAGAATCAGGGTCACGAAGACAAAAACGAATATATATACCCAGTTGTGGATGATGAAATTTTATATGAAATTATGATTATATTCTAGGCACACTAAGATTAAAGGCAATCGAAAGAAATGCACGCAGGGGCCTGAGCACCAGTGAATTCTCTCTGCACTACTGTTTATTTCTTCTACTAAGCCTGTTCTATCTCTAGAATTTTGCCAATATTTTTTGCCCCAATCGATGTTACTTTAAAGCAAGTTGAAAACAGCTCATTCTTAAAGGGTGTACCCCTTTACGGAAATATTGGAACATCAGACCTTCAATGGAACTGAAGTGACTGGATTCTTTCATGGAAAAGGATATCCAGGACCCGTCTTTACCATCAACACGAGTCTAGCTTAACAATTATTTAAAATCCATTTAAATGACTTACATGAACCACAGAATCATTGCTGGTTAACTTATTGATAACTTTATTGAATAGGATTTCTAGACTCCAAAGAGAATTCACTAAATTCTTTTGTAGAAAACAGCCAGGTTTTACAGGACAACCGGACCTTAACGGACAGACAAGCCTCTTAATTGACAAACCTCTAGATGACTATGTTGAAGGACAAGCTTACAGTAGTTTACTTTAGGAAACATTCCATTTATAGATACTAAGAAACTTTACTCTGCACAATCTTGCATCAAGGTTCCAAATAAACTTTGGATTACCAACACAGCAATTTAAGATCAGCAAGTTAAAATAACCCGCCTACATGGATCATTGACGGTGTCTGAGATTGTTCCATTCAGCACCTTTCACAAAAACATATTGGTACTTTACCAAAAAATGAAAATCCTTTTTTCAGTGCAAATTTAAAAGGGAAACCAATATACTAATTACCCCTTGCGAAGTCTTTGAATCCCATTCAGAAAAAAACAGAAAATGCAGTTATCACATTAATTTGAATCTTTGTGAAAGAACAGGCCACAGAACTGAAAGAGCTACATACACTTGATGGTCTTAATTGCTGTTCCATCATCTTGGAATATTTATATACACAGAAAAACAAAGTATCAAATTGGACTTATACAAATCATGACAAAATATTGTCATTTAGGTTTTGAATTGTGCCAATTAAAGGACCAGCTCCAGCTTACTAAAGTACACCACGCCAAACTGCCGATCTTGTAACTTAGTGCACCATCATTTCTACAATATGTACATGCAAAAATGCCATTTTCAGTTTGGAACCAACAGAATGGCTCGCTCGTTGCAATTTTGTAAAACATAAATACCCTGGAATCTTGAAAGTGTAACTGTTGATACTTTTAGTCAAATCATAAACAGTTTTTGTTGGCACGCTGATGCCCAAAAATGTGCAAAATACTGCCAAAGGAAGAGATAGAGTATCAAATTGTATAATTGTCATATTGAGTCGGCCAGCTAAATAATTTTGCAACAAATTGGTTACTGATATTTTTCTTATTCACAAACTCTTCCTGGATTAAATTGAAATAATATGGTTTTTGTTATGAAAAGATAAATAATTTTTTGTTTATTTGGCAAAACCAAAGGAAACTACTTTATGAGCATGGTTGAATTAAAAACAATGAATTTCCTGACAATACTTTAAAAAGTTTTTCAAAAAAGTTTATTTTCAGTAAGCATTGTTGAACAAACACATCTATAAAAATGTGAAAAGATTATTTTGCTGATGGTGATGTTATGCCTCTCTGACATTAAAAATGAAGCCTTTGAGAATACAAAAAAGATGCGAAGAAATTGGTGGGTTTGAGTTGGTAGATCCATAACATTTTGATACCATTGAAAGATGCCTGATTGCAATTTAGAAAGAAAAGATAGCCAGATTCCAACTCTTCCCAATTTCTAAGAGAGTGCAGATCTGCACAACTTTTAAGGGGACCTCTTTGTCCTCCCCTCTCTTTTTAAAAGAACTAAAAATGTACTTGAAGACAAAGGAGGACAGCTATAATGATGAAGATGTGAGCAATTGCCTTGACAAAACGTTTTTGTCTGATACCATAACATGTCTAGAACCCACTCTGGAAAATTCACATGGAAAGCAATTACTTCTATAGAAAAACTTGACAGTGAATTTTGAATCTTGAAATACGATATTTTGTCTGAAACCACTACTGTTTATTTCTTTGTCTGGTTTTATATTTTTTTGTACTACCGCACCCTTACAATTCTTTATTGTCTGAAGCTTTTATTGTTTATATAACATAACATTATCTAAAGTTATCTCCTTTGCCTTACAGGGTCAGGCTTCAAAATAATGAAGGCTTTAGATGAACAAACTACATTTTGAAAAATCAATTAAAATGAAACAAAAGATTTTGGGCTTGTTCTTTGAGTTGGATTTATGGAGTTGAGACTGGCTTGCTTTCTTGCCCTGGGAGCAAGCAGTAAGAATTTACGGGATCCAATAATGCCCGGGGGCTCCAAGAACATTTTTGGAACTAAACCAATCACACAACCAAAATGCATTCTATAGTGCATAGGGAAATTCATAAATGCAAAGGGAAGCACTGAAGTAATTTTTTGATTTTAAACAAAAATTGGACTTATTTTACAGGGGTTGCTGTAGAGGAATAGGAACTATGGACAATTGGCTTTCTATTACTGCGTACCAAATTTTTGTGTCATGACAACCATTACACAAGTTCAGAAAATGGCTGACTGGTTGAACATATTGGTCTTCACTTCCCAGAAGAACACACAGTACTGGAACACAGTAGTTTGTACCTGTTCAAAATGTATTTATTGAGCTGGGGGGGAGGGGTAATGTTATGTAGGCAATTTGGAAAGAGGGAGCAATTGAGAAGTTCTGGCAGAAAGCAAGGGTACAATTTAAGGATAGAAAGGGGGTTTGTCCTTACCTACTCTCAGTATATGACATCATAAACCCTTGCATTAGCCCCAGTGGTTGATTAGAAGAAGCAAATGCCTTGATGGGGTTCATTCGGGGGTGGGGGCTTTGATCAAGGGTCTATGGATCTTATTCGTATGATATTCCGTTTTACAGACATTGTACAATTAATCAATTTATGTATAATTAAGTCATTTTTGTGTCTTTGAGAACCGACTAGTCGTTATGATGTGATATTTGACCATCACAAACCAACAATCATAGTTCGGTTTCCCAAACGGCCACACAAAGTGGAGTCAAAGAAGACCCACACAATGTGAGAATAAATTACCACTTTCGCAATAATTGACAGATTTTTTATGATCCGATTGAGAAAATCAGGGAAGGAAGAAGATAAACTCTCTTCCGAGGCAAAACCACAAAAGAGAATCGAGATGTCTTGGATTCACTACAAGGCCGGGAGACACTTCCGTCACCTCGACCATCCCAGATGCCACAAGTTTTGTTTAATTGACAGCTATTCAAATAAAGAGTTGTTAAATTATTCATAAAACAGCACTTCTGAAGGCTTGGTCGCCGAGTTTTGGCAGAACTTCACGTTATTTTTAACTTAAACTCTACGAAATACGCCCACAAATTGAAATGGGTGCGATATAAAAACTCTTAAGGTTAAAAGGTGACCGTTATGACAAAGTTTATCCGCATAAGATCTACAAAATTCTGCTTGTATAACTTTATGCAGCAACGTTTAGTGCTTAGGCCCATCCCCATTGTGAGATGCAGAAATCTCTCCACAAACATATCAAGCAAATATCTTATAGTCGCGATCTTTTATAATCAAAAAGGACTAATATTAGCTGAAACATCAAACAAACCTCGGGGTCAAATTGTTGTTTCAAACTTTCAAGATCTTCCGTTGTAAGGTCTTCGATTTCATCGAGAGCTTCCTTGTCTAGCCCCGTTGCACTATCCGCCATAACAATCCGCAAACTCGCAAACTTTCACGTGGAAGATGTTGGGATTTTCCTTCAAAAACAAAAGAGTCCTAATTGACAAAAGTGTACCGTGTGGCTCTATCGATTTACAACATTAAATCCATGCAAAACTCCCTCTTGTCTTCTGCAAATCCCTTTGTCATCGCAGGCGGGAAGTGGGTTCAAATCATCAATCCCACGTGATATGAAAACAATACCACGTGATTAGTTGTACAGCACTGATTGGCTTATTTTCCATCAACTGTAACATTGACGTCATAATAGCCAAACAGAACAATTTTTTATCTAACAATGGTTTCCATTCTTTGTTCTCCATCAAATGGTATATTGTCCTTGCGGTGACACTCCGGCTTGACTCATAAATTCAAAGTCTTTTCACAGAAAACAGATATCCGTACTGTTGTCAGGCAGGAGTTTTCAATGCATTGCACGTATACATTCCCATGGAAATAAAATTAATTTCTCTAATTAAAAAGTGCGGCTTAATAACTGGCGATAAATGTCTTTGATAAAACTAAACTGTGGCCATGGCTACAATCTGAAATATTCTCAATTCAATTGAGGCAATATGATAGAAAACAAAATAGAAAAAAACACCAAGCTCAAGATAAGCCAAACCAAAGAGAGGACAAGATACTTCCAAAAGTTGTAATTTACTAAAAATTCTGAATGAGATTTTTTAATTCTACGATAGCAAAATTGAAATTTTCAGTGCTTCAAAAATAGTCTAAAATTTAGGGGTTTTTTGTCAACAAAAATGCCCAGCATTGAGCGCATGTTCTGAAAAGCAAGTTAAATCTTTGATATCGTGCCAACAAACAATCTTTGTTGCATATAATATCACGAAATTGCAATCAATGGGAACAACTTGACAGCAAGGAATAAAATAAAGTGACGATTATTTTCGCCAGAAGGTCCCTTAGTTCATTTCATATCACCGCACCTCTGATCGTGAGAAAGCTCTTCCTCTGTTTTCTTTTTAAGGAGCAAAATGTTTTTGAATGTCTTCCAAAATAAGGTAAAATGTATGAGATGATGTAGAAATAAAAGCAGTAAGGACATGGGAGTAGCGAGTGTAAACGTTTAGGGAGGGGGCTTAGCAAAGATCTTGTTGCCCGAATATCATTGCTCCATTGAGACAGAACTGCCCAAAAGGAGTCCAAAAACGATTAAGTTGTCTGATTTAGCGGGCAGGAGCCCTCCCAGCTCCAATACCAATTGCAATATGGAAAGGGAACTTCATGTAAAATGTTTTTTATGAAAATTCATTCAACATAATTTCCTACCAAAATCGCTTTCTCGGGTAGCACTACTCTGTTCCTATTTCTTAAAAAATACATCACCACCAAAATTCCATTGAATGTCTAGGGAGTCTAATAGAATAAACTTTTTGTGCGAGTGACCAAAACTTGGACCAACTCTTGTCACAAACAGACTGACCCCTCTCAATGAACCTCCCTTCTCCCATTCTCAAACAAGCAGCATACTTTGTTGTGAAATTGACTCCAACATTGAATAAGTTTTCCCATAAAAACTCTCAATGTTCCAAAAATGTGGACATTTAGGGACAAAAATTCACATGGAATAAATGTATAAAACTTTACCACAAAGACTCTATTTAAATAAGTAAGAAAAACAAGTCTGCTTGATCTTTCCAAACTCAATCTGGTAATTCTAATTCTCAGCAAGTTAATTTTATATTTTACCATTGAAACAATTTTTAAAAAAACTTCTTTGCAGAAATTATATATCCATGACAGAAATCAAGACAAACAATATTGTAGAATTTACAATGATGTTAGCTTTTTCACAACTTTGAGAGAAAACTTTAAGAAATTCACAATTGGATTTTTTTATCTTGTAAAGGGTCCAAGGGCTCAGGGGCCAGAGATTTTACAGCTCCTTCCCTGAATCAAATTTGTTTGAAAACATAGAAAACTTTCTACTTTGTGGGATTTGTTTTTGGAAACTTTTGGGTATCAAAATTTTCCAATTGCAAAATTTATAAGAAAATATTTGCCTTTTGCAAACAGCAAAATTTGGACTTCCGCTGGGCCCCTTTTCACACAAGTCTATATGTTCTTGTTTTCAAGCAATTTTTATTTTTCACTCCAGCATACATCCCTTGGTAGAAATCAACATTTTATCTAACAAATCTCTAAAGGTTGTAGAGCCAGTTCCCTTATCTGCTCGTCTGAGATACCTAAGTGCCACATAAAGATGCATTGCTCTGAATTCACAAACAGCTTTCAGACATGAGTTTAAGGCTTCAGTCATGTTTCCATGCCAACTGTTATTTGCTGACTTCAGCACAAATTCTCTTAAAGAGCCCTGGTTTGCTACCATTTCTTGTAATTTGATGATAAATTTCCTGTGTTTGCCTGGCATGTACCATAGCACTTCTTCTTGGAATTCCTTCCCATTTCCATGGTGACTGATGCCAAGCAAAAGGTCAAAGGCTAGAATCATTGAACTTTGACCTGCACTTGGACCTTTTGGGTTCACAACCATTTTTCCATTTGGCAATTTCATTTTGACAACTTTGTGAATAGCAGTTGCATCACCATACTTGTTTGAAGAATGTCTCAAATCATTTTGTGCCAAACCGCTTTTGCCATTTGGAACATTTGGAACATTTGAATTGTTATTAACTTTTGATTCCAAGTTTAGCACAATACCTTCAGGCCAAAATCCTCCAATTAAAGGCCTGTATACATCATAGAAGACCTCCTTGTCAACATGATCCTTAATCTGCTGCAGAATTTCTTTAAACTCCTTAAAAACAGATTTCATCTCTTTGAGTAATTCAATCACTTTGGACATTGATCCTTCTTTCCCATGGCAAGTTACATTGTCTCTTATGATTGGTTTGTTGCTGTCTTTGGCTAAAGAAAGAGACTGATAAAAGAGAAAAATCTTTAGGATAACTGGGCCAGCCACTGCTTGCATGGCACATGGCACCATATGAAAATATGTCTCAGTAGGGGTACCTGTCATTGATAGATTTGAAGCCAAGTTTGACAAACAAAACCCCTTTGAAGCATCTTTGAGTCTCCAGTTCCACAAATCAAGAGCCGCTGTTAGAACTAAAGGCAAGTCTAACTTCTTGCATATATAATACCAAGGCAATGCCAACTGTGGAGGTATTTCTGTCAACAGAATCCCATCAACCTCTTTCAAGGTCTTAATATTTTTTTGCACACAACACTCATTGTCAACAACGCAATCCAATTCTTTAATCTTTTCCCATGCAACTTTGTCCCCATTAACAAATGAGTGGATCAACATTCCCAGCAGAATAAAAGCTCTTTGCAGCATTTCTTCCTCTTCCAGATCCTTGCAGTCAATCACCTCCGTGTTTAAAACTGTCATCCGCAATTTCCCATCTCGGCTCAATGCTGGAAGTTTGAAAGCGATTTCCTCCCACTGGTCATATTTCTCTGGCAGCCTTTCCAAACAATTTACCGGCAAAAAACCGTTCTTCGTTAAACCATACTTTTTACATATGTTTCTTAGTTGCTTGTTGTCTTTCTCATTATCAAAATCGTCTGATTTGCCTGAGGATGCAATTGGAAAAATACCTGCCCATATGATTCGGACAAACTTCAACAATGAAACAAGGCTAGTCGACAAAACAACGAATAATATCGTTGACAATACAAGCGAAGAATTCAAATCAAACAGTTTAATTATCTCCTTGATCATTCTCAGCAATTCTAGAGGCCTGAAATTCAACTGCTCAAGCGAATTTTTCCACGAGATTCTAAAATGTCCAGTGTCCTGGAACTAAACTCTAACAATCTTTTTGTGCTCAAGTAAATATTGTTGACAAGTAAATTTGATTTGCCCTGTACTTCCGCCAAGTGTTCTTGGAAATGAGGCAAACTGAAACGAGGATTGTGTTGCTAAGGAAACATTTTAAAATGGCTGCCGAATAAACAAGTTGTTCTTTTTGCTTCTCCGTTAAATTTGATAAATTTGGAATGCTTTTATGCAGGATCAAGTTGTTTTCTAAAGATCATTGTATCTGATTCGAGAGAAATTAATTTTGAAATAATCAAGACAACTTAACGACATTGATCACGTTGGATATGTTCGTCGTTTTTCTGACATCGTTGGCCTAAATCTACTTGGGTGCAGAGCAAACATTATCTGGTTGAAACTTGACGGAAAATGCCGATCAAAAGAGTGCCGGTCATCCATCGATTTGGAATTGTTTCGCATAGTAAACGACTTGAGCTTCATGAAAGGTTGGCGAAAAAAGTGATCGAGGAAGAAGGGAAACTTAGGCCTAAAACTTCCCCTCAAAGGTAGGAGCTTCATCATCAAGAAAAATCAATTTTCTTTGCCTAGTGGCCTCCCGAATATCCTACTTAAACCTCTTGGTGATTTCAATGATTTCTATGCAATAGGCAAGTCCCAAAAGCAATTTCTTTAGAAATTATAAATGGTAATATCTTGCCAGTTTTTGTACTTCTCTCGTTTAGATCTTTATTAATACTTGCTAAAAATTATAAATTATTGTACTCTATTTATTTGTAAATTATGTAAAAGTTTAATTTTTCAAATACATCAATAAATGTTTTTTAGGAAAAATGAATTTGCAATTGATGAAGAATTTGTCACGCAGGTAAAAATATATCCTCACTTTGTAAATACCTATAGTTGGAAAACAATAAATATTTTCTAATTATATTCAAAATGATTAATTTTTCAATCAATTGCAATTCTTGAGAACTTTTACTAGCTTCAACCGGGCTTGGAGTAAAATGCCTGCTGATCTCCAAATGTTCTTCATTCATCAATGCACTGGGGCCAGGATTATGGGGAGAGCAAAACTTAGAAAGTGTCTTGATCAAATCTTAATTTCTAAAATTTTTTTAGTACAATGAAGCAGAAAATGGTTCAGAAGGGAAGGATGAACTCCATAAAAGAGCTGAGAAGATTTTCAACAGAGCAAAGGTATGAGTTATGTTATGTAGTCTGTAACAGCTGGAGGATGATTTCTACACAAATGAGGGAGTGGGAGGGTCACATCAATTTACACTAATGACATAGTAATTTGTAGCATTAGGAGTTAATTTCTGAAAAGTTTCTAATGAATTTCGCATTGATAGACAATGTTTTTTACAGAGAAAAGCTGGATTACGAGAGAATGGAATTGGGAGCCATGTTTCATTAAACCAGGCATGGAGAGATTTGTCTCTGCTGGCACAATGCAACACAAGACCACTGCAAGAGGGTAAAAAATTTATTAACAACTTATGACATGTTTCATAGAAGGTGTATCATTTCTTGGAATTTAAAGGGAAAGCAAAAACAAAATATTTGTGTAGCTACATTATCGAAAACTGAAGAGGGTTAAAATTCATATTGTGATAAAATTTCTTGAAAAATATCATCATTCATTTAATCTGTTGAAAATAGTAGGGTTCTACGTTTTGTATCCCACCAAAAAGTCCTTTAATATTGAAATTTTTAGCCTCCCCTTCTCTGAAAAATTGGGTACATATAAACTGAAGTTTGAAAAAATCCAGTTCTTTTTCCAAACTTAAGGTTATAAACACTTCTGGTTATAATATACTTTGTTTTCTTTTCTATTTCAAAAAAACTAAAATTGATAAAGACTTTTTCATCAAATGTTATCAATCTTAGGATAAAAATTGCAGTATTAAAAAGATTAAGTAACGTAGAACATGATTTCAAAAGAAAGATATTTTTGACAGGTGCACTTGGATCTCTTTACAAGTCACTTACGTTTTCTCCAATTTCAAGAAGCCATGTTGAAAGGTACGTTCTCCTCATATTCTTTTAAGCTAAATATATTTATGTCGTCCACGTGACAGGCACTGCGGAGCATTGACAAAAGTGAGGGGTCTATAAAAGTGGGGGGGGGCTAAAACCGAGTAAAACCCCCTGCTCTGGGGTGCCTACGTGACCAAGCTCTTCATGATTGAAGTACTTGAGTTTCAGAACTTCTTTTTGTCTGTCTTCAGTCGCTATCATAACATAATTGCAACTTGTATTCCTTCATTAAACTGCCTTTTATTAGAAAATAAACTTTAACAAACTTCAATTTTTGTGGAGATGCCCCACGGAGAAAACCCTGTCTGCAGATAAAAAGATGAGAAAAGAACAAAGGGAAGGGGTTCTTTCAAGACAATATTAGGTCCCATTTGGGCAAAAAGGGGGGTTGGGCTTCTACACCAACATGTGTGTTACTTCAAAGGATGTCTAAAGGGTTGATTTTTTTCAGAAGTAGCCTCTTGAAACATGAATCCTCAAAAAAGGCTTGACTCCAAACTTTGCCCCATGATATCTTTCAAAAGCACAACTGACACAAACCAGGTACAACTGACACAAGCATAACTTTGTCCCCTTGTCAATGCATTATTCTCTTTTTTCCAGCCTTCTTGAGCTTGCGCATGCGTCGATTCATTGGCTGACTGAAAGCAATGCAGATCAACCATATCTAAGAACTGGAGAAGTTTGGCTGCTAAAGGTAACTTTCTTTTCGATGCAGATTATCCGGGCGTCTACTGTCCTCAGTTTTTCCAATTGTGGTGAAAGACCCTTGAAATACTTGTTGGTGTGGCTATGAAAACAAATTCTCATCGAATGCTTTTTTTATTCCCATAAACAAAGAACTGTGATCTTTAAACGTTATTAGAGAAAAGTTTAGTATAAAAGTGAATATTTAACGCAATCATTCAGTGCTTTGACCGTGTTTCGTAATGTGAAAGGGCTTCATCTCAAACATTTGTCAATAGCGGCTTCCATCAACCTCTTCCCTTCCCTCTTCATGTTCTCGTGGCATGTGCTTCAAAATTAATTCGTGTTATATATTCTGTAAATAATTCTTAAATCCTTTCGCATTCAATAGACTTAAAACATTTAATGGTTACCTGACCGCCTTTTGTTGTTTTTAAGGTGGCTCACTTGGTATTTCTACGATTATATTATCATCATTTGGCTGGTGATATCGTGGTAAGTGTTAAGGTGGCACTAATGTTACCCACGAATGGAAATGTTTCTTACGTCATCCCAGCATTTACACAAACTCTTCCTCTCCTACATCCTTCTACTGAAATACAAATCATTTTTTCTATTTTGAAAAGAACCCATGATAAAATCAAGATCTTATCATGATCCAATTTTTTTCAATCTTACCCTATTTGACGATTCTTATGAAAGTAAACATTCTTTGGCTGTTGCTTGATAATCTCATTAGGCATGGATCTCTTATACTAGGGATGCCAGAGAGAAAATGGTACTCAAAAAATCTGATCCACTGTTAAGAACCACTGATAACTTTCCATACTCTTTTCACACTCAAAAAAAAAATTTTTTTGTTACATTAAAGTTCAACGTTTTTCCAATTGTTCTAATTTTCTTAAGGGTCTGCACGAAGAAAGGATGGCCCTTACTGACATAGTGGAAGGTTTGTTTTGCATCTTTTTATGCTAGGCTTAAACTTCATATTTGTTTAATAAACTCAGACAATGAGCCTTGCCAGCATCCCAGCAGAGAAGCCCAATCAAAAGTATCAATATTTTCAAAGTATCCATATTGAGCCTGTGCACAACATACCCTGCACCGATTGGATTATAATGCCTTTTTTCTGGCCCACTGGTATGCACCATTCAATATCGAATGCACATATTATAATCAGGTTATTGACCTCTGCCCCTAATACTGACCTCTGCTCTTAATACTGACCTTTGTCCCTTAAACTGACCTCTGCCCCTAATACTGGCCCAGGGGCGGACTGGCTGGTCGGGCTATTCGGGCGATCGAGAACTCGCAACGGATAGTAAAGTCTGCACGCAGGATATCAACATCCGACTCCAGTTCTCTTTGTTTGCCTCTTAACAGCAACTCTTAACAGCAACTCTTAACAGCAACTCCATTTAAGAGAAACACATTAGGAGCATCTTGCATCAAGCACACTAACCTGAGTCCTTCTAAATTTGTTTTCTTTTTCTCGCAGCCTTTGAGCACCAGCAAGACAATTATCGTCCGTTTCCTTCGTCTTTGCTTCTTGTTCGAATCATCATTCAAATCGTAAGTTGCTAAAGAATTTCCTGATATCATGGCTTTGTTGATATTTTTTCCTCATTATAATGAGCTCTTAAAGGCTCGATATGAGTTTGTTAGGCCTAAGCAGACGATATTGTGTTGAAACAGCTGGCAATTACACAATTCCCCCTTCTTTGATATTCGTGTTGTAGCTCAAAGTTGACCAACGCACATAATCTTTCACTTAACTGTTTCTGATTGGCTAGAAAATCGCTGTTTGGCCAATCAATGAGCACGATACCGATCAAACGCTTCTTCATTGGTCAATTTTTTATTGACAAATAGCTTAGGTTACTTTTTTACCTGTCGATTGCCTTTAAGCAATATGTTAACACTGGTTTTATGCTCGACTTACTAGACTTACTCATAAGTCGGATTTTGCAAAAGTCCTAGAAACTTTTTTGTTCCCAACCGGTTTGAAATCTGCAATGTTCTTTGCATTCACTTTTCAAGCTTACCACCTTGGAAATATGCCTGTAGTTAAGTCTAAACTGTTTCTTTGCGTTATTAGTCCACTATTTCCTAATCTCTTATTCATCCTTTACACGTGTTTAATTTGATTAATTCTTGCATCACATTTTTAAACTTAACTATTTTATCTTCAGAGCCAGCGTTTAAAGAGCGGCTTAGATGAAGAGCTGAAAGTAATCGTTGAAAAAGAAATAGGACACATGATGCAAAAGTCAACATATTTTGATCCAATGGAACTGACAGGCACAAGAGAGGTCACAGGTCAATTTGAAATGAACAGCCTCAGGGAATCACCCCAGCTTAGCGATGCTGGTTTTTCAGATCATTCGGTATCTATCTAAAATTATATTTATTCAACACTCAGCGACGAACTCTATAAAATTTTACTCGTGACATCTAAAATAGGAACGTGATTGGAAAATTGGTAAATTGAAACAAATAGTTCAGCTTTTCAGAATGTCTGGAATTTATAATAATAAATTAATTTACAAATTATGTTTATCATTTTAAATCTCATATTACAGTTAGGCTTAAACGACCTTTCCAATTCTAGTTGTTTATTAAAGCATCTAGGACAAGATGGTCTCTAAACTAGATACAATAATGTTTTAAACAGAATAAGGAACATTTTTTAGGACTGTATTAATCTGAAAAAAGACAATCATTTTTATTTTAATTGAAATCCTAGCCACGAGTTAGCATTTTTATTTTTTATTTTGAGAAACTTGAAACAAATTTTTCAGTCTTTCTATTTTGCCATCATTTCACTTTAGATATTTCATGACGTCACGAAAAAGAAATCAGAAGAGAGGCTACTGCCGTCGATTCCCGCCATCCATGACACGTCACCAACCCTTTGGCACGCGTTGGACTCATGGCGCATTTTAACGCACACGAACCAAAACATGGATGGAGCTACAAACGAGTTGGTTTCATGCAGCACTGATCTTGCCATCGAGCCTTTGTGAGTTTTAATTCATGAGCACTGAATGAGGTTTTTATAGAAATGGCTGAACCTTTTAAAGACAGTCTGTTCCAGTAAGCAGCCAATCAAAAGTTATTGCCAAACAGAAAACGAAAAACCATCAGAGAAATGAGAGCTGTCTGACGCCATAATTGCTTACAAAATTCATAAAAATGGCGATATATTTTAGAAAAACTTCTTTTAAAAATTTAGATGATCTTTTAAGCTAAGATTTTAAACTGAAAACTGACACTTTATTCTTTCTTTCTATCAACAGCCTGGATGCAGTAATGGCGATCCATGTTCTTGCCGAAATCTGCAAGTTAAATCATCAGACATTGGAGGCGCTGCAGTTCATCGCAAGGCGTGATGTTCTCAGTTTCAATGAAGAAAACGCGGAACAAAAACCTAAAGGACTTTTCACAACACATGGCTCAACTGGTTTGTCCACGCGGAATCTTGCCGATTCTCTAGATGTTGGTGAAATGAACTTTTTGAGTGACTTTAATGTTCTGGGTAAAGAAATGGAAACAGAACGAAAAGAAACTTCAACCCCTGTACCGAATTTTCTCGAACAATTGGATGCATTCCTGGATCCTAAGCCGTTGGGAAACGACAAAACTATTGGGCGAAAAAAGGAAAAAAATAAACGAGAAAGTTGTAGCCGTGATGAATTTATGGTTGCGCATGATTCCTCTGCAAGAAAAGATGTGAAAACAAAAGTAGATGAATGCAGGGAATCAAAGGTTAAAGGTCAAACGTTACTCTCAACTGAATTAGCAGATATACCAGATGTCAAAGGTGAAAATGTCACCAAAACATTAGATGATCAATTCATAGATGACGATATTTCTGAACAAGGTTCGTATCCCGGCAACAGCTCCTCATCAGGGGGAAGTCTAGCTGATTTGAGCAGTCTTGCAAGCGACCAGCCTCACATTGAGAAGAGAGCAAAAACCAGTAGGAGGCGAATAAGGCGAAAAGCAAGAGAAGATAGGAGTGAACAGTTTTCGTCGGATGAAAACGAGGGCGATTTTCACGAATACGAGGCGGAACAGTTTTCTTATAGAAATAGAAATCTGAATAGAGAGAGTTCCCTTTCGATTGAGATGGCCAACGAGAGAATTGGTAAGTTGAGTGAAAGTTTGACATTGCTGTTGGACGTATACAAAACACAAGTTTAAATACTTTTCAGTCATCATCAGACTGCAATGGCAAGTTTCTTACTACTGCTGACTCAACGCTGGCATAGATTCAGCTGATTGGTTAAGACCATACTGCTTGTCTGTTGATGGTTTAGACTGAGCTATACCCTTCTTTAAGCATGCACACTGCTTTAAATTATTCTGTACGATTTCCCCACTTTTGGTGCTATTTCAATGATTTTCAAAATACACAGAAAAAATATTTTAGTTATCATAGCCGTGGTTTAAGTCGGAAGGATCACAACTTGAGACCATTGTATGAAAGGCATTGGGAGTCGTTTATGATAGATGTCATTGCTAGAAAACAGCGTAAATTTATCCAAGTTGGTATTCACAACAGAATGAAATCTATGTTATCCTTTGGTTTAGTAGAAAATGGCGGTTGAATTCTCAAGCGATTTCTTTTCTGAGAAGCAACGCTATCTTCTTTGCTAGTCTCTAAGTCTTCTGGGACAAACAAACTTGTATCTACAAATGAATAATAAGGTTGGATTTGAAATTCTTAAATTAGATCCTTCAGTCTCCACTCAAATCCACGATTTCAGAAATTATTATCTGATTTCAGATTTTAGATTCCTGGTATTATTAAATCTAGGAATTCAGAGAAATTAATTATTTTCATTGCAGATCGAAGCTTTAGCTTCTCTGGTCACACAATAACGAGGCCAAACTCACATACGAACGCGTCCATAACAAGATGGCCCTGGGAACTCATAGTTTCTTACGTCAGAGGTATGGGAGAGATATGTATCCATGGAAACAAGTCTCTGATTCAAAGAGACGCTTTAATGGGTTGTCGTGGCAATGAGGCTGGATTGTTGCAGCTTCTGAAATTTCAACTACCCGTTGAAGAAGGTATTTCTGCTTTACTGTAGCGTGTGTAATGCTTGTTTGTAATACATTAATGTTAAATGTAAGATTTTCTGATAATGTTCCGCAATTAGCAATGTAAATCAGGTTGGCCATAAATATTTAGGTCGTTTGAGTAACAGATCTCTTTTCCAGGGTAACTGCCTCAAAATGCGATTTACTTTAATGAAAATACACATGAGTTGGTTATCACTTCACTGCCTTTCGATTACAACTGGATGTTATGGCTTTAAAAATGTTGGTTGACTGTGAATCAGTTAAATGTCGAGAAACTGTTTTGCCTAATAAAACAAACTCCACAGGATAATATTGCATTCACCTAATACTTCTCAAAATGTATTTAGATTATTAAATATATGTAAGGCCAATTCTAGGTCTTATTAAATGGTAAAATTGCTAGAATTGTGTGTCAAGATACTTTTTTGTAGCCCTGCCTGGTGTTTTGGCAAGGGTTTCATATTAAATCAGTGTTGCAGAGGGAAACTGTATATTCAGGTGTTTAACTTATGTAAGGCTAATATTAGATCTTATGGTAAAAAATGTGAAAGTGATTGAAATGTCTGTCTGGCTACTTTATGCAGCCCTACTGGATGGTTTGGCAAGGGTGTACTTTTAACCATGTAGATAGGCTGATTAAAGATAGAATGGGTAAGGAGTTGCAAGCTCTTTGCCCCTGTTGTGTTTCAGGGGTGACCCCTTTTAATATGAACGAATATGAATTAGACCAACCTTCCACGGAAAGATCACGATGTTATTTTATTATTGCCTGAATCAAAGACGTCGAAATATCAATCAATTTACTTATTGAATTTCAGATTCAAATGCCGACTGGTCATGGCGAGTCCGTCATGTAACTGTGCACGAACTGATGAGGGTTTGCCAATTACCACGTGACCAGCCTCTGAAAGATGGCCTAAGGAACGCAGCGTGGGCAGCCTTGCTATCCCATCATTCACTGGAAAGAGACAGACGAGTTCTCGAAGCCTACAAAATCGCTCGGGTATGCATTTGAAATGCGTTAGTCATGAGGGCATTCATTGGTTGGTTTTGTCACTGGTTAATAGCATTTAACATTTGTTTTTTAGCAGTTTGTTTTAAGGGTCATCTCTTTCTAGACCGAAGTCAACCTTGACGTCATAGAAGACATCAGGACCCAGGCTCCTTCGAATTTCAGCAACTCAGTCTTTTCACGAATATCAACAAACCTGGCAATAATTCATTTAAACCATTTGGAATCTGACTCGCCTGTCAAAGACGAAGGAACCCCAAGAGCACAAATGAAATCGTCCCTTAAAAACAAGGGTCAGTTTATGGGACAATCACCTCAAAGGTCTACAGGGTCAATGGGGTCAAAGGCCAGTCCAGATGCAGCACGAGTCTCGCTGAGGTAGGCAATCAACATTTCTTAAGATTGCCAAAACCTTCTCATTTCTAATGTTTTTTGTATTAACAAAAAAGATGATAAATAAATCGTCAATCACTAATCATAATCATTAATCGTGATTTATTGTAAATCGTCAATCACTAATCATGATCGTTAATCCTTAGGAACGAGATAATGATCGCATCAACACTTGAGCGCAGACTGCCACCATTTGGACGACGGTGTTGGAAAGACGTGCAGAGCGTTGTGGAGGACCAATGGAGGAAAGAACTTGTTGAGGAATATGAAAGAATTGACAAACGGAAACAGAAAAACATGGATGAAATGGTGGCAGAAATGCGGGAATCGCTGACTTTAGAATCTTTAAAAGAGCGAGTTTAGTTTAATGTCTTTTAAAAGAATTATTTTTTTATAAAATGTAAATTCATGATCTTACCTTTGTTTGTTGGTAATATCAGGTTCTTTTTCTCACGTGTAAATGTTAATTTGTTCCTTGCTTTCTTGGACACAGGCCTAGTTGTACTGCTAAGGGTGAAATTAAAAATAATATGTATTTTTTATTCAAATTGCTTTTGTTTACAAATGGTGCCCTTGAGAATTCAGAATCCCTGCGAGACTTCGTTTCAGATGAATTGGTTTTGTTCCCTTTCTTTCTCTTTCGTTCACATGTTAGAAGTGACAAAATCTGATGATAGGAGCGTGAAGTGAAAGTGCGAAATGGACTTTGTTTTGTCGTTGCTTTAAAAATAGAATAAGTATTCCATGACAACAGCCCCTGCAAACGATGTAGGAAGCTTAGTGGGGGCTCAGGATCAAAAAGGGGAAACAGAGAAGCTGTCAAGTATTGTACAGTGTCCGTTATTAAACACATTTCGCTGCCAGAGTTTAACGAGCATTTTGGTCATTGCTGACTTCCTCTGTTGCCCAAATGGCCCTAGGTGAACCTCTTTCCTGCCAATGCCCCTTACCTATACGCCTTGCCTTACCCCCAAAAGAAAAAGAGACTGCGTGACAAACAAGGCCCCTTCTTCCAGAGTGGCCACAACCAACCCCTTTTAAACATCCAACTTATGGCCCCCAATTTTCCAACAGCAAGAACAGTGTAGCAAATTCATAAGAACATGTTATTGAAAAAAAAACATCACAATCTTCTTGAAATTTCGCTAACCAGCTTATTTTATATCTAAAAGCCAAGAACATTTTACCTGGAAAGAAACGGAGAATGCTGAGAAGCCGAGAATTTCATATTTCGCTGAATATTAATCACTTCGTAAAAATATCTCGTTTGTTGCAAGGCTAAATAATTGCTAACTGTCCTTTTTGTATGGAAGTTTTGTCTATCATCATTTTTTACCTGGGTCCAGGTTTTATGCTCAAATCTCCCGAGAAACACCCAAGCTGCGAAAATCATGCTAAATGGGCGCATTGGGAATACCTCGGGCCATTGGCATTGTTTTCCATTTCAAAGAGTAGAACTTCTTTTAAAGAGAAAACTTTAGGTGAAAAAACTGCAGATGGGAAAGAAAGATTTTGAATATGAGAATTTCATGAAGTTTTGAGATTCCAGAGACAATCTTAAAAGCAATCATACCTGATCAAGCGATTAGTTGGTGATCGACTGATCCATAGATCGAAAGGTTTGTTTGATTTAATACTGACCATGTTAATATTACTAAACCTCCAAATAAAACTTATGGCGATTAAAAATGGATAGACTATGTTTTACGCAAGCTTTGACCTTGAAAACATCTCCAGATGAAACTTTTCTTTCTTATCAGAATGAATAATGGTCAAATCAGTTGCAGGATGTAAAACTTTTTATCGCTAAGAAATAAATTTCACAAGCACAACATCATGAAAGCTTAAGGTAGCCTAACATTCTGCTTCTTGGTCGGAATCCTAAGTCAGAGGAGTTTGAAATACGATATAAAATTATCCTTGAGTCTGGGACGAGCAGAGGGTAAGTGACGTAATTGGCAAATAGAGTTTACATTCTGAAAAAAAGACGTAACCAAAGTGTACATATAACTGTTCCATTGACCATTATTACGCATGGGCCTAACTTAGATAGGGGCTTGAAGCATTCAACACTCCAATAACGCTCTCTAATAACTTGGTAACGTCTCCTCATAAGGGACTATAGCTCTGCCAAAACGGATATTTCTGACGTTTCACCACTAGCAAAACACAAATTTCATTGTGTGAAAGTCCTTACAGCAGTACAGCAGTGGGGGTAACATGCCCCCTTGACCCCCTTTCATCTATCATTCGTTGACACTGAATTTTCTTCTTTTTCCCTAGACAAAAAATGGCAAACAAATCAGGAACTTCGATGCAAACAGGCTTTCTGCTGTCGATACGACCAAACCCAGTTTTTCTCGCAATTTCATTTCTGATCGCAATCATTGCTATTCTCCTCAACGCAATGGAAATTCGCCTTATCACAAAACGGTTCAAAGCAGCGACAATATTTGAGCTCGTCCTGCTAAACCTTGCAATTGCTGACTTGCTAAGCGGGATTGACTATATCACCATAAATGGCCTAAGCACTTATGCTATGGTAAAGGGCGCACAGATGTCTACGAACCACATGGTGTGGATGTTCGGGTTCATCTTGTTTTCCACTGCGTCGTCAACAGCGTTCGTGATCGTCGTAGGCCTAGAACGCTTCTTTGCGGTTAAAAAACCACTGAAACACCGTATGTTCCACACGGGGCGACGCAGGCTACTCTACCGCATCATAATCACGTGGGTTTTCAACCTCGTTCTCACTGTGATTGCAATGGTGACGTTTTGTTACGGAGATTACGCTTATGGCAGCTCGAGCATCATGGGATATGTATCAGCTATCTATCTGACTCTTGGTGCCCTGTTAATCGTGGTGCTTTATGCCTGGCTTGGTTACTTGGTGCTGGTGCGTTCTGCAAAGTTACTTGATTTCGATAAGAAAGATGATGTAGGTATCAACCACAAAGTTATCAAGCGAGCAATGAAGAAGGAAAAGGCCACTATATCGGCATGTGCCTTGGTACTTGTGTCATTTCTGGCTTGCAATTTGCCTCTTGTTGCTCGGTTGTTCCTAGGAAAAATGGACCGTGTCAGTGCCACATTGGTTAAACTGAATGCTGTGTGCAACCCCCTTGTTTACTTTTTCAAAAACTTCTTAGAGAAGAGGTATTCAAAGAAAAAAAAGACTGTGTCTAAGGGCGGTTTGGACGCAAGCATTGCCAAAGCTCTGCAAGCGAAAACAGAAAAAGCAAAGGACAGAGCTGATGGTGCAAAGGACAGTGCCAAAAACCAACAGGACAGTGACAAGGGTCCAGAAGACAAAGTTCAAAGTATAGAGGGCAAAGTGTGCGGGCCACTTGTTCAAAACCAGCGTTTGAGAGTCAGTACTTCTAGCGAACAAGAATTTGGGGGTCAAATGTACAATATTTCGTTGCTTCAAGAAAATATGCAGGGCTCGAAGGACAGCGTTCATAGTGCAAAGGTCATACTACAAACGAGCCGAAAGAACGATTTGAACAGTAATCTCTTTGATGATAAAGCAATGAAAAATATGGTTTGTGAAGAAAAAGGAATGATAAATGCTGGATTGGTTGAACAGGCAGTTGTATAGAAGCATTCAAGTAGACAGAAAATCTTCACTTCCCCGCTACACGGAGTAAACACCAGCAGTCATCAACCCGTCTTTCCAGGAAACTTGGCTGGCTGGGAAACTCGCCTCCAAGTATACAGGCCCTTAATTGCTTTGAGACATTTCATTTATCGTATGATTTTAAATATTTTTAAAGTAACCATTATTTCATCGAGAGACATCAATATTCTGAACGAATAAACCAATGAAAAACAACCTTTTTGGCTAGGAATGTAACGCTTGTTCGGGAGATGAATCATACCCGTCTTTAGGACTTGTACTAGCCCCCGTCTCAGGGTCATTGCACATGCGCATTATCACTTGAAGCCCTGGCGGGAAGTTGTATTGTTTCGAAACAAAGGTCTGAAGGCTTCGTCTCCCGAACAAATACGGTAAATGCACAAATGATACGGGCTGACTTTCACAAGAATCCTTTTATTTACTTTTGTTTACGATTTGCAAGAGCAAACAAAAAGAAGACAATTCATTTTCATTTTACCACCGTTTGTTTGACTGGCAGGAAGTTCACCCATGCTTCAACTAGTCTGACGATTTCAAGCAAAACATCTTCAATGTGTTTTTAATGTGTTCTATGGTTTGTATTTTTATGTACAAAATAAATAATTGGATTGTTAAATGTGTTTTCGAAAGATAGCAACACTTTTTAGTTTCCACTATGGCAAAAATTGTTTCAAAACCTATTAGTCTCGTTGATATTTGCAAGCTTGTTGTTATTCGTTAAAGTAGAATGTATTGATCAAAGAGTGATTACACTGTTTGCGATTGAAATGACAGATAACAATTATAAAACAGATGATAATTATGATTATATTGGTGATGATTTTCATCATGTTGCATTTTCATCATTTTCCGGCTCTTTTCTTTTGTCGCCTTTCGTGCAATTTAACTTTCCTTCAAAGATAAATGAAGAAATTAATGACGTAGTCATTTATGGCTTAATTTTATCGAAGTTAATTTACGGAAATTTCTCTCTTGTTTACAGAAACATTCTAGTGAATCTTGAAACTTTAACTACGAAATAAACGCCCCAACATCTACATAATTATTTATAAACGCCGCGGAATTTAAAATTGAAAAATGAAAACAATGATGATGATAATGATCAAATGACAATGGTAAAGATTACGATGAACGATTGTTTGAAAATGAAGTAAACAAAGTAAGCCATTTTAAATTGATTTGCAGAAATGGCAAATAATTCAACCAATTCAAGCATCCAGAACGGCATTTTCCTCGACTTCTCTTCATCTAAAGTATTCATTTTGACGCTCTACTTGATCGCAGCATTTGCCATCTTCTTAAACATCCTTGAAATTCGCCTGATTACGAGAAAATTCAAAAAAGCTACGGATTTTGAGCTGGTACTACTGAACCTCGCATTCGCAGACCTTTTGAGTGGCCTAGACCTGGTTGTCATAGCAGTGTTGGCGACATTTGCCTCGCTAACAGAAGCAATCAACATTCGAAAGCATTTTGGTTGGATCTTTGCCTTCATCTTGCTATCAACATCTTCATCTACTGTTTTTGTCACCATTATTGGCTTGGAACGCTTCTTTGCAATCAAAGTGCCAATAAGGCATCGGATGTTCCACACGGGTAGACGCAGGCTCCTTTACTGTTTACTGGGGATGTGGGCATTTAATTTACTCATCACAACCTTGCCGGTTTTAATTGACTACCTAGTGTCCTCTACCGAAAGCCATAATGGATCAAAGACGGTAGGATACGTGGCTGCAAGTTACTTGACTGCTGGTGCCCTGTTTGTTGTAGTCCTGTACGCATGGCTAGGCCATTTGGTCATGAGGCGGTCAGTGAAGCTTCTTGATTTCGACAAAAAGGATGTCAACATAAACTCAAAAATTTTCAAGCGAGCGATGAAAAAGGAGAAAGCAACAATTTGCGCATGCATTTTGGTACTTGTTTTGTTCCTAATGTGCAATTTGCCTTTTATTGTCAATCTTTACCAAGGAAAGATAGACAACCACAGTTCTATCATGATCAAACTAAACGCGGTCTGCAATCCTCTAGTGTACTTTTTTAAAAATTATTTGGAGAAGCGGTATTCCAAGAAAAATCTGGTTTCTTCAGCAAATGCACCAAAAACGAAATTGCCAAAAATGGTTTCTGCAGCAAAAAGCAATTCTCAAGGAACAGCGAATGACAGAGCGCTAGACCAAGAAGACAAAGATGAAGGGCCTGAAGGTGAAAATGGAGGTTCAGAAGGTAAAAGTGAAGGGTCAGATGGCAAAGGTAAAGGTCCCGAAAGTGAAAGTGAAGGGTCAGATGGCAAAGGTGAAGGGTCAGAAGGTAAAAGTGAAAGTTCAGATGGCAAAGATGAAGGGTCAGAAGGTAAAAGTGGAGGGTCAGATGGCAAAGGTGATGGGCCCGAAGGTGCAAATGGAGGTTCAGAAGCTTAGAAATCACAGAGCAGAGTTCATCATAAAAAAACCAGAGGAAATATACCAAAGGCAAAAGTGCATGACCAACAAGAGCAACAAAAAATGACAAAAGGGGATGAAAGCAATATCGCAGACGATTGTAAATCAGCATTGTATGATAACGGCCAAGTTCATCAAGGGTCAGATGAATCATTATATGCTTCTATGTGCTAACTGTGTGTACATCCAATGTTTTCAAATATATGATCCAAATATCATCGACACAGAACAGAACGTAAGCGACGCTTTTATCAACACCCATTTTATAGGAGATTGTCATTGGTAGGCAAAATTGCTGACATTTTATTTAAAGTAATGTTCCTAAAATAATCGTGGTATAAAACATATGTGCTGTAAATAGTTTAGTTTTTATTTCAATAGCAATTGAATACACCACAGGTGTTTCTGTGTTTCGTCTCGAAGTTGTTCTACCAGCCGTTCTGATTCTCTCAACACGAGCTTCACATCACGACAAAACATTTTTGCAAAAATTTACCATTAGTTCAAAACCATGCATCAGAGGAACTCACAAAACAAGGTCGGATTAGCATTGGTAGTTATGTTTTACCAAACTTTGTACAAAGCAAATCAGGCAGAAAGAAGGCTAGAAAAGTGTTGGTTCTTCTTCCAGACAAATTTCTCGAGCTTTTGAAACCTACTCAGAAAACAAATAAACCAAGGCGGGATGTCGGGAAATTTAATTTGTTTGCTTTCACGGGCCTTCCTCCTTCGTTAGCCATCTTTTCCAGGCGCTGTTAACTTTTCTTCATTATTTAAGCGTTTCATAAGCTCATTTAGCCGGTACATTCATTTGTTAAATACACACATTTTTGCTGATTTGTGTGCTTTTATTATTCCTCATTTTTTTCTGGCGATATATTTCTAAAAGAAACCGTATTTTAATGTTTATTGACCAGAAATGTTTACATTTCACTGCTAAGGAAGTCATCTTGTGATTAAATCTCTGCAAATTGTGTTTCTGAGTATGTTTACAAAAAATCTTTTGTCTAATTTTTTCTTTCAATTTGAAAGACTGCAAACAAAATGGAATGACTTAGAACGGTTGAATTCAATGTAATTTGTTTACGACACGAAGCACACAATACATCCAGATGAAGTTTTGTGAAGTTTCAAGGTCAGAGGAAAGGTTGGAGCAAACATTTGGTGTTGAGTTCAAAGACAGATGAAGTTATACGAAGTCATACGGTCAGAAAGAAGGGTTGGAGCGAAATTTTAGTTTTGGGGTTGGTGAGTTCCACGGTTTGCTAGTTTCAATTTTGATCGTTTTATCAAATAAGTTTTTTAACGAAAGAAAGCACTTTAAAATTCATTCAGTTCTCTTATTTTCAACTGTTATCATAAATTTTAACGTTCTAAAGATTGCCCGTCGGTATGTTAAAATTAGTTAATAAAATTCCAAATGCTGAAAATAAACATGAAACTAAAAGAAACCCTGGCATAATGCCATGCTTCGCTTGATGTGTCAGAATTAGGCCTTGCAAGAATCAACTAGGTTTTACTTGAAACAGGGCCTCCGTCGAAGGGGGGGCCGGGGGGGCCATGGCCCCATCACTTTCTTGCAAAACAATAGACCTTTTTTAAAAACTTATGTGATGATTGTTATATTTTCTCTTGGCCCCTCCATTTTCCAACCTGCGTCGGAGCCCATGTGAAAGCACAACCTACAAACAATGCAGACAAAGGAATTGACTTTTCCAATCAGAATTGGCCTGAAACTCGCAAATGCATGTATTCACCTTCAAAATTCTTTCCTAAAATTGCTAAAACATGCCCTGCGCAATGACGACTTTGAAACAAATCAACAAACCATCGAAACGCGGAGTTTCTTATCACCTGAAACCGAGGGCTGTTCTAAGAATTTTTTAACATCCCTTAGCCATCTTAAACCATCACAGAATAAAAGTTGAGCCTCAGATGGGCGCCTGAAATTAGTGCCCCCTAAAGCAGTAAAAAATTTAATGACCCTCCCTTCTTCATGAATAAGCACTCCTTTCCTTAAGTGTGAATCTTTCTTGTTTATGAATTGTTTCAAACAAGTTTTTGATGGTCTAAAACATAGTCTATAGCGCAATATAATCCGGGAAAGACGATGCTGATGTATTTCAACTTCCCCCCTCGCCAGTTTATCCTGGGTACCAGACTCACTCTTTATAAAATAAGAGAGTCCATGTTTCCCTATTTCTGTTTTTCAATTTCATCATATTCCTCAAGAAGCTCTTCCCTCCACTGGTCCTCCATTCTTTTATTTCATATAGAGTGAGTCTGGTAACCAGGTGGGTATCGCCAGATCAACGTTGATATATTTGCTGTCAAAGTACATCAACTTTGATTAGGGACGGGGGGGTACATAATGGACTTTACAAAATCTCTTTAGGCTTTAGCCCCCCTGGGGTAATCATACCAAAAATCATCCTGCTCTTGGTTTTTAGAATGTTTAGCCCCCCCAAATGTTTTAGCCCCCTCAATCTGTAATATGCTCCGCAGTCCCGGTCGTTTGTGTGACCAAACCTTCTACGATAAGGCCCCGGTACACTTAAACCCTGGGTGCAATGTCCCCCCCCCCCCGATTCAATCTGCATCTTGCGGATGCCAAAGGTTTTGAAGATCCTTTAGATTAGCCATCATTGCTTACTGAATAACGCGTTTATTTCTCTCTTAAGGCAAAACAAAATGGCGAACAACTCATCTAGTTCCACACAGAAGGACGTCTTCATTTTCAGAATAACGCCGTCAGTCGCGTTTTTGACAATGTCTTTTCTGGTCTCAACGCTTGCAATTGTGCTCAACAGTCTGGAAATTCGCCTCATTATTAAAGGTTTTAAAACAGCAACAGATTTCGAGCTGGTTCTCCTGAACCTTGCAATTGCTGATCTCTTGAGCGGCCTAGACTTTGCTGGAATCTCAGCCCTGACAACGCACGCTTACTTAAACAAATTGGAGAATTTTGAAAAACATTTTGTGTGGTTCTTTGCGTTCATTGTTTTATCAGTGTCAACATCAACAACATTTGTAATTGTCATTGGCCTAGAGCGGTTTTTCGCCATTAAAGTGCCACTCAAACATCGAATGTTCCACACGGATAGACGCCGGCTTCTTTACTGTTTACTTGGCACGTGGACGTTAAATGTCTTATTAACTGTTTTGACTTTTGTAATCGACTATTACACCTCCTCCGCAGGGGGAACATATCTCGGCTCAGATAATATGATATACATATTAGCAGGTTTACTGACCTTCGGATGCCTGTTGACTTTAGTCCTTTATACATGGCTAGGCCATTTGATATTGCTTCGATCTGTGAAGCTGCTTGACTTCGACAAGAAGGATGCTAGCATCAACCCTAGAGTAATGAGGCGAGCGATGAAGAAAGAGAAAGCAACGATTTTAGCTTGCACTTTAGTTCTTGTGTCCTTTTTGGTGTGCAATTTGCCCCTTGTTGTTGGTCTTTATCAAAAAAAGTTGGATCAAACAAGTGGAATACTGATTAAAATGAACGCTGTCTGCAACCCACTGGTCTACTTCTTTAAAAGCTACTTAGAGAGGCGTTATGCAAGGAAAAACACAATACCATCCAAGGAGATTTCCCATGAGAAATCACCCAAAGCTGGTTCAGAAAATTCAACGAATTCAACACAAGAAAAAAATAATGGATATGAGAGTTCAAAGAAAACGGACGAAGGCGCAAAAGACAGATATCAGGATCTGCAAGGTGGAATTAAACAGAACAGGGAACACGAGTCAAAGGCTAACGGTCATGGTCCACAGGTTCAAGGCCAAAGTCCAAAGGTCATTGAAGAAATGATCCAAGAGAACGATGAAACCATTGACAGAAATATGGAAGATGAAGTGGGAATCCATCAAATTGTGCTCGGCGAAAAAGGATTCTTGAACCATGGAATGAATGATACCAAAAGTTCAAAAGACATAAATCCTCAAATTAGCACCCCCTTGGAATGATCGCACTTCGAATAAGCAGTGCTCCTAATGGGCGCCGCTACTCGCAAATGTGAATTCGTTCCATGTTGATACCTTCGTCCACCCCCTTCGCATGAACGCCCCCTACAAACAGATCATTAAGGCTCCTAATGGGCGCCGCTACTCGCAAATGTGAATTCGTTCCATGTTGATACCTTCGTCCACCCCCTTCGCATGAACGCCCCCTACAAACAGATCATTAAGGCTCCTAATGGGCGCCGCTACTCGCAAATGTGAATTCGTTCCATGTTGATACCTTCGTCCACCCCCTTCGCATGAACGCCCCCTACAAACAGATCATTAAGGCTCCTAATGGGCGCCGCTACTCGCAAATGTGAATTCGTTCCATGTTGATACCTTCGTCCACCCCCTTCGCATGAACGCCCCCTACAAACAGATCATTAAGGCTCCTAATGGGCGCCGCTACTCGCAAATGTGAATTCGTTCCATGTTGATACCTTCGTCCACCCCCTTCGCATGAACGCCCCCTACAAACAGATCATTAAGGCTCCTAATGGGCGCCGCTACTCGCAAATGTGAATTCGTTCCATGTTGATACCTTCGTCCACCCCCTTCGCATGAACGCCCCCTACAAACAGATCATTAAGGCTCCTAATGGGCGCCGCTACTCGCAAATGTGAATTCGTTCCATGTTGATACCTTCGTCCACCCCCTTCGCATGAACGCCCCCTACAAACAGATCATTAAATGCCCCCTAATAAGTAGCCTTGGAGGATCGACAGTATTATAACTTTATACAATATTAATTCCATTGCAGTCTTTTAGAACAAGATGTTGCGCTAACATTTTAATTTTTTGGAGGTTCCTTTCTTGGGTTAACGAAGTCTCAACGACAGTTTTGATCGACTAAAACTTTACCAATTGGAATTTTTTAACTCTCTCTGTTAAATAATTGCTTTAAGCAAGTCTTGTGTGTCTGTCACGATCCTTTGTGAGGCTTGGAACACTTTTTTCATAACGTTTACTGCCCTGTTATTCTTAAAACATAGCTTGCATATCACATAGTTTTAATTCACTTAATTGCTAAGCAATTCTGCCATATTTCACCCAGATAATTTCTTTTTATACTTTATTGCAACAACTTTTACTGGGTGCTCTAGACAGAAAATGACGAAAAATTCCTTTTTTGAGCAAAAATTGTGGTTTTGCACTCATTGATTTGCATAAACATGAAGAAGGCCATAGCTAACTACTTTTTGTGACGTCACATCCTAAAAATGGGTTTGATTATGGCTATGCAATTTCTCATGAACATCAACCATGGTTATTTTTGGCACATACCGTAGATATTTGTTGAATCAATTGTTTATTCTAAACCAAGCTAATTCCGTAGTTTTTAAAGTTTATAACAATGATGGAGAAATTAATATCCTCATTTATAAAAGTTTCAAGAAAGGGAGCTGTTTATTTATGCCAATTATCAGAAAATAATGTTAAGTACATGTCATAGGTATTTGTTGAATTGTCAATTCTCTTTATGTACCCTCAAATATCGATAAATGTCCCTCGCTTGTGTCGGGTCAACAAATTCTTTATCTGGGCATTGAAAAACTGCCTGTCGGTTATAAAATCCCCCCCCCCCCTTCTATGTTTTTAGGAAAATCAGAAAAAACTGACTACTTTCCTATATTAGTCCTCCTATCTATTTTTCAGGCCTAGAGTAGGAGAGATTTTGCTTGCGTTAACCGACAATTTTGAAAGAAAACACAAATTTCTTGCTTTTCTGACCCATTATTGTGCTACAAGTATTGAATTATAAATAAAAATTTTCCCTGTGGTTGATTTTGGGCGATTTTGAGCATGTTCCTCGTTTCAAGAACAAAACATTAGGTGCTAGGACTTTTGCCTATGCTGCAGCTAGTCTTTGGAACAGTCTTCCGTTTGAAATTCGTCCGTTGACAATATTGATCATTTTAAATTGCCGTTAAAGACTCATTTATTTAAATTAGCTCATGATATTAGGTAATAGGTTTTAAATTGTAAAGTGTATAGAATATTGTATTATAGTTAGGCACTTGATTATCGAGGAAAACTTTCTGCACTGAATGGTGGAAAAGCAACCAGTTGACCTTGACTTAAACTCTCCAAGACCTCACTATTTAATCATTTTTATCAGCTTCCTTGTTGATTACCTATGACGTCAAATTCCCTGTGATTCCCCATCTCTGATAGATGTACCATTTTGCCAACATGTTTGACTTCTAAAAGCTGTTGTGTAAAACTGCTGTTTATTAAGGACAATTATAGTTTAATCATGGCAGTTTATGTAGACTTTTCAACTTTAAATATTTGCAGATTTTATCCCGGCATGTCTGTGAAAAGAAATTCTGTTTATATTTGTCAATCAAAATTTAATATTTCTATAACCGAGAACAGCTGACATCCTCTGCGATGCAAATCAAGATCGCTGCTGAGATTCACAAAGCCGGTTGTCAAGTTTTCTTTTTCAATTATAAAAAGAGTAAAAGATTCAAGCCGAATGGTTTAATTAAACGGCAAATGATTACTCACTAACTGGAGGGCTGGAAGTCAAGCTGGTTGGAGAAAAACTCAAGCTTTTATCGCTTAAAGAAGAGAATTTCAAATAAAACTTTAGTGATAACAAACAATATTTCACAAGGTTAGTTCTCTTGAATGTTTTTTATCTATTTTCTATTCTATTCGGTATCAAAACTTGAAATAACAAATTAACTAAAACACTACGTACAAAATACTAAACTACATTGCAAGGACGGAACCCAGAATGTTGGTGGTTTGCTAAAAAGCACTTCAAATGTGTTCACACAAATTCAGGTGTTAAGTGGCTGATGAACAATTTATTTATTGGGAAGATCATGTACAATTTAGCCATGATGAGCGATGGCTGTTTTGGAGATCATCGTCGCCCAGTTTATGATTGTGATGATGACTTATGACGATCTAATTATGATGATTATGACAATTTTTGTTCATGGTCAGTGATTGATAATAGTTCTTTCCAACTTTTTTCTCCCTGCAGATTTCCAAACAAGTGGCGTCAGGCCAACTCACATTTTGCAAAAGAAAATCAGAATTAAGACAATTTTACCCAGTCGATTTGTGAAAAAATCAAAATATCACGTCTATGTGAGCATCAAAAATTCAAAAATAGCCCAAGGCAGAATCAACTATCTCCTAAATACACTTTTTCGATTCTATTTATTGACAGTTGTGAAAATGGCAAGCAACTCATCCAGTTCAATATGGACGCGTACTTTTGGCTTCGAGCCATCGACCTCAGGTTTGGTGATTTCACTTCTGGTTGCAGTATTTGCCATCGTCCTAAACATCCTTGAGATCCGCGTCATTTTGAGAAAATTCAAGAAAGCTACGGACTTTGAACTTGTCCTCCTAAACCTTTCTATTGCCGATCTCTTAAGTGGCCTAGATTTTGCAGTGATATCATGCTTTTCAATCCATGCCTATCGAAATAGCCCAAATGGTATCAAAGTAAACAGTGACTTGGTCTTCGCGGTCATTCTTTTTTCAACATCAACATCAACAACGTTTGTAATTTTCATCGGCCTTGAGCGTTTCTTTGCTGTCAAATTACCACTGAAACATCGGATGTTCCACACGGATAGACGCAGGTTCCTTTACTGTTTACTCGGCACTTGGCTATTCAACTTTGTTATCACTACACTGGCAATGGTGATCGACAAATTCGCGTTGCGTAGCGACCAACTCCACGTTGGCTCCGACGGACTGGGATACTTTGTTGCTAGTTACTTAACCCTTGGGTCCCTGTTCATTATTATCCTGTATACATGGCTAGGACATACCATTTTGGTTCGATCTGTGAAGCTGCTTGATTTCGATAAAAAAGATCCAACTCTTAACCCAAAAGTTATTAAGCGGGCGATGAAAAAGGAGAAAGCAACAATATTTGTGTGCATATTAGTCCTTGCGTCATTTCTGGCCTGTAATCTGCCACTTGTTGCGCAACTTTACCAAGCAAGTCTCGACAGTTTAAGCGCGATTGTGATGAAGCTAAACACAGTATTAAATCCACTGGTATACTTTTTTAAAGGCTACTTAGAAAAGAGGTACGCAAAGATATCCAAAATCCCGCTTGTTAAAGATGATTCAAATCAAGCTACAATCTTTGGCTCTGAAAATCTAACTGATGGAACAGAAAGGCAAACACTTGGAGCTCAAGATGCAAAGGTCATAGGTCAGAGGATATAGTTCAAGGTTTATCAGATAGTCTACTGGATCAAGTTACAACAGTGTGTTGAAAGCAACATGTTGGATAGAAAACAGACTATTATCAATTCATGATGATCACTAGAAAGAAGCAAAGATGTGGGTAACGGAATTCTCATTCGCAGCAATATTTTTTCACAGTTACTTAAGTTTCAAAGTTTCTGTTTTCTTTAAGAACTGGAGAAACCGTATCAACAAATCTTTCAATTTTACCTTGAAGTTGAATCATATTGCAACAATGACAAGTGTAGTTTCTACACTACTTTATACTTCTACACTAGACTCAATACTCGCATATTGTCAACATCAAATCATGAATACTCTTTTATGTCATGGTAAATGTTTTGGCATGGTCAATTTGATTTCTGTCAGAAAGTTATACAACAAACAAACAAATGTTATACAACAGCAACTGTTACTTGAAAAGCTGTGACAGTAACTGATGTACTAAATCTTATGTGGATGTAACCAGTAAGTTCGAAATTCAGCAGAGTGACTATAAGTGGTGTCGACTCTAACATTCAAATCCACAGCCAACACTGTTTCTGGCAGAGAGAGTACAATGTCAGTCTTTCTAAAGAAAACTGCTTACTACTTCAAAACAACAGCTACCCTCTTTGATGTTCCAAGGACTTTAGGTGGTATGGTACAGGTGGTATGGTAGAATATTTTGAAGACATCCAAAGGGCCATCATTTTAGAAACAAAGCACAAAGACTGCAAGACTGGAGAATTTTTAACCAAAACAAATTCAAAAAACGAAACAACACAAGTACAATGATTCTTTCATTGGCATATTTATAACATAAAACATTAACTTAGAAATGAATTAACATACAAATCAAAATTATAAATGGGTTAGCTATGAGACACACAAATCCCTTCTTTGTATATGGCCAAAGATTAGAGTTAATGAAAATACATTTAATAAATGCTGTTTATCCAAACCTTGATGAATCAGTAGCTTCTATGGACACTCAAGCAATAGTGAACTAATCCACGTCTCGAAACTCCTTATCTCAAAAAAGTTCTAAATCTATGCCAGGTAATTTTCGTAAAGTGAAAATGTTGCGAGATTTCCAAGCCTTAATGTTTTCCCAATTTTATAAAAAGGTTATAAGAATATTTTCCAGATTGGCCATCAAACTTGTTCAGTTGATCTCGTACATCATAAAAATGACATCATCCTTTTCTGTTAGGGTTGTCACTTGGGCAGGGTTGAGCAACTGGAGTCCCAATGCTCGGAATGCTCTGAGGACCATTTCTATGACAAAAGTGACAGATTATGTCACATGCTTGGAACAAATGCATTAAGCTTTATCTTTGCTGACATTTCTGTTTACACTCATTCTTTTTTTTGTCTCAAAATTTATCAAGTTTAAAACTATTTACTTTGGGTTCATAAAAAGCTCTTACATTATTTTAGCTTTAATTACATTCTATCTCTTCTTTATTTTAATTATTTATTGATAAATTTTACAGTAACAGTAAGTTTTTTGTGAAGGTACATTTTGCAAGGATAAAACTTCATCAGCAAGATTTTAAAATCTATTTTCTCAAAAACTCTTGCTGAAAATTCAAAACAGTAACAGGAGTTTTTTAAAAAGCTGATTGAGTTTCAATAGCAGATCAACTATAGTTCTGTGTAGATTTGCATTTTTGCAGAGCAAATTAAAAGTGTCCTACTCAAATTATTTTTCACTTAAAAATTACACAATTTATAAACAAGATATTTACAAATATAATATAAAATGGGTACCTCGATCTTTAATGGTCTTTGGTATGCACAATATTACTGAAGTCACCTTGAGAGACTCTTCAGCATAATCCAAGAGGGACACAAAGCTGCAATGATAAAAATAGGCCATTTGTAAGACAGGTTTACAGGGAAGTATGATTTGATCCCCTTCTTTACTTTTCCGGAGCATTCCAGTTTCCATAAAGCAGTTGAATCTATTAAAGACTCCTTTAGACTTGAAAGAAAACTTGGAGTTTTGGATCAATATTAAAATGTGTATATTCTGAGGGAAAATGTGCGAAAGCAACTATTATCATATCAATGTCCAAAATATTTATCTAGAAAAATGTTTCTAATTGTGGAAATGTTTACGAAAAAAGAGCATTAAATGATAGTTTGAAATGTAATTGCAGCAACCATCTTACTAAAACTTGGTACAAGTGATCTCCAGTGTTTATTTAGGCAGGATATGCTTAAAAATTATGTAATTACCACCCACAACACATACCATTCGTTTGTTATATTTGTAGAAATGATCTAATTGGAGAAAATATGTTCTATTTGTAGAATTGTTTATAAAAAGGAACAATACACAATTGCTTGTTTATGTGAAATTTCAAGCCTTTTTTCAATTTAGTTTTTACATTACTTGTGATTGTCTCATAAATTTGGTACAGTCGTAATTGACTTCTAATGTTTACAGTCAAAAGAGAAAATGACACGATCACCCAGCACAATGGGTTCTAATTTAAGGGAGTGCATTGAACTTACCCCTCTTTAATTCCAACAGACAGGAAGTCATTTGGAACTGCTATATATAGCTCATTTCTAATTTGGGCTCCTTCCCACTGGTCAATTAGATACTGACCATCTTGGAAGATGAACTCAAAGCATATGGAATCAACCAGAGGTTCTCTGAATTTCTAGAATAAGATGAAGTTTACACTGAGCTCATTTCAAGGATCAAGTGGGGATTATAACTAATAAGGCATCAAGTCATTAAAGAAAGAGATGTCCCTATATGCAGCCTAAGGAGGTACCCCTTGTTCCAACATGAACCCCCTCCTCCCCCAACATTTGAAATGCCTGCTCCAAATGTACCTCCTTGTAAATTTAAAAACAAGTTTTGCGATCTGCTAGTTGTCAACAAGGGGTTGCAAAAATCACATGAAACTTTGGTGACCACACAAAATGCAAATGACTTCTTGCAAAAAACAGCCATGTAACATGAATCAATGTTTTTTAACTAGATAATTACATCACAAAATGGGCTAAAATATAATAATAATAATCATGAAATACCTCAGAACACAAAAAAAGCAATTCTATAATCAGGAAAGAATCAAGTTGATTGTGAAATGGTTTGAGCTTACTTGAAGAAAGTGATGAGGGACTTTGTCTGTCCCAGTTCCTCCTGGTTCAATGTTAGTTACAGGGGAAGCAATTTGTTCAAAACGAACATCAGGAACACCAATCCACTGTTGCGAACACTCGATAGTAACAAAAGCAAAGGGCAGGCCTGAAAAGGAAAAGATTAAAAAATTAAAAGGTAATGTACACAGCAATTAGAACTATTAGATGTGTCAGTATTAAACAATTTTGATATGAATATACACTGTAAATTTAAGTTCAGCCTTACTGTTCTTAATTTTTTCAAATATCTGAGGCTGGATTGCTCTTGATTTGTTCCTAAATCAAGAGGTTTTAAGCAGTGCTATTGCCAGCTTTTTCGCTCTAAGGAGGTGTTCAGGCTTCATTTGCCAACAAAGTGAGCGAGACAGCCCTAATTTGCTGATAAACTTAAATATTCACTGAAAAAGCACCCACACATCCCTAAAAATCCTTGTTTTTTGAGAAAAAACGTTGTTCAAAATTGCAATTTGCAAAAGCTCAGCCTCAGCTTGTTCTTAATTTGTTCTTAACTTTTGACCAGTTTTGAGGCTTGTGTTCTTATGAAAAAAAAGAGTGTAAATATCAGTGTGGAATTCATCTAGCATACGCTAAATCTTTTGTTTACTGGTGTATACCTAGCATGAGGTATATACCAGTTAACCCTGGAATAAATATTCCACCCTGGAGTAAATATTGATTCATGGTGTGCAAAGTTGTGGGAAGGAATGTAAATTTCAAGCAGTCACTTCTGCTAATGAAAAAATTTATGACAAGTTTGCATTTGAAGCTGAAGTTTGAAAGCTGCTTTTTAGAAATTATTTTTTTGAAGGAAAAAATATTTCTAAAAAAAACCCAAGCAAGGAATATGGACACACTCATTTTCATTTTAAACGCTGCTTGCAAACAATTTAATAAATAAGCTATGTTGGATAATCTGCAAAGCTAAGGCTAATTCTGAACCAAAATGAACATCCGATGATTAAAAAATCACCTGATGGAATTTACATTAATAAATATGTCATCCATCGGGAGGTTTCAGGTTTGTTTTGGTGTAAATTTGCAATGCGTGTTACTTTAACTAAACATTAAATACATTTCGTTAAACAGGCATTACTTTCTTAAACCATTCTGTAAAGTTACATGTTTTTCAAGCTAATCAAACAACAAGGCGAATTTCATTGCGCAACATAATTTGACCGTAGGCCATTTCGACGTCTCTATTGACAGCTCCAACAAATATCAATAAATATTAAATTAAATAAAACATTTGCAAATACTCACATCCCTTCTTCCAGGTTTCAATGATATTACTTGAGACGGGCGAAATTTTTAAGCCGTAGCCGAAATGGCAGCAATAATAAATATGGATATTTTAAGCGAAGACTCGCTCAAGTTTTGGCAACTTTGATGCCAAAATGGCGACGAAAAAAATTGACCGTGGAAAATATTCTAATGAGCATGCGCCATTCTATGAGGGGGGAGATTTAGAAATGAAGGGGGGAAATGCGATAACGAAGCGGGGAAGAGGAAAGATGGTTTGAATGGTAAAATAGTGGGGGTTATAGTCAAAAGAAATCTTAGGGGGTGTTTTGAAATAAATTTGTGTGTTTTTTATGAATTATGCATTACATTAAATGCAAGATGAAATTGATTAAAACATAATTGATAATGGGTTCTTACACGTTAAATTCAAGAAATCAAAATTTGAAAGATATTTTTTAAAACTAAAATAGGGGAGAAGCGACTTTACTGAAAGTTCTAAGGTTCGCTACAAATACCATGATATAAATGTATTTTATTAATAATGGAAATATTTGGAAGCTGTTTCAGTAAGGTCACCGTAGTATCTGCTCAACTAGACTGACTTCAAAGCAACAAAACAGATTATTTAGCAACTTCAACTATTTGTTAAAACTTTTGCGCAATAATACCGCGGTAGTGTAGCTCATTTATAAAAGAATTGGAAAGCAATTTTTCATTTTGCATCGATCTAAGCCAAATTTTGCCAAGCAGAGTGTTTATTGCAATTCACTTAGGATATTTTTTACCATGACAAAACGGACAAAGTTTCGTCAGAAAAAATATTTATTTGATTTTCAAATTCTATGTGGTCCCTGATGCGGTTTTGAATCTTTCAAGCATGGCCTACGTATTGTTTGCACACACCCCCGAAAAGACCCCCAAAACCCAAACTTGCTGCATTTTTTATAGCTGTCAGCTAAAATATATATCCGAACCCAAGTCAAAATGTGTGGACTCAATCTTTATTTATCGTGAAACTTCATTTGACTGTCGATGCCAAAGCAAAGATTATCGATAATAAAAAAGGATTGTCCACAAAATCAAGCAAATCGGCGAAAATTCAACGACAATAACAGACAACACAACCCAGAATATTTCAAAAATGGCAGTCGATAAAGGCAATCAAGAAATGTGACCAAAATGACGAAAACCGAGTGAAAGATTTTCATTTTCATATCCCCTTACGGTTGCAAAGACATTCAAGAAAAACCCGATTATAACAGGAAACAGAAAAATAACATCAACGACGAAAATTAAGTAAAAGGATTTTGGATTTTCGCTTGAATACCTCTTTTATAACCAACATTAAAGTCTCTACACTGTACTATTAAAAGTCTACTCGTTAAATAACAAAACCCTAATATTTTGTCCTTGCAAAGTTTCTTGGGTAGCTTCGATGCTTCTAAGGAACATCACGTGACGCTACCTCGCAGTGGTCCTTCGTGGTCTTCTTTACCAGAGCTGTCCGCAACCTTTTTGCCTGCGAAAATTTAATGAAATTGATCTAGAACCTGTACTAATAGGTTAATTGATTGATAGGTTAATAGAGTTAATTGAAATTGCAAGTAAATTTTTCTTGAAACGACAGGAAAATTGAAATTTTATGAAGTGAAACTCGAATGATCGGTAATTCGAATGCAGTTACAATGCTGTAAATGAACTAACTAAATATGGAATCTTAAATTCCATTCATCGTAATAGTAAATGAAATCGAAAAACTATAAAATTAAAAACATATAAATGAAAACAAATTAAAGATTTGACTGAAAATGCGTTCAGCGTAATAGACTCAGGGTCCAAGTCAGAAACGTCCCGTCATGCCCCACAAGTTCCTTCGAGCCTCTTTCGGGGTTGATATAAGTTAATAAGAACAATTTGTCACATGATTGGCTCTGCCTTTGCCAATCAACGTCTTCGTGCCTTCCACGTAATCAACATGAAATGATATAACCATCAAGGATGACTATAAATACTTAAAATTGCAAAACTCACCAATAACATGAGTCCTTTTCATGTCTCCATTTTATCATCAACCACTTCTTCTCCTTCCTCAGCAGCCTCACCCCCGTCTCCATCTTTCTGTTCGTCATCTTGTCCTTCACCCGCCATCTCTTGCTTCTTGTGTTCCTCTTTGTTGTAGGCTGGCAAACCGGGGGTAACTATAGTTCCTCCCCACGATGTTGTATCGTTGTCCAACGCTGTGGAAACAAAAAGGCCATTTAAAACCATAAAAGAATAAAGTGCTTGAAAGAACACACAATTAGAATATCATTTTTTTCAGTCAACTTTGATATCATGACATCATACATTATAAAATCTGATTCACATTGTATAAATTAACTTCCAGAACATTGATTCATGTATAATCTTGAATTGCTTAATCACAATCGATTTGGAATCACTCATCACATTTGATCTGCTATTGCAATCAGAACACAAACGAAATCTTATCGATACCAGAAATGACTTGATTCATATGGACTCACCGAGAGAGCCTTGTTCATTCTAAAAAACAAAAAAGAAAATCATAATCACTCATCACACACGATCATTATTGTTCAAAACGATCAATAAATCAGAAACAATACAATCGTTTATTTTAAAGAGAAGTGGGCTCAAGGTAGCTCGAAGGAAAGTCTAAACCCATTCGGCAAAGGGGTATCAGCTAGAGGGGGCTCCCTTATGGGGGCCAAAGCTTCATGGGTACGAATATGATTCTTGTAAGCAAATACTGTTTTTTCACTTGCTTTTATTCTATCATCCGATACACGAAGATGGAGTGGAGTTGAAATTTCCCATGCCAACATACATATTGGAAATGACACGAAATAGATTAAAAAGACGAAAACCTTTTATATAACAACACACAACTGATATCTAACAGCACGTGATCAGATAACAACACACAACTGATTTCTCCTTCGGAAGATCGACCAGCCCCCTTTTAGTAGGGTACATAAATGGGGCTTTTATTATGGGTATCCACATTACGTGGCTTAACGAGTGAAGAAAGTAGCGAGTATATCAACAACTCACAAGTCCAAGGATTTCGTTTTCAGCTCCATGAGAGAGACATCGCAGCATCGTTTGAGCGGTGAGACAGATGCCATCCTGAGAAAAGAAAAGCATGGAGTAAACAAGGAAGCGGGGTTCGAGAGGAAGGGGGTTAAGCCAGACTAGGAAAGAAAGCGAAAAGAAATGACAATATGCTAAAATTCATAGGCGTAAAATATACAAAGAGGTCTGCAGGGTGTCAATTAGCCAAACTTCTAGCCCCATTGCTTGAAGTAATTCAAACGGTGTTGAATCAAAGAATGTGTATTTTAGAAAGTAAATTCTAAAATAACGTACGTAGTTTAGAAAAGAAACCAAGGCTATGAGGGGAGAAAAAATAAATGTGAAAGTGTTCCTCAATGAAGCAGATAGACTGGATTTGGGAGGGGGGGGGATGGAGGGGCACCTCTTTTCATTTACATTACGAGGTGTATCGATACTATCACCACACCAAAAGGATCCCAAGGAAACAAAATAGGTTAAATAGAATAATTTCCACGCCGCATCATAATATTGTATAATATCATCATCATTTAATACTTGGAATATCATATGATTCTCACCTGCTCTTCTAGTGATAGAACACTATGAGCACGCACTTGTCCAGTCTGGTGTAAAACAGGATAATAATAATAATTATAATGATAATACATGGATATTTAAGCAGGATACTCTATCAGTATATTCAATATACTGTTATCATTAGGCCCATGCTGGCTTAAAAGTTACAGAGAACTGTTAATTTAAAGATAAGAAAGCTAAAATAAAAAGCAAGCGGAACTTCGATACTAAGAAAATAAAATTTTATTAGAAAAGCTGTTTAAATTGTTTAAAAAGAACTTGGTATTCGATTGATTCTATCGATTAAAGCAATATTCGCTACTTTGATTTCTTCGACTTAGCAACATATAAAGAACAAAACGCGAAACAAACGCAAAACAATTTGCAATACTATATTTTACTCGTTATAATGAAGTTCGATCACAATCGATTGAAAAGGAGTAAAGTGAATACCAACCTCGCAAGGATCAATGATGCCAACGGAGCCAGGGAGGAAAATGCCGCTGGAAAGGAGCTGAAGAACTCGCCTGGGGAGAAAATTACCGCATAAATTAACATATGATAAAACGTCACAAGAAATGCAGAAACGGTATGTGTCGATATTAAAACTTTGGTCATGAAACTACACCATAAAGATAACACAGAATGGAAAGTTACAAGAAAGGTAGAAAAATACAAATAAGTATTTAAACTTCGGTGTGTAGAGCAGGACGGTTAGAAGTTACTGATTCGAGTCTGATGCTTAATCCAATCTCAAAAAATTCCTAACCATCAAGTCCTAAACACCAGAGCGTGTACAGCCTCTTCCTAAAGGCCATCAAACACTACAAAGCAAAACACTTAGCTTTGTAGCTATGCCGTTAAAACGTTTGGGGTTGACGTGAAATGGGGGTAAACATCTAGGACAGGGATGATACAAAATTGGCTGATTTTGTAGCTGTGAGGTCACGATTTAAAAAGAAAGAGAAGTTACCGGAAAGCCAAGTTGATTGCAAGTGGTTCTCTTGAGTTTTTAGACATTGTAGCCCTGTGGGACTGAAGAAAATAACGCGAGGTTATAAAAACATAGAACGCTGAAAGGTTGGAAATTCTGAACAAAATGTATCAAATTTAAATAGCAGCTGCAAAATAGTAACTATCATTAAAAAGTATATTTTTTTCATAAACAACACTTTTAAAGCATTCAACAGAATATCAGCCTTTTCCCTACTTTGGTCAAAGTGTTCATAGGTGAAAGGTTAATATAGAAGGGTGCCTATTAAAGGTCATAGGAGGTCAGCAAGTATTTTAGATTTACAGAATCTTTTCCGAGATGCAGATTATCAAACTTTGCTAGAAACACTCTCTAGCTACAAATGGCAGATATAAAGAAATGCTTGCTATTAATCAGATTGCATTTAAGAAGAATTTAAAATGTCAATAAATATTTACCAGCAAATCAATTAGCCATGGGGTCAGTCCTGAAAACCCATCAAATCGCCTCCGCAGGTCCTTCAAAATTCGCACCAAAACGCGAACCCTTGAATAAGAATCAAATACATAGCAATCAAATAGAGAGGACAGTATGAAAACAAAACAGGAATTCTAATACTGAATAGAAGGCAAAAGAGAAAGCATAAAACTAAAATAGAACTTATATGAAATATATTATTAATTAGCTGGTCCCCAATTAGCTTGTTAGCTAAATATTTTTTGACACATTAATAAAGTTTTTGATTGATTGATTGATTGATTGATTGATTGATTGATTGATTGATTGATTGATTGATTGATTTCATTGGATTGACTGGTTGACTGATTGATTGATTGACTGATTGATTGACTGATTGATTGACTGATTGACTGATTGATTGACTGATTGATTGATTGAAGTGATTGATTATCATCAAAAGAAAAAAATAAGATTTTATGCATATTCTTCTGCTAGGAATGAAAATAAAGAGCATGATATATAAGAAAATATCTGACGAATATCTGAAGGAGAATTGACAGTGACACGAACACGGCCTAAGGAAGTTTTGACCTTGGAAGCATCTAAATGTTTTCTTCAAAAAATTCATGTTTAAATGTGAATAATCAGTAACTAATGATTGAGAGTGCGATAAGGCGATTAGATGAGTGATTAAGGCAATGTTTAGAGGCGATTGGTGAAGACTTGAATGATTAGAAATATGGCGTTATTCTTACGTGGTGTGGAAAGCGTTTTCTTCAAACCATCTTGCGTGTCGAATTGTTGCCAGTGCACCCTCAAGAAGTTTAACATCAACTGAAGGGACAGAAATAAAATAGTAGATTTTTAACATTAGCAGAATTAAAATTGAGAAATTCGAGTTAAATGGATCTCGGCAAATTTCGATATATCAAGAAAAAGGAGTCGCCTGGTTGGTTCTACGCGAAGTTAATGCAACGTAGACCATCACCAACGTAAGCGAGGTTGCTTGTCGCAGTAACAATTTTAAATGAAAGATAGTTTAAGGAAAAAGATCTTCATCAGGTTTAAAAAGATGTAAGGTTTTAAGCTTGTTTTAGTTACCCACCATGCTTTTCGGGGTCTGTTCGCAATAAATTCTTCGGTTGCGTAGTAACAAGGCATCGAATCAATGCTCCTTCGCTGTTACTGACATTGAAACCTGTAAACAATTCAAACGCAGAATTCATGAGCAATTCTAAAGGCCACATAAATAAAGATCTACCTTACAGCTATCACTGCTTGTTTGACCTATCACTCAATCACTGATCAATCATCATTTGCTGAGCAACCAAAATCGCTATATCACTTAAACAATAATAATACTACACGGTGGCACTAATGATGATTATGGCGGGATTAACGTATGAATGAAAGCTCTCGATCAACGATTCAAATCACTCTACAATTGAATCAGTCTCAGGAATTATTAACATTGATTAACAGAAAATCAATTATTCACATGAAAACTGAAAATTTGACACAGTTTAAACACATACCTCCTTCGTTTGCTTGGACAGGAAACTCTAAGAAAGAGAGAAAGAAGAGGCTTGTGGAACAACCTTCTAAATTCACAATTACTTCAAGATTGTAAGAGAAATTTGCTTCCCTAAAGATTGCTTTTTCTCTCTTCTCAAATAAGTCGCCACCAAGAAAGCATTACTGCCTTCAAAACAAAACAAAACTACGCAGCAGTGCATTCAGTATTTCAATTTATGGGCCTATGAAACTTTCTCTGAAAATTAGGCCATGAGACCAACAGGTCAATAATGTGTCAAAATGAGAAGCAGAACCTGCAAAATATAATTAAAACACTACATTGAAGAATAAGGATTCAGACCTTCAGATTTATCCTGGCTGACCAATTTTTCTTTTACTTTCATTGCCAGTTGCTCGATATCTTCAGCTGCATAAGAAAAAAATATTATTGAGAAACAGCTTCAAGTTTAGAGTATTCTGGAAAAATGGTGCAAAGTTTCCTTAACCTAAAAAACTTTCAATTTATCTGATATAGATGACACAACATGATCAAGAAATTTATAGGAAAGAACTTGAAAACAAGGGTATCAGCAATAATTCATCCTTTTTGCAACATTAAAGTATTCTGGTAATATACCTAAATAAAAGAAGTTTTATTTAAAAGCAACATAAAACAAAGCTTTCAAAATAACATACAAAAAAATATTTTCTTTCCTTTGGTTGCCAGTTGAGTGTGAATCACTATTATCACATTTATCTCAAAGCATTTAATTGTTAAATCCAAAAAATATGTAAAGGAAAATTCCCCAACATCAGCACAGTTCTCATTTTAATGCTTTGAACAACAAAGTCTGACAGGAAAATAGAAAAATTTGAGAAATAGAAAATTTTAGGAATATCACAAAATGCATTTAGTAAGTTTTTTCTTTCAAATCCAATTTTAGTTTACCTGTGGGAATAGTTTTGAGAATCACAACAGCATCAGCCACAGGGTGCCCAGTCAACATTGTTCCCTTTTTGAATGATCCAACAGTCCTCATTTCTTCAAGAGCCTGGATTGAATGATGAATTTAAAACAGATTATTTCACACGAGAGTACGTTGGAAAATTAAATTTGCTAAGCTTTAGCCAAGCCAAAGAATTGAAGTGTTTATCTATAAGAAAGACATTAACATTCTACCTTTAGAAAAACAATTTGGATTCACCTGACTCTGAAGATGAAATCAGACTTACCACATTGAGGCCATCAGAAGACAAGATCAAACTCTCGATAACCATTTCCAGTTTCCCATGAAGATTCTGAACTGCAGTCTGCAATTGAACAAAAAAATAATGCTTAAAGTTCAATAGAAACTCAGATGAGCAAAATGTACTTTGGCACACATGGTATATAAGATATCCGCTATGGAGGCAGCTTGAATTAGAAGGCAATGGATAGAGAAATCTTGAATAGAAGGGACATTTGCTGTTTGGATAAACAAACTTTCCCCAAATAAACTTCAGTGTAGAAAAGCCTATCTACTTAACAATGTGCAGAATTATAAAGAATATAAAAACAAGACTTCTATTGGCAGTTACAAATACTTGCTACCATCTATTGGTCTTGTGGTAGAGCATTAAACGTAATGAAAGAAACTGTAATACCTACACATTAGAAATGCCAACTGCTTATTACTCTGCTGATCTGTTTTTTGGATAAAGAAGTTTGAATTTAAATGGAAACAAACTGTGAAATGATGATAGACAATCTCGAATAGCTAACCTGTTCTACAACAGATGGTGTGAGAGCTTGGTTTCGTTTCAGCAAGGCCTGGATAAAAGGAAAAAGATATAGAGTGAAAAATTAATCTGAAGAGGCACTGCATGCACGAGGGACTGAGATGTTCACAAAACAGGAAAAATCAACTAACAACATATACCTGAGTCAGAGATGAGTCATCAGTATTTTCAGCAACCCGTGGGAAAAAGCTTTCGGCCTAGAATAATAACAAAATTACAGATCAAAATTAACTTCATAAAATCTATTGCTAAAGCATCTGTTGCATATCGTTGCATGTCACAAGATTGAATGTCATGTGGAAATTCTATATCATTATCACAGTTTGAACATGGATAATCAAATCAATATAATTTGTGACAAGTTTTCAAGTGAAATCTCATAAACCCTGGTCAAACCATCCAATATTTCACCCAACATTTAGCCCAATATTTTCTTTGATGTTGGAATGTGATCCGATGCTGGTGGTCAAACGTTTTGAAATAATTCATTATCGTTTCAAAAAGTGCCCCCATCAACTGGCAGTCGTATGGTCACACGCTGTTTCCAGCCCTAACAGCAAGTGTTGTGTCTGTAAGCGGAGCTAATAATTGTGACAGTGAAAGAATTTAAATAAAACAACTCATCTTTCAAACATCTAAAATTCATGTCACTGGACAGTCATTCTGAATTTAAAGGCAATGGACAGAAATGACAGAAAAGTGGCTTAAGCTATCTGCCAATCAAAATTAGCCAATCAGCAGGCTCTAGAGTGATATAATGATCACTGATTGGACAACCATTGATTGACAGGTGACAAAAGCTGTTCCAGTTCCTGTCTCTTTCCATTGAGTAGAGAAAATATTACCGGAGTTGACCGTAATAACCAAACAGCCTGGCAAAATTAGACAGAGATTTAATCTAAACTAAATACAATTTGCAGTTGCAACTCACATGGACATGGTCAAAAGTTTGATGTGTCACAACAAACTTCCTTTGATGTGCTTGCTGCTGTCTTGGAGGGGGAATTCCCATGACTGGGGGAGGTGGGCCATATGGACCACTTCTGAACCCCCCTCTACCAACCATGCCTCCTCTTGGGTGCCTAAAGAAAGTCAGAAAATAATTTGCTCAAAAAAGTTTTCATTTCCAATTGGAATCTAAAATGTAGAAAAAACCAAAACAATTTGCTTACATGTAATAGCTAAAAATTTTTCCTTCCTAGATACTTGGAAATTATCAGCTGATACTTAATATAAAATGGAAAAAGGGATTCATTAAAGGATGGTACGGAGAATTTCCATTTTCTGGCATTGTACAGAAGATAATTCTATATAAGTTGTACGACTAGTAAGATAAATTCAATCAATTTTGGTCATCGTCGCATTTTGGACTGACAATTTTAATCAACAGATAGCTGCTATTTTGAAAAAAATGTTCCTAAGAAAATTAATAGCATCATGTTATTAAAATCATAAATAAAAATAAGCCAACCTCATGTTTATGTCTTGAAATTTCTCTAAAAATGAGACCTTCTTTCGCAGATTGCAAATGGCGGAGACACAAGAACTTCTGTTTCCAAGAGAGGCTATCTAAAAATGGTTCTTAGGGAAGGAAAATAAGAAAAAGAAAAATGTTCTCTAAAAATTCAATAATCATGCCCCTTCTTCTCAGTTATGGGAGTAACTACTGGGGGGGGGGGGGGGGGGGGTTGCAGCACTGTGGGAAGGCTAGAATTACCGGGGAGACTCTTTTTGAGAACAATAGAAATAAAAGGGAGTTTCATTTGACAAAAGATTTACGTTCATTGGACAATTTTTCTTTCTTTGAGCGGGTCTTGTGCCCCAACTAGATAGTATATTCGGGCTACAGCCCGGGGAGTATCTTGCAATAGCCGATAGAACCGTTAATCGGGCAAACGCCTAAACTGCTAGTAGGCTTTTCAGGGTTGTGCAGAAATTCGCCGGGCAAGAAAAGAAGTTTTACATCTGTATCAATCAAAAAAAATCCAACAGTAAAGTGTTGATATCATTTTCTTGTTTAAGGTTCCTCCCAGCTTTGGAACACACTGGACAAGTTTTCAGTTGAGTTTGTATAACAAAAGAATGTAGCCCATGTATCTATCCTTTAAAATGTTTCTCTACATTTCAACAATATTTCCATAACAAAGTTCCAAAAATGCTAAACAAATACCTGACATCTATTGCGAAATTAGATACCAACCCGAGCACTTTCCAATTACTTTCCAAAATAAATATTGGAATTAATAGGCGCAGAAATTTTGTTTATTTGTAAGATGAAAAGAGGGAAAACTTTATCTATTGAACAAGTTAAGATACTGAATTTCTAACGCCAATTTTTAAACTTCACCGAAGTTGAAAAGCCCAAAATAGCGTCTCAAAAGATAAAACCAATGTTCCATGACATACAAGCGATATTTCTATCGTTTTCACGTCATTTTTGCCGTTGTAGATTTGAGAGACAAACATTGAAAATGATAGGTCCTAGAACAAAGCTTTGTGGCACCCCACGTGAGAATGAAATTGAAAAAGAGCAAACACTCGGTGATTTGTTTTATTGCATAGATTTATCTTCTTCGAAGTACAAATATGATTATTTAAAAAATATTATTCAACGATACAAAGTACAAAGGATCTATCAAATACGAAGAGCGCCGGGTCTCACAGCTTCTATCATCTCTAATATGCGCCGGGCCAAGTATTAATGCCGGACCGGAATTGTTACAAAAAACGATGCTTCGATTAAAACTAGGTTTCTGATCAGCGCCGGGTCTTTCGTCAACGCCTGTTCTTCTACTTACGCCGGATCTCCGAGTTAACCCGGGTCTTCAAAGTACGCCAAGCCTGGATTAAAACTGGTGCACAGATTTGATCAGTACCGGATTCCTGGTTAAGACCGGAACCGTTATAGACGCCCGTGCAATGTCTAACGCCGGATCCCTGATTAACAAAGGGTAGTTGATACCTAGTATATTGGCGCTGCGAGGGGGAATAGACACGTTAACCCGGATAAAGTTCCGATTTTTCGCCGTTTTATAAACCTGGAATTAATCAACTGCATACTACAACTACAACAACGACGACAACAACAACAACAAGAGAGATACCAAGTTACTGTAACGACCAACAACAACAACAACAATTTAAATACAAAACAGCAAAATGAACACAGCCAAAAAGAATCATAGTTATTTGGCATGAAAATAATGGATATAAATAAAGATATTGTAAATAATACAGAGAGGATCCCTAAGCAGATCAGGGAGCTGAGTTCTATCTAATATGGAAGGTTAGGACGGGGTCAACATCCTTTGTCTGCTTTAGGGGGCAACAATTTAAGGAACATGGGAAAGCTTAAATTTGATAAAGATAGTCGAAATGACAAAAGATCTAGAGACAAAATCGCATTGAATAGCTGGGACGCAGGGCCGGTTTCAAGAAACTAAGCAACTTAATAAAATATATGACCTTTGTGTTAATAGGTTCTTTCGGATGTCTGAAAATGGATTAAGGTAAGCAAGGGGAATTCATCTTCTATTCTGAGCCAGGCACGACATGGTAGAAAAATGTTCCAAGAGGATTCACAGATTCTGTAAAATCGATTCTGGATATAAGTGAGAGGGTTATGGAGAGGCAGGCTATACCTGGAATTGTAAATGACGTCACAATTCGCCCAAAGAGTACACTATGAATGCGATTGAAATTGGTGTGTGATAATTAACAGAATAGTAAATAAGGATCTAAAGAGTCTGTTTATTAGAGACATGAACTGAAGAACGATAAAACTAAAAAGTGTTACAAGCATCAAAACTCCAAGTTAAATACAATTATTGAGATCCGCATCGACGCCTAACAAAAAATATAAAAACAGATTTGTCCCAAACCCACCACGTAAAAAACCCTGTCGTTTATAGAAATGTCGCAAATAGTAAAATGTTACAACAAGAAACAAAAGTACGAGCAACGAGGATTGGGGAACTGGAGAAGGTAAAATCGCCAAGAGTGGTACTTCCCACATAAGGAGGGAAAGAAGATGTGGTTATTAGGGGGCATGGCAAGGAGGCAAATGTGTCGGAGGGCCAACCGTAAAGAAAATTTTTCATCGAGATAAATTTTATCGACATGAATTATAAAGAATTGCGAAAAAAGCAACAGCGTTTACTTGTGCAATACTCGGCGACTGTCCCTGTCCCTGGGTTTTCTAGACACCCTGCCCTGGGCATGTAGTGAAACAGATCGAATGACTTATGCTATTAGACATTTTGGAAAAATTAATGCATTTTTTCCTGCACAGGGTGAAAGAAGATCTCTACAACCCCCCCCCCCCCGAAAGGACCTGGGGTAAAAAACATTTTGAAACCCGTTGCTCGTACAGTTATTCTTTAATAGAAAATCGGATGACAAAGATGTTTTCTAAAATCTACTTTACATCATATACTTTTCTAATTTATAATACTCTGCTTTCTATATAAATTACAAAAACTTTCAAATGTCTGCGTTTTGGTGTTATAACCAATGGATAGTGAGTGTCACGTGGTACATTAGTTCTTGGAAAACAAGACAATTCTGAGAAAAACAATGAGGCGGAAGGGATGTAATAGCTATGTTATTTACAAGATCAGTTTGTTTTTGAGCAAGGATACGTAACTATGAATAACAGGTGGAAACTGCTTGAGGGACACGAAGAAATAACTTGCGCCTTTTGAACATTTTCCCACGAATGAAAAGTTAGACTATCCGACTGCCTCACAACAGTTACATCACGTGCAGCCACATGAAATTGTAATTTTGCGACAGAGGCTTTGAGGGCGAGGCAAATACAGAAGGACAGCACTTGAATAGGAGAAGGGTATGTGCCTTACCACTCACCAATCATAGGCTGACAGCTACCCCCGTCTCTCCTAGTCCTTTCCTGTGACCATTATTATTATGCAGGTCATTTTCCAGGGAGACTTCATCTGAATCTTTGGCAAGCAACACATCCATTTGGGTCCGGTCCTCTGATCTCGGACTATGTTGGTCTCTTGCGTCCTCCTTTCGTTCCGCTTTCGGAAAATGTCCAGTATACAAATCCGAACCGAGCTCGGTTTCAGCGAACTGTCTTTTCAAATCCGAGTTTTCCTGATCAATAACCCTACAAAGTTGAAGAAATCAACGTGTGTATTAACAGCACTTTTTATTAATTTTTCTATACAGACGAAGAAATTAAAACACTATGGCGAATTAGCCATACCCTCGTCCTTGTAGCCATGGAGCATGCGCAAAATTGTTCAGAATTCACATTGATAAGTTTTATATTAACATAACTTTCAAATGGTGACTGAAAACTTTTCAGTGAAAAGATGAAAGCAACATATTCAAGGCCAATCGAAATATCATTTGACTATAAAAAATTAGTTAATGAGCCCTACGAAGCCAATGGACCCCAATTTTACTCCAATGAGCTCTCACCACCCCCCCCCCTCCCATTCTTCTAAAGAAGAGCACACACTAATATGGTAAGATTACCTCCAAAAGTATTCTGATTGGACGGCTGCTTGATCATCTGACCGTTCTTCATAATCACGTGACGGCGAATTTGGTTGTCCCGGTGATGATGGCGTCGGCGATTGATTGCTTGGCGACCCTTTGTCAACCGCGCCTTCGTGAGACTCTAACGACTCCGAGGTTATAGGCTGTTGAAATAAGAAACAGCAGCAAAGTATTAAATGACAGCGTAAATTTTTTTATATATTCACAACTATGTTTTTATGTGGTTGCATGTTGAAAATTGCTAAAAACTTTGCTTTAAAATATGATAAAATTGATTAAGCTTTTACCAAGTTCCCAGAACTTATCATCCATAAAATTATTTTTTCAATAAAAAAAGAGCATTTCTTCACCAAACACATAAGATCAATTTTTGAAGAAAATCTGTTGTATTGAATCAAGAAAAACCAAACGAGGAGAAAATTTTATAAACAAAAATGAATAGATAGAGCGCGATCGATTAACGAAAAATCGAATTCGAAAAGTTCTCATAATGGCTTCAAACGTTCGATTATCGAACTTAGGGGATTCGGATTTCGAAAAATAAATTCGAAGAGATCGAATATCGTGGAAGAAACCCAATCACGACTCCTTTTTGCATAAAGATAACTTTACACTTGACACTAACCCCAACAATTACCCCATCTCCAATTCTAGTTCCCAATTCTAGAGCAGCCCTATCTGACCCTATATGTTAATAATATTTTTTGAAAGAGCGTTGTTGTAAAGAGCATTTATATGCGTGACGCATGAATAAATTATCTTAAATTAAGATAATTACTTTAAACTAAGAGCGAGAGATCGAGTACTGGAATTGGAGAAGGGAGTGGGGAATTGGGTTTTTTGAGCAACTCTCTGTACAGGAAATTGCGTTTTCCCCCCATAACTTCTTAGGGATCCATAATAAATGTTACCTTACCTGTCGAGTTGGCATTTGCTGCAGAAGTTGGCGGTAAATGAGTTGCTGAAGATGAGGTAAGACGTGATGTGCGGGCAACACTGACGAATTGTTTACAAGCGAGGAAGGTTCTGGAAAATCAAGTTAGAGAATTTCAATCATTGCCGTTGGGGTATCAACTGGTAGGAATATAAGAATTATCTGGGGGTTTGGGAAGAATCGGGGGTTCGAGGACGAGGGTGTCGAGAATCATTGGGAGATGGGAGGCTCAGAAAGGGTACATATGAGGATTTGGCGATTGTCTGAGAGCTTGAGGAGTAACTTGAGATTGGAGAAGTATTTGGGGGGAGGCCTAAAGAAGTATCTAGGGGTTTGAAAAGCATATAGAGAGCAGGGGTGTTATTTGATGGGGTCGAGGATAGAAAATGACAGATCCTTTTATGTGGCTTTTCTTATAAGTACACAGTAAAGCAAATTGAGGAGCTTTGCAAAATTAAATTTTTTACTCAACATATAGGATGTTAAAGAGCTATCTAGGAAAGTCAATGGGGAACACAATAAATACTACCCTGTAACCATGCTCATAATACTCCTAACTAAATATATGCTACCCCAATATATAATATTCCATTCTTCCAATGTACCCTTCCCCCAAACCCCACAAACACCCAATGACTTGCCCCTGAACTGACTGTAAGGAGCTCTTACCATGAAATGACGGCGATGTCACGATGGATTGAATTGGATCAGATTTTGCTGACGTTTGCAAATCATCTCCCATAATGCCGTGCTCTGATGATGACGTAGAGAAAATGGCGGGGGTTGTTGATCTTGACTTGGTCGGGCTGATCCGGGATGGGGAAACACCTTTAAAGATAAAAATAGAACAATTTAGTGTGGCATATAAGGAAGGGGGGGAGCTAAAGCGAATATAAAAGAGAATTGGGTTTATTTAATTCTTACACAAAAACCTAGCTCTAGGAATTAAGGGAAAGATTGTTTGGTAACCTAAAGACAGATGGATCTGAATAAACATAGCAGACAAATCTTGATTGGTTGTTGGCGAGATCCCCTTCTTGGGAATCCTCCAGAAACACACCAATCATGTTGCGAGATTCAAGCTCAGAAGGCCAATTTTTAGCATTTTAACCACTCCTCGTTTACAAAACCCGGTGTAAAATTTGCAAGCATATTTTGGTTACTTTTTCGACTAAACTAATCTTGAATCTTATATCTAAAAATTTGTCCGCTATGCTGTCTAAATAAAGATGGATCTGTGTACACTTACTTTGCATCTCCTCGTCCCCCTGTGCAAAAGACACGGGGGAAATCGGTATTCGCGGGCTTTCCGAACTGTTGACGATTAAAGATGGCGCTCTTGATTCGACCGTTGCTATGGTGAGTTGCGACAGCAAGGAATGATCTTTGTTACTTTCACTCAAACCAACATCTGATTTTGAGGGGCCCGACGTAATAAAATCGCCCCCAATATGTGTCATACCCTGGGGGTTTACTGAAATTTCAGTTCTGGATACGTCACTCGCGATATTCGGTTCCCTAGTGGGGGTTCGAGGAGTCAGTGGTTGATATCCGATCGTAGTAGCGGCAATGCTACGAGGCAATTCTGAAATGCCGTGACCGGCAGCAAATGCCTGTGAGGCAAGTACGGAAGCGAGAGAAGGTGGCGAACTGATTGTGCCCAAGCTGATTTGGGCAGTTGACGAAAATGGCATGTTGTGCGCAGTAACTGTTGCCTCTGCATGGGCGCTCTGGTCAGCCACTTGTTGCGAAGAAGTCTCGGCAAATGCATCTCCTTGGGCACCTAAAGTTATATTCTGCTGATGTTGAAAGCTTGCGACCTTGGATGCCTGGGCACCTGATAATATGAGAGTTTGTCTGTTTCCAACAACGTCATTCTGGGACTCACTTGACGACATGACAACTTTATTAATGCTTTGCGGCGACAGTGAAGAAACATGCGCAATAGTGTTAACAGACTGTTGCGTGACCGGGATTTGTGACAAGGACAATGCTGTGGGTAAAATGCTTGATAAGTTCAGAGGTGACATTGGGATTGTGTATGCACCACCTGGTGCCACGAATTGGGGCTGGGCTGCTCCTCCGCCTAGGGCTTGCGGCATGCCGCCGCGAATGGCATTTAGCAGTTGTGTCTGCAACATAGCCTAAATGAAAATGAGAAAATAAATTGGATAGTTGGAATTCAACTCTGTTTTCTTTCATTATCTATTCAAGGAAGATACATCGCTTTTATCAGCAACTTTTAATCAACAGCAAAGGGGGTGAAGAAATGAATGATGTCTGCCCGATGCAAGGAGGCCTACGCTGCATGTTACCATGGGTACCACAGCATGACAAAGTGCTTGCGAAGAAGGGATATTGCCAAAAGATGCGGAGGAGGCAAAAAACAGGGAGGAAAGGAAGATGAGCATAGGAAAACGAAGACAATGACAGAGCGTCGCTCGCTCTCTCTCTCTCTCTCTCTCTCTCTCTCTCTCTCTCTCTCTCTCTCTCTCTCTCTCTCTCTCTCTCTCTCTCTCTCTCTCTCTCTCTCTCTCTCTCTCTATCTTCTCTCTCTTCTCTCTTCTCTCTCTCTCGCTCTCTCTCTTCCCTCCCTCCCTCTCCCTCTCTGCCTCTCTCCCTCTCTCCTCTCATCCCTTCTCCCTCTCTCCCCTCTCTCCTCCCCCCCCTCCCATCTCCCTAACGAGATTGCAGTTGTCTGGGGTGCCTAATCTGCATCACGCGGTAATGATTTTCATTCTGATGATGTGACAGGTTGCATTCCATATTCCTACAACATTTATTAGTACATTCTAGGGTAATGACATCAATACTGATAATTATATCCTCCTCACCTGCGGCACTAACTGTATTCCGCCGATCCCCGCAAACAGGTAAAGCGGTATCGGCTGTTAAGCCAGAACCGATGTTTGCATACTGAAAGGCCGGATTGTCAGCTGTGAAGTGAGCATCTTGAGACGAAAAAATACAGTACCAATAGTGATGACATCATTGAATATACAATTCTAGTTTCAAATTGGACAAAATTTCACTGAAAAATAATATCTGAAATACAAGGCAATCCCGGTAATTTGGTCTGATTTCTGATAATTAACAAGATATTTGCCATGTTCTGTAAAGTATATCTTTTCATAATTATGCGAGATGCAAACGAAAATTACTTACAGGGTACAACCGTGCCCCTTGACTTTGACCTGTATCAGTAACATTTCCAGGCTGGAAAGAACCTGACCAGGGGGATCCCGCTAACAACAGCGAAATTCTGACCACTGCTAAACAGCAACAAAATGTTCCGGCTGGGATTCCGGCGACTGGAGTGGCATCTGGAACGGAACTCCAAGTGGTGGCCCGGAACAATTGGTTGTCGCATCTAATAATGCAACAATGTTCAAGAATAATTGTAAGTAATGAAACCGAAGTTAAAATAAGGGAAATAACAGAACTCTTACAAGATCCCTTAATCTATGCTGGAACGATTAAATAGTTTGTTTTACAATGTTCGGTTTTCCTATCCACAAAGGCCGGTTTAATAAAACAGAAATTGATGTTGATTTGTAATAGGACTGGTGAAAAATGATGGAATAAAATACCGGAAAATCTCCCCTGGTAGAATGTTCAAGGCCAAAGGTGAAGCGGAGCTGAAACCATTCCAGGGGCAAGGGTGACCGCAAGGGGCTCTGATGGATGATTCCGGGTTGATTCGGATTCGCTTGGACGATTTTGAACCGGACCTTGTATTCCCGGAATCGTTACAAAACTCGGAACGACAGTGTGTGCAGCTGTTTTCTGCCCTTGTTGATTAGTCTCACATGCGGATGTTTCATCTGAGTCGAGGCTGGTTGCCAAGGTTGCAAGAGTGTCGAGTACGCTGGGTTCGGAAGAACTCTCGCGACAGAGTGCCAGGTGCTACGTCAGAAAAAATTAATTATAGGTATGATAGCATTAATTGCGTAGAAAAACATTCAGCTATGACAAAATATCAAAGAAAAAACAAAAATGTTTTGCTACCAAAACATACATTACAACATTTCTTACACTTTCAACAACTTTGCAATGAAACTTACAAGAAAAACGCTCCTGCCACTTCCCGCCGTGCCTGCACCTTTAGATTCACCAAAAGTGCCGCGTCAAACAAGACGCAAAATTGCTTGCAAACTGTCGCTTCAACTCGTTCGCTCGAGGGATAAATGCATTGTCATTTAATTTTCTCATAACTTTGGCTCTTTTGCTTTCAGCTTCCTCTTTGCTGTCTACCTAGAGAAAATATAAATAATCACGTTACATTAATCGCAGAGGAACATTTTAGAAAGAGCCTGACTCTACTGAGAAAAACTCATAGAAATGCGAACAATTCACTAGAAAAAAGTTTCTGTAGAAATCAGGCGTAAGGCTTATCGCAACCGGCATGCTTTGCAACTTTATTTTCAAACCGGGCCTACTATCGCAATTGCGTGAAATACAAAATACAGTTTACTTCTTTTCGTTTTAAACATCAGTTGCCATTAAGGATGCTGGTTGCACAAGATACTTTTTTTCATCAATTAACGCAAAATAAATTTTAGTGTGCTGAATTAGAGGTAAAAAAACATGCTTTATCGTGTCACCTCTATTTAATTTATATAAAATTAAAAACTACACGATTACAACCTGATTCAAGGGCAAAACAACTTGATTTATCGTACGACGAAATTCATTTAAAAACGATTCGTGTTAACTAAAAACCTTACAGTAGCACCTAAAAATCGTTCTATTAGCTATTCTTTTGAATTTTTAGACTGCCAAAAAGTAACGAAAGTTGCATAAATGATCGTTCAGGCAATTGCGTCACATCATTATTGAGTATATCTGATACTTCACCAAGCAGGTAATTTCTACGACTAAATGGAGTGGGCAGTGCAGAAGAAAGAGTTGTGGATTTGTTCTCCTTCCTTACAATTGCAAAATGGACTTTTAAGTCAAGACACTTTTAAGATTATGTATGATAAATGAATGATTGGTGACGAATTGGTTTAC